GGCGCTGTTAGTCCGATCACTTCAAAATGTTGTTTCTGATATGATGGGATTGTTTGTATTCAATATTGACAAAAAAAAAAAAAAAATTTCCTGTAAGTTTTTGACTTATAGGGTGGTAAAATAATCGACCAATGATTGTCTAGGTCATGATTCAACACCTAGTGGCCGCTGGTAAAATATTTTACCACTTCTTTAAAAATATGAAAACAATTATTTTAAATGAATAATAACAGTTTATTATAACTTAAACAATAAAATTTTGTATATCAAAACACAAATCATAATTTTTACAAGGTAAAAATTGAATAAAACAAGTCAAAGTACAAAAAAACAATTAGAAAACTTTTTAAAAAATGCTAACAATAATAAAAAGAAACCCTGTTGTAATAATAATAAGTAAATAAGTAACAATTTATAAAAATGAATAAATATATTAATATAATAATAATATTCTTCAAAATAAAATAAGTAACAAATTAAAACAAAATTAATAGAAATTAGAAAACCTTACTGTATAACTATGAATAAAATAGAAATATAATAATAATAATTAAAACAAATTAGACTTTTCTTTACATTACATGTTTATCACAAATCAAAATAAAATAAGTTGGTAACAAATCAAAACAAATATTTTGTAAGAATAACAAAAAAATATAATTAAAAATAAAATTAATAGAAATCAGAAAATCTTACTATGAATAAAATAGCAAAATAATAATAATTAAAACAATTTAGTCTACGCTTTACATTAGGTACATGTTTATCAGAATTTATTATTTATTTATTTTGAACACTGCCACGGTAAGGGCCAAAACACTCCTTACATAAGGTTTTTGTTTTGTTCAACACTATTAGTACTATTACTAGATACTGACTATACACTTGAAGAATCAAAACTTGACGGCCGTGAACGCCGACGAAAGCGAATTAGGCTCACTAACGATTAAGTGTAAACAGTACGCCGAACGCGAACGAATGGCCATTTGTACCATTTGCTCAGTGTGAACGTCATTCGGACCGTCACAACCGATTCGCTTGTGTTCACCTGCATTTGAGGGTTTAATAATCAACTGTTTTTTAGTGTCACATTTATTTGTAAATTAATTGATGGGTAGTTAAATATTAATTTATAAATTATGGATTTTTCTGACGATCAGTATATCACGCTTATTAATTTATACAAAGCGCGTCCTATTCTATGGGACCCATCAAATCCTAAGTATAAATTAATGAAACTATGATTTTTTTTATAAGATTTTATGACCACGAAACTAGCACATGCCATTAGAACAGTGGTCAACAACCCGCGGGTCGCGGGCCGCATGTGGCCCGCGAAGCAATTTTTTATGGCCCGCACAAAAGTAGTTAATTTTTTTGTTCTATTTATATTCAATAAAATTTTTCATACAATTTTCAGTACTATTCAATTCTTTTTTCTTTATTAATAAAATCTAATCTAATCGTTAATATGTTATAATCGTTGATGTTTATTCTATGTTATATAGTCAGTTTAATCTATACAATTGTTATTATTATCTAATCGGAGTCGAAGATAATGATGGCTGCACTGCTCAGTCATAGGATAAATTAAATATACTTATATACCTATATATAAAAATTAAAATTTTGAATATATTTAATCTATGTATTTAATACATATGTATCTAGTATATTTAATCTATGGGCATAGTTACTTTGCGTTCGTAGCAATTAGTATTACACCGTGATTACGTCCGTACGTATGACTGTTTGTGTTTGTAATAGTTAAATTTTACAAGTAAATCCAAACATGGCGACTAAAAAAAGAAAAATTTGTAATGAACATCGGTTTTTTTTTAATAATTTTTGGGTTGATTTATACTTTTTCGTCGAAAACAAAGGTAAGCCATTATGTTTAATTTGTCAAAAAATTAAATTTTTTCCAGTAGGTACATCTTTCAGAAATCATTTTTGCCATCATATTTACGGCGAATTGGCTGAATAATGTTTTGTAATAATGTAGATGATTTAGACTTGTTTCTCTAACCATAAACCTATAAGAATAAAATTGCATGCAGGAGACAGTTTTTGTTCGATTTTGGTTATTTTTCTGTAAAATATTAATATGATAACCATCTTCGCCTTTAGTATACATCAATGGATATTGCAGTGCATCATAAGATCTATTCAATTCGGAAACTCGACTCAAGTGTCCACTCCGACCGTGCAGAACTATATCTCTGGGACCTTTATCTTCATTAACTAATAATACAGCTACTTCATCGATGGAGGTGCATTATATTAACCTCTGTGTTCATCTTGAGGAACTCTGTCCGCATGAATAATTAACATTAAGTTTTGCAACTCATCAAAAGACCTCGACTCCAGATTAGATCTGAAGCTCTGTATGAGGTGATTATTTTCACGCAAAACTGTTTGCAATGATTCAATGAGACCTCTTTTTAAATTTGGAATCATATTTGTTCGAATAGATATTTGATCCGACTCTGACATAAAATATATTTGTAAAAATTTAGCATTATTTCTAATTTCGGGTAATAAACTACCTATTAAATGATGCACTTGACCCTGAATTTGAAAAGAGGGCATGAAGTTCCCTTCAGCTATTTCGTTTGCTCCAAACGATGTCATTTGAAACAGAGCGTCTAGACCGTCTAGAATTATCAAAGAAATGTTTTGATAGAGGGTGAGAATTATCAATTAAACTTTTAATTAGGTCTGGAAGATCCTCAAATTGGTATAAAACTTTACCGTCAGCGCAGCAAAGTCCACGTGTTTCATCTTTCCATTTTTTTGCATGGCACTTAGGACATAATATAGTCATTCGTCCAATTTGAAGCGCTTTAATATTTAAATAATCAATCTCGGATTGATAATATAGGTACACGCACAATATAGGTACAATTGTTTTTAATTTTTTATGAACTTTTATGAACTTTTTTAGTGACAAAAGTGGTACTAAAACCTTCAGCAGAGTGTCGGGTTTCAGCCAAAAAAAATTTCAGCCAAATCGGTTCAGTAGTTTTCTCGGTTAGCGCGGTCGAAGAAAAACCTTTACAATTTTATATATAGTATAGATAGATACATAGATAGATAAATTAAATTTTTATATGTAAAAAAAAAAAAATAAATAGTAATAAGGTCAATGCATATAAGGTCTAACCAAGGTTTATTGATTATAAATAATAATACATTAAAACCTCGATAAGACGGAACTTCGGTAAGACGGAAACATCGGTATAACGGAACATTATTTTGGTCCCGTTTCAAATGACATACAATTAATTAATCCCGTCAAGACGGAAACCCCGTTAACACGGAAAAATATCATGGTTCCGATCGATTTCGTCTTATCGAGATTTTACTGTATATGATTTACAGTGAAACCTCTAAATACCGGAAACCCTTGGTCACTGAAATTTTGTACGCTATTTGGAGGTGTCGGGTATTTAAAGGGAGAAATATAATACTGGAAAAATAAAAAATTGAAAATATAATTAAAAATATGTATTTATTTATTTAAAATAATTTATAGATAAATATTGGTACATAATTAATTTCATTTATTTTAACTTTAATTATTTTTGTGTACCTATTTTTAAAAATACGCAGGTAAAAAGATAAAATAATTGATAACATAAAAATTAAAACTAACATGTATTAAAAAAACAGTTGCTTTAGATTGTTTCGTATTTTTACGCGAAGTCATTTCGCATTTTCTAATTCCACTGTGCTGGAAAAGAATGAAGTACGTTTCTGTATTTCATTAGAAGAAATGTATTTACGTATATCCTTTACTGTATATCCTTCTGTAGCCTAACGTCAACGTCATAAAATTTCCATGACTGAACGCATAGGCGTCACTAAAGGGTATTGCTACCCTAGAAATGTTTGTGGGGTAGCAAAGGTATCTTTTCGCTACCCCAAAAAAAGTTATAGATTTTAAAAATATATTCGAAGTTTATTATTCAAGTGTGTACGAACATGGACGAACATAATATTATTGTGATTGTATCCAAAATAATTATATTTTTATATTTTACAAGTTCAATACAGACAACAAGGCAGTGTATACACTACACTTCATACTAAGATTTATGAACAAAAGTTAGCCAGCTAAGTAAGCAAGTTATCATGTTAAATCTTTAAAAATGTATTTTTTAACTTCCTAAGAATAAACTTTACTACTCCAAAATTTGGACTTTAGTGACGCTCATGACTGAATGGATAATATAAAGTATAACAGTTTAATAATATATAATGGGTAATATCAATAAAATACAATTTAACCACGTAGAATTTTATCTAGACATTCCACAATTATTTTTCTAAATTTACATTATAAATGATTAAAATTAAAAGTTAAAATTCCATAAAAGTGCCCGTTATTTAGAGTGTTCGATATTTAGTGGTTTTCCTATAGAAAAGTAGTGAAAATGTCCCCATTCTCCATTCCCCATTCCCCATTCCCCAAAAAATGTCCGCTCTTAGAGGTGTCCGTTAAGGGAGTTTTCACTGTATTATTATTACAATTAATTGACATAAGTTCAAATTAAAATAACCAATCCTTAATTTTTGTAACAAGGACTAGAATGTACTTGAGAAAAAACAATTTATATTTATTAGAATTTTTAAAAAAAAAATGTTTTTTATTGATACTTATTTGAAAAAAGGGTATTATTTATTATTTACTATATCTGAGAAGATAAAAAATTATATATTTGAGTTAAAAAATAATTTGCTGTTCTATAGGTCATATAAATTCTAAGATAAAGCCAAAAATTTCGGAAATACACAATAGTTAAAAAGAGCATTTTCGAATATTTTTTATACTTCTAGGTTATGGTTGACCTATATTTTTCATTCATATGGATTATAAATAAATAGTTATATATTATGCTTATGAAGAACAATATTATTTGGCAACCATTTTTGTATAATGATAAAAATTATACCTATAATTGAGCTTAAGATCCTACTGACAAATGTTCAGAATAACTAATAATTGCTGTAAATTTAATAATGTAATTAAAAAAGAAATACATTTAATTTCATATTACCTATCTATAGTGTATTTATGGAAAAAAGTAAATTGAATCTTTAATTTATACAATGACGATAGAAATAGTAATAGTAATAAACTAATAACAAACATAACTATAGTAGTAACATATTACAATAACTAGTTGGATTTATCTATTATACACTTAAAATTGTTGCTTTGAAAATAAGTTACAATTGACGTCAATTTCAGATGAATACACACAAACGAGACTGAAATTAATAACAATAAAATATTTTGTTAATATTTAATAATTTCCAATTATTAAATAGTTGGTTATATATTTTACTTACCCGTATTCTCTCATTTCTAGGATATTTTGATTTATTTACTACTTTTTTTTCTTTTTGTTCATTAGAATTATTAACCAGCATGTTATTTGTTATTTTTTCTATTTTTTCAAACGATTTATCACCTATAACTGTATTTTTTATTTCTGTTAAAAACAGAGTACACTTAATTAATAGCAGTTGAAATTATATTTTGATGAAAAACATGTATATATATGAATATAACATCAGACATTTTTCAATTTAATTTTAGCTTATATGGAATATTTATGAAATAAATAAAAATATATTTAATATAATATATATTGACTCCCACCATAAATCTATTGAACTCTATTAAATTAAATGATCAGGTCTTTAAATATTTAATTTAAATTAAAACTTGCTTAGATTTTGATTACACATTATAATATGCTATGCACATTGAAAAACATTTATTATGTGCTATGTCATATAAATGATAATATAATATAATGATAATATATATATACATGTCATATAATGAACATAATAGGTATTACTATTGTGAAATAAAATTAAAAGTATTTAAATTAAAAAAAAAATGTATTTATAACCATGATATAAGTATTAATTGCAAATAAATAAAATATAAGATTTGTATTTGAGTTCTTAATATACGTGTCACGTGAAATACATGTTTATCCAAAATAAAAATGTATTACCTTTTCTTTATTTAAGTATGGACTATTGTAACTTCTTATAAATATTGTTCACTTATACTATTTTCTGTCTATCAATTCAGTTTTACTTATTGTACTCTATGTGTATAGATTGTATAATTATCTTATTAATAATAATAAAAAAAAATTTTATTAATACTTGAAGTGTCTACTTATACAAAATTACTAATTTTATCATTATAAAAACGGACATATATTTGGGATTAACACGTATTTCAAGTGACTCATGAATTCCATCACATCTGTAATAAAAGCTCTAATTTTGTATATTATACATACGTTAATATAATAATAACAATAGATATATATTTTCTTGCCTAAATAGTATAACTAGCAACCAATTAAAAATATTGGTTAATTTAAATTGTTTGATTATTAATTTAATTATATTTTGTATAATCTTTTCCTGATGAAGTACCTCCAATGGGAGGTCTCTTCACTCCGTCATTACTGTTTTGTTTTTATTATTATATCAAATAAGCTTATTGTTCCAATTTGTAACAGATTGCTAAATAAATAATTAAGTTAAAAAAAAAATAAAAATATTTTGTATAATTATTACTTTCGAACATTTTTTCTGGAGTACCTACACTTAACAAAACACTTACATTGATTACAAGTAACATATAAAATATGAATTACGTATCCTGTACAATGTTGATGAGTTTGAATATAAAATTTTTTATTCGTAGAAATCTATTTAAACATTGTAAACGAGGTTTTATTAATCGAACAAAATTAAAAAACTAATTTATGCATTAGTCTAGAAGAAAATATGTATCTACTTTTACGTAGGTATATTTATAATGTAAAAATATTTACTTGGTGTATTATCGTTATACGATTTTTTATCCACTTGAATTTGTTGATCGGTCATATCATTCATATCTGTATTGTTTTCCTGTTATTTTTTTTTTAAAAACTATTTATTTATCAGGAATAAAAAAAATTACATTCACTTACTTTAACATTTTTTTTAATCACACTTAAGGCTTCCTGTTCATTACCATTGGCAGTTGGAGTAATTGTAGTGAATATTTCAATGTTTTCTTTTCGTTCTTCGATTACTTTTTTTGCAACCTTCAATGGGGGTAATGTGTCTGTGGATTTCATTTGTTTTACGTTATCATTGTCGATAAGTTCGTTTTCGGCCGGCTCGGCATGAACTAATGTATGATTACCTCCACAACTGACCTAAAACAGCCAAAATAAATAGTATTTCAATTAATATTGAAAATATTTATCAGTAAACAACCAACCATCTGCACGTTTAAATTTTTATCAACAAATTTTGAAACAAGCATAGGAATTGTTATTTGATTAATGTCTATGCAGAGCTTTCCGTACTTTCCATCGCCACACATGAACAGTTTACCGCTTGCTGTGTCAGCAGCCGAAAAACACATAAGACAATTAAATGGATTTTTGGTTTTCACAGATAAAATGCTTAAAAATGATCAAAAAACCAGTGAGTATGTATTAAAATATTTATAAAATTATTTATAAAAAACGATCAAAATGAAAACTAAATATATAAACCAAAACTTATGTTGGTTCTTGTTTTCTCTCGGTATAAATGTAATTTACCAGTAATAAAAGCGCTGTGACTTTCACCGCAGTTTATTTGAACAATTCGTTCGTTGGTGATGGGGCAAGGGTACAGATGACCTTGAGATGTAACACTTCGCAAACCGATTTGACCGCAGTCGTTTTTACCGCATACGAAAACTTTTCCTGCATCTGTTTAGAGTAAATCGATTATTATGCGGTTTAACATTGAAGCGTTTTTATAATCATATTGATGCACCATGTACATATAACAAGTGTATATACTTAATTCAACGATGACAATAAGTCTATACTAGCAATAACTGAACTAATTTACTGTATCGTATTATAATTACCGTTCAATGCGACCGTGTGGTTGGCTCCGCATGCGACTTGAACTATCTTCTCGGTCGTATCGACCTTGTTAAGCGACCAAAGATCGTGGCCGAGTTTTCCGTACTCCCGGTCGCCACACGTGAACAAATCTCCAACTTCTGTTAAGATTGAATTTCCGTACCCCCAGGAAGTATTTATTGTTAGTTTATAATACAATATAGCTACTTTATTATTACAAACTATATACATTAATACGTGGTGTTATGAGTCCATCGAAACAAACGTTTCCGTATATACGCACAGGGCCATCCGCATATGTATAATATTTTTTTATAATTAAAGTATCCTAATTAGAATTAATATTAAAGTCCGACGATTAAATTGTAAAGATTAATAACAGATTAGTAGAGGCTATTTATATATTAAAATTTAGATATGTAAGCTAGTATTAAAAATTAAGGATATAGTAAAAATATAGTAGGAGATTGAAAGTTGAGGAAAAAGCTGGTATTGTTTGTATGGTTAGTTTAGGTTAGTCCAAGGAATCAAAGAAAGGTAAATAATCTGGGTATAGTCGAATTGCACTTAAATTTAAAAAAGGGATTGGTCGAATTGCACTCGGGTAAAAAGCAGGTAGTGGCCGAACTGCGCTTGGGTTCAAAAAAGTATTTCAATAAAACTATCATGCATTTGAAAGGGTTAGATTTATTTTATTTAGTTACATTTATTATTATTTAGTAATCATTGATGTGGTTAAAAATTATTGTTTTATACATCACATTGTTATACATTGCTATATGTTAACTATATATATTTGCATTATAATTGTTGTATTGTACATATTATTATTGTTATACATTTTTTTTAATCGTCAAATTTAATTATTGTCATTATTATTTAATTCTTATTATTATTTAGATTCTTTAATATTGAAATATAGCTTATAAATGAAAATCGTTCAATACTTTTTTTAATTAGCAAATTAAACAAATTATAACCTAATAAAACATACTATTTTCTTTTTTTTTATTGTTTTATTTTTTTTTCATTAGGTACATCATTTTTAAAATTAATTTTGTTATAATATTTTGCCGTCCCTGAGACTTGATGCCCCCGAGCATGTGCCTACCCATACCCCCCCTAAATACGGGCCTGGATTATGGATATTATACAGTATAACGTTACAATTTCACAAGTAGTCACGAAATGCTAAATACTACAAGCTGTAGTAGCGTCATTTAGCAGGAGTTAGTGATAGTGATAATTTCCCTTCTTTAATTTTAAAAACAGTTTGACAGCATGATAACCGTTAGTGCGAGATCAGCCTATCCACTGTTTTTTTTTAATTTTTAAGAAAATCAATATAAACAAATTCAATAGTAAGCTTTGAGTTTTCTTAAGATACTATTGGCTATAGTGTTGTCCCACCTCTAAAAATTCTGAAATGTCATCAATGGTTGTTATGTTAAATTTGAACGAGCCCGTGTGGTGTATTGCGCATGTACGTGCGGTAACCTACTCGTAACGAATGCAGTGTGATTGTGCCCACATGATATGAACACCACGGGATGGTTGATCGGCACTATAGTAGGTATTTTGATGTTGGCCGAATCGTTGATTGTATCCATTCCCAGTTGTCTCTCGTTATTTGAACCCCAAACATATACATCACCATTTTCTAACGAAAAAAAAATTAAAACAATGTACAGAACGTACTTAATATTGTACAATGATTGTTGCAGCATTAATTACGACCTAATAGAACCGCCGTATGATATGACCCGGCAGATATTTGAATGATATTATCGTTGAATTGAGTTACTCTGATAGGGTCATAACTGTTCAATACGTCTATCATCGGTTGTCCGAGTTGTCCTTCGCTATTATCGCCAAATCCATAGACCGTGTTTTTATCTGAAGGAGGAAAAATAAACATTAACAATATTATAGGCCACCTTTATTATAATTTACCTGATATATGTAGATTATTTTTTTAGAACTATTAAGATATTAATACTTTTAGTTACTATATAGTTTATTACTTAAATGAGCATTTTCATAGTTTCCATAAATATACGTATATTATTAGTATTATTAGTATATACCATAAGATGATACACTGACATGTTACTAAATCCTGTTATTATCATGGCAATAAGTATTTAAACTTATATTTTCAGAAAAATCCAAAAAAATAGAGGAGAAATGTTTTTAGAATTTCAACAATTCGAGTATAAGTATTATTAGTAAATAGTAATTAGTATTATTCGAATAAGAATTTACTGTTAATATTTTTTTAAAACGAATAAAAAGTTCAATAACTACTCAAAATACTTAAAGAGTTTGATCAATAACTAAAATACTATCTATTCATGTCAATCTAAACCATATTTATATTAGAATATTTAATAATATTGATTTTTTTTTTTTTTTTTTATAACAGCAAGTAGAGGTATTTCTTTGGTTGCTACTGGCTAAGCATAAGTATATGCCCAACACAATTCAGTAAAATTAAATAATGAGAGAAAACAGACATTTTAAGTACTATCTATTATACTGTATCCGAATGATCAATAATTTTAATTGTTCTTTTTCCATTGATAATATTTTTAAGTAAACATATTGTTTGTGGATTAAAAATTACACATTTTTAAACTTCAATATATTTAATATACGTAAATATTAAAAGTAAAAGAACTATAAAAAAATGTTGATAAAACGTAAAAGTGTCAACAGAGCCGGTGAGAGGGTGAGATAGGGAGGGCTGTGACCCTGGGGCCCGTACCTCCGATAGGGCCCGTCGTCTCAGCCATTTATACAAAATTGTTTTATAATCTCATTCGCTGTAACATAAGATACAAATTTAAATACTTTTGTTGTAGTAGAGTATGTATAAGTTTTTACAAGTAGTAAGTATATCTTAACCAAATAAGTGAAAGCAAAGGGGGCCTGGAACCAATCGGTCGTAAGGCCCTCAAAAGTTCTTGCCGGCCCTTCTAGTTAAGTATTGAAAAAAATTTTAATATATTACTCCAACCATGTAGATTCTTAGTAAAAAAAAAAATGAGGTATAACAAGAGCTTAAAATTTCGTTATAATTATTTTAATATGAATAATGAAATCAAAAACATAAGTGTGAAAAACATATTTTTGGTACACAATGAATTTTGAATTATTTTCAAGATTATACATTTATAAACAAATAACAATTAATGAAGAACTTTGATTTGGTGGAGTTATTTTTAGTGGTAATCCATCCGAAATCTTGACGTCTAATACGTTTTGTCATTTTGGCACTACTGACTTTATTTTAAAATAGGTATTGTTGCCTGGGGTAATAGGTATATTATTCTACAGTCCTAAAATAAAAAATACTACTCACTATAATCTTTAAAGTGATTTGAAATAGAAATTTATGGAAATTAAATACTAAATCACTTAAATGGATGAAAGTTTAGAAAAACAAGTATAAAATGTTTTGATTACAAAACAAATCTTATAAAAATAAGAAATTTTCAATTATATACCTGTTTTTAACACACTTGTTTTCAATTTTTTGCATTAGTTATTAATAACTAATAATATATTACTATAATAATAGTCCAATAATAACTTATTATTCTTTAGAAAACTCAGTTAAAAATTACAATTGTATTAAATAAATTAAAATATATTTACCTGTCGAAACAATAGTATGTGATCGTCCGCATGCTATATGCTTTACTTTATCTGGTTTCAAGTCTATATAAACATTTTAAATTATGTTGGTCGTTAGACATAAGTATGTATAATTTTATAAATAAATAGTCTTTACTTTTGACACAATTTGGTTTATAAACATTTTCCGTGTGTCCTAAGCCTAGTTGTCCAAACATGTTTTTACCAAAACAAAAAACTCGTCCGTTTTCTAAAATAATTCAATGTATTTAAAAACATAAAACTATTAAACAGATTTTTATAAGCAAAAATTTTTAATGTGTATGCATTATTTTTTGTTTCCATAACTATTAATTTATTGCTGCAATTTTATCAGATATATTTATGTATATATAAATTAATTTTTAAAAACTTGTAAATAAAATGAATAACAATGTTTTAAGTTATAGAAATTTAAATAACTTTTTGTTTATTTTATAAAATACATTCACATATGAGTTATATTTGTTTTATAAAAATGAAATATTTGAAAATCTGAACTACGAGTACATATTTTTATGACCGGATTATTGGTTTTTAAATATATCAAAATATGTTTTAGTTTTATGAGACATTGGTGTTATATGAGTTTAAAATAAATCTTTTCGTGGTGTAGTTTATTTTCGTTCTGCTTACGACATACAAAATACAATTTATATATTAGTCCATAAAAAGTAACATTTTTTATATTATTGTTAAATATTTAATTTACGGATCAACACGAAAATAGAAAATTAAAAGTTACAACAGTATTCATTTTTTAAAACTGAAAACATGTGAACTTAATTTTCATAAGCATTATGTATCGACTTATATAATTGTTTCATACAACTAATTACTTCAAATATTTTATTGAAGCATAATAAATGATTATTTTTTATGGTTCATAAGCTAAAAATATGAAAAGTGCATGTTTATAAAGCAACGTGTGGGTCAAGTTGGATAATAAATGCAGTCATATATTAAACATTCATTATTTAAAATTTATCACTAACCGCAAAAAGTAATATATGTATATATTTTTTTAATACATCAAGATTTGTCATGACGTGTATAGAACAATACAATTTCTTAAGAAGTATTTATTTAAATGACAAGTATCGTATTTACTCTGTATTCGTAAAATACCAATAATATTATTGCGCTAGTAGACATAATTACTTAGATAATATAAAATAAACATAATTATTATTTATTATATTATTAAAGCTTGCGCTAATATGCAGTTGTGCACATAATGTGCAGTTTTTCTTTAAAAGTTGTGCAGTTCATAAAAAAAATAATATGATTTGAATTTTTAATATTTAATTCTATATGTCTATGAGTTAGGTACCATTTGACATTATTTTGTTTTCCGGAATTATTAGAAATTATGATTAAAACATTGGTAATAAATATTTATCTATGAATATTAAGAAATTAAAACTACGGTATTAGTAATTTATTAGTCTCCATTAAGTTCCGCCATGAATGTTTCAACTGAAAATATTTACTTATACAATAATTATAACATGCCTCCCTTGTATGATTGGAATCCTAATACAAAAACAAAGGCTAAGCAACAAAATTATTTTAAAGGTGTGTTTCTAGATGCTACAAACAAACATCACTAATTTGAATATAGTGATACTGACAATGAAGAGGTTGTCACAAAAAAGAAAAAGAAATCATTTTAAAATTATATTAAAGGAATTTGTTATTTCAATTATAAAAATCTGTATACATTATGAAGTATAATATAATATTGTTTAATATTGATGTTAGTATGTATTATTTATTATATGCGAGCGAAGCGAGTGTCAAATTTTTTTCACTTCTGTAAAACAAACAGGATGTGCAGCGCTAATATTTCCTTTGCGCAAGCTCTGTTATATTATATATCAATGTATCATTTAATTTTTATGGACAAACAATCTAATCTACGAATAAAATGTCTAGAACTTAAAATCTTACTACAAACAATTCCAGAATGTTCATTTCCACAACTAATTTCGATTATAGGATCATTTCTTATGAAAAAATGACTAGGAATGTTGTCTGCAAAACTACTTTTTCCATACGTGAACACAGCTCCGGTGTCTGAAATTAAATTGTATAACAATTTAAAACTTTAATATAATTTTAACTAAATTATTATAACACAGATCTTGAGTGTAGAAACTGATATCTATAAAAAAAATAAAGAATACAAACAAATTAATACCATAGGTAAAATAACAAAATCACAAAAAAATAACAAACTCGAATGGAGAGAAATCTATTTTACTTTATATTTATTTTTCAAATATAAATAGGTATTGTTGCTTTATAAAAGCTATTGTTTGATTTTTATTACTTATGTGCTCATTGTGCACGTAAAATATGTAAGTTTGCATGATAAAAAATACATACTTAGTAAAATCAATTCGTTGAATTTCAAAATATTTGTTCTTTGTAATATTTTTTTTGTAATTTTCCTTGGAAAAATTACCCTTAACCATTTCTTTATGGTTATTTTTTACCCATTTCTACTTAGTAACAGGTTTTACATTTATATAAATGTTGTCTACATAATAACGAATAGGTACGTGTACAATTTAATTTTTAAAATTAAACTTTTAATGCTTAATGAAAATAATAAAATAAATACAAAGTTTAGTGATTGAATTAATTACACATTTTAAAGGAAAAAAATGGCGACTCTTCTAGGCTGAGTAATAATCCACGGTCAAAAGGGGTGATACAAGGATGGTTGAATGGTATTACTGTATTGGTTTTTTGAACTTGAAGCCAATGTAGCTTTGCTTATAAAAAAAAACGAATTTGATTGAAAGAGATTGGGCGAATCAGTTTATATTTCTAAAGATGGTTGGTATAATGGAAGAACCAAATTTCTTTATAAAATAGGTTGAATTTTCAATATTTTAACTTTCGAAAAAAAAATCATCTACATTTCTAGTGCTTATAAACAACAAAATCTTCAGCTATATAATTCGAAACTATGGAATGTCTTTAACTATATAATTCTTATCACTTAATAGGAAATCGTTAAAATATCTGATTTCGTAAAGTTTTTATTTTGTATTGATTTTATTATTAAATATTAAATTATTTTTAAAATTTATAATTTTCATTTTTTTTTTTTTTTTTATTTGACTTATTAATTATATTAATAATCGACCATAAAAATGTAGCGGATTCGCGTGATTTTTACCATTTTATCAAAATTGATAAATACTAGTATTTTTTTTTAATTTATCAATAATATATGAATATATATTTATATGTATATATGTTTTTAAATATAAGATTTTCCAGTCACAGTGTTTGTTATTGAACTCTTCCGAAACGGCTTGACCGATTTTCATGACATTTTTTGTGTATGTTTGGTAGGTCTGAAAATAGCTTATAGGTTATTTTTTAAACCTTTAGATGTAAAGGGTGGCTCACCTCAAAGTTTAAATTATATATCTATAATATAGGTAGAGTCATTGGCTTAATATCCATGCCAACAGCAAATTATAAATATCACACATTTTTATTGTAATAAGTAAGGCATGGATTTCAATGCAAAATTCATTTTTTTATCTAAATCCTTACGCAATTCTCAGTTTGGCAAAATTATGTTTCAAATGGTGTAGATTCATATAATTCAGTTTTTATTTTGCATTTTTTTGCATTTTTAGTCGTATATACTTCTTTAATGTATTTATGGTATTTGTACTACTTTTAAGGACAATATTTTCATCTTTTTTAAAAATTTAGCATTTTTGGAAAGAATTAAAAAGAATTCTAGTATTCAATATTTTTCTTTAATGAAATTATTGACAACTACACTTTATCGTCTTATGTTATCGTTATATTATTAAATTATAGTATAATAGCCGATAAAAATAATACGGACTACATGTGTATAGTGACATACTTGGCCTAGGTTAACACACTATTAATAGTCCCATCTATTAGCTGATAACTAGAAATAATTGACATTTGAACACGTCAAACAATATATTGTTGTGCAGAGAACACATACACCACAAAGTAAAAATACTTGAATATTATTAAAATAAATAGATTTTTTTTTTAAATTCTATTCATTATTTTCTACAAAGATAGATTGTTACACACACACACAACATTACTATAATTTATATTATCATAAAATCATAATTGTCATTTCAAGATATACGCTAAGTGAATGGACAACAGTATTCAACCTTTAAAGATGCATGGCTTGATTTCAGACAAACACTTCCTGTCATTCCACGTTCAACGTACGCTGATGAGATCAACACTTGCTTGAAATCTTCGCCACTGTGGTATAATGTTGAAAAACTACAACTAAAAGTAAACATGCGTTTTCAAATGATCCTCTGACAATTTTTAAAACAATTGTTAAATATCGACAGTGGAAAAATTGCTGTAGATGAAAGTACTGGATACATAACATTACCGATCGATTTCTGTACAACCATTGATTCACAAAATGTTCTCATAGAATACATAAATCCATATATACACATTCAATACACAAATAATGAATGGCTGGTAGAACGAGTAATTTTGGCAACAAAAATGTTGGACGTCAGCAATTAAAATTCTAGATACAAGAGTTGTTGCCAGGTGATTTAGTATCATAGAAATCAATAGATACAGTTTGAGATGCCAATGAAGCTATAAATTATATAACAGATTTTTTGAACTCATTGGATTCGCCAGGCATGCCATTGAACCATCTCTAACTTTAAGTTTAATACGAAATTTGAATTTTTCACCGCTATTCAATGGCACTCGGTTCGATTAGTTGTTAAAAAATTAATGAAAAACATTAACGAAGCCACTATTTTGAATGGCAAGTACTGAGGTGAAAATGTATTGCTGTAAATAAAAATAAATGTACCAAAAATCCCAATAATTCTGACAGACATGCCGACTGAATTTAAACGCTTTCAATTACCAATTAGATTGGTATTCTCAATGACAATCAAAAAGTCCCAAGGCCAAACAATGTCTGCTTGTGGCATAGATTTGAGCATACCATATTTCACATACGGACCTTTATACGTCAGATGTTCTTGTGTAGATAAGCCATCAAGTTTATTTGTGTTGGCTATGGACGGTATAACAAAGAAAATCGTACGTTCAATTGTTCTTCAAGATTAGTATTGAAGTTTTTTTTTAAAAATTTTTATTGAAGATAATTAATATGTATCACTTTTTTAAAAATTTAATACATTAAATTAAAAAAAATTAATGACTGGCATTTTATAATTTTTATAGGCAGTCATCATCCACAGGACTCCATTTTTTTTTCAATCATAGACACCATCCCAACATAATTACGATAAGATAGTTATTTCTTATACTACAAAATATATACTAGAAATATTAGAAATATATGACAAAACAACGTTTGCTGGGTATATATGAATATATATATATATTCTAGCTATAAATATATATTTACGAGAAACTTTATGTTGCTTTCAAACAAGTCCACGCTCAAGGTTACACCAAAATTATATTTATTGACATTTTCAAAAAAAATTTAAGAAAACATGAAATTTTGAAATTCATACCATCTATAGCAAACGTTAACATAATCATTAAGCGAATTTCATGTCTCTACGATTATTATTTTTTAGTTCCGATAAAAACAAAAATTTAATTTCATCGGATTTACAAAAAAAATTTTGTTTCTTTCAGTTTCGAAAACTATTGAGAAATTCAAAAAATTACCTCGAAATATCAACTTGAAGCCATTTTCGATCTTTTAACTAATATTCGATGATAATTAAAACATTATTTTTGGTTAAAATTTTGTACACAACTATAAAAAAACACACATGGTAAAATCAATACATTTTTTGTTTCATTCAGAATCTAAAAATAATAATACTTAAATCGTTTGGTTATTATTAAATTTCAATACGTGTTTTGGGATCAAAATATTACCGTATTAATCCTATATTTACCAAACCATGGTCTCTTTAATTTATATAATGTATTATAATACTTGGTGTAAAAAATAAAATGTAGTTTATTTTTTGTAGTTAATAATACTTGAGGTTTAAACATAGTGTCTATAACAGTAAAAAATATTTAACCTTGGATATCTTTAGAAATAAATGACAGTTTCATTATATTATTATTATTTTTTCATTTAAAGAAAATATCTGGCTTTTCATCATAAAAATATTGTTTTTCTACTTCCTAGGATTATTTATAATACTTATATGTCCTTCAAAGTAATTATTAAATTTAACAAATATTGGTGTTTATATATTTTAAACATTATTGTAAAATGTAATTTACTTATAATTTGATTAATTGGTTATATGCAATTATTCTATCTGAATAGAACATACGTATTGCTATATATCAGTAAAAGTTATAAATTTATAAAACTTCAGTTTTAATGATAGGCGTAATAAATTTTTAAATAATATGTTATTTTGTGATTATGTTATAAATTACTCTGTGTTTGAACTCGATTTAAATTACATAAAAATTACTTGTGCATGCAAAATAAATTTAACTTTTGTGTTTCATGATATTCGTACAAAATACATTACTAATATAGAATAATAATATAATTAAGAAGCATTCAAATAAATTAAAATAAAATATTAAAACTCTAATTTATTTTTATTTAAATATTTTTTTTTTTTTTTACTTTTTAATAATAGATTGTGACAATAAATATAAAATTACTACCGTTAAAAATAATAGTTGATTGTATTGTTCAAAAAAAACCTATAGATGTATTTAAAAAATAAGTGATTAAAATGTGTTCACGTACGTGTAAATGCACTTGCTATAGCATATTTATAATAAGTTTTAAACTTCCTCAAACAAAATACACCCCATAAACTGCTCCAATAATCGATATTACTCGCGAAAAACATAACACTTAGATCTGGATCCATAATTAATTTCTTCTATTCTCGTGGTAGAACGTAAATTCCGATAGGTGAAGAGTAAACATTTCCTCTTACAGTACATTATATCATTATATACAGTACTCATATCTTACTTCTGAATTTGAAACCCCGGTGAGGAATGTACTTCTATACTTCTAGTATATGTTACGGGTAATAACATTTAATAATAACATTAATAATAACATTTGATTAATGTCGACATTATCCATATATGTTGGCTAATGTGTATTTTTTTAAATATCAAAATATTAATTAAAAAAAATAAATAGAGTAAGACACAAATACTAATTAATTATTATATATTATTTATTTAATTCTATCTATAAACTATTTGTTTATTTATTTATATATTATTATAAATTATTTTTAATGTATAATCACATCACACCCAACGAGGAGCTGTCTTGCCACCTTTCAATTCATTAATTATATTTAAATATTTTTCACTTAATAAATAAAATGAATTATTTTCTTGTTTTTTTTAGAGAAAAAAATTTCAAATAAACGATAAATTGTATTTGCATTTTAATTAAATAAAAAAATTAAAACACAATATTGCTCACGAATATCACATGTGAAAACAGACTAACTACAGATCGGCATCGTGTATTGTTCTTGTACAGCATATAGTTATAATAAAAACATCGTCCAATTAAAATACCATACCTACCTAAGATAATACTCCCATTTATTTTTCACTTAATTGTTAAGATTTATTATTTTAACATTATAGTATACCTACAGAATGTTAACAAAAACTCTAAATTAATTTGTATAACATTATCCAAGGAATTAATATTTCATATTTAAACAGAAAAAATTATACATTAACCGACCTGCATGGATAATTCCAATATTAACTGACGAAAGTCGATATTAGCCAAATGTTAACACGTATAATATTTTAGTAGTACTGCGATGCTGTAACTATACTTAAGTCCAACTACGTATCTGCGATACGTAATAATAAGAACAATGTCACAGTTTCGACTGATCAAGTGTGCTGTAAATAAATTAATATTACTATCTTACCCGGTATCACGTCTTCTTCGGACATATCGGCGGTTTTCCGTACGAATGTCAGTGGGAGCAAAATCCGCACGGATGTGAATGAACCGTGGTGATTTATGGGCAATGAAGAAGTACTATACGTGCAAGTACATGTACATTATGTTTGCGGTGGTTACCACGTGGTTGCCAGGTGAATGTGCTTATCCGTAAACATAACAATTGCAACCCTACCGCCACCACATTCTTTCGGCAACAGTTATTCGATAGGATAGGATAGGATAGGAACATGTCGGTAGTGTGGTATATGAAAATACGAAAAAAAACAACAAAATGTAGTTATAGGTATCTATTATAATAATGATGTGAATATTAACGAGAAAACAAACATCTAGATAGAAACACCCAATAAAAACGTTTTTCCAATGTAACACGAAACGCACGGAACTCATTTATGAAGGACAGTTATTAATTTTTATACCAATAATTCCTAAAAATATTTTAAATAAATAGTTGGTGAGATTTATAATTTTAAAATCTATATGTCTTACGTCAAATAAAAATCATGAATAATAACAAAACAGATAAAAAAATGGATAAAATAATTCTATATTTAAATATCCCGGATTAAAACCGATAGTATAAATAGGAGGAGGGAGGGTGCTGGGGTCCCAACCCCCAAAAAAAATGTATTTGAAAACTTCAAATTTTAAACATATCAATAATATTATAATTTTAGTTTGTTTATTCAATAAAGTATTAAAATATAATGAATATATATATATATATATATATATATATATATATATATATATATATAAAAAAAATATTAATATCGCTATAATTGAATTGTAATCGGATAATAATAATAACAATCGACCGCACGGCACTCACACACACATGGAATATAAATAATCTCATGTGGGGAGATTATTGGTCGATAAGAAAATCAATATCTTAGTCCGTGACTGTCACGTCTTGTCAGTTGTCATTATGCACTATGCATCTGTGCGCAACATAAATTAATATAAAATACGATTAATAGAATCATAAAATTATTTCACTATTAAGTATGACCTCCCCCCCAAAAAAAAAAAAAAATTCTAAATACGCTACTGGTACAAACCAAGTAATAGTTCAGATAAAATTTGCCATAATTAATAATTTTTCATAATAGCCATTTGTAGTGTGTACGGATTTGGAACCCGGTGACACGTTATTGTGCGTCACTCAGTGCTGTTTGTTTTCTTCACATCACGCGGCGAGTTCTTGTGTTGCATGGATTTCGTTCATCCTTTCTGGTGAGCAATATTATCATCACTCGGTTGTGAGGTTAGGTTAGGTATATTTTGATCCACGAATTGATCTCGATACGATAAAAGTGACATCGATTGGTATTTTTTCTTCGTTTAATAACAAATCACGTCTAATAAACGAAGCAATGTCATTTTTACGAGCATTAAAATGTTCCCTCTAAAAAATTACGAAGCCCAACATAATTTATTAATTTTAATGCAGTGTTAGCTGTCAAGCTACAGGTATAATACAATAGAACAATAGATATTGTACCTTATTTGTTTCTTGGACAGCTTGAATCAAATTTTTATTTTCAACATGATATTTTTCACGTGATACATTTCTCTACGTTTTCCTTAAATAATAAGCAAGAAAATGTATAGGTAAAATCGAATTAAATTATTATTAAATATTAGGTAGGTATTATTAATTATTATTATCATAAATTATCAAATTCTATTTTTATTTTAATAAACTCATTCAAATGTCTTATAATAATTAATATGACATAATAGTTATTAAATAAACCGCAGTGACTACAGTTAAATTTTTGATACATGTTTTAACTGGTGTTAATTTAATTTTGCATAATTTTAGCGTGAGTTGTAACGCTAATTATAATAAGTGTACAAAATACGTCATACATATTTAAATATTTTGTACGATTTTAAAACATTTAATTCCGGGCCTAATAATGTTTAGTATTTTAAATAATTTAAAATTGTAATACATACATTAGGTCCAGGCTTCTTTTTGAAAAAATTCAATAGAGTACTTCTAGTTGCTGGTAATTTTCTTTTTTTTCTTTTTTTTTTATTATTGCCTCTGTGCCTAGCACTTATTATATTGGTGTCATATTTCATTTTTATTATTAAAGGGTTAGGCATAAAAACCTGACACATTTTAAAACCCCCTAATTCAGCCGCATCAAAACAATACGAGGTCGAGTTTGAAGCAAATAAAAATAGACAGTTGAAGGTTTTTAATATTTATTTTTTAAAATACACATCGTTCAAATGATGACCATTACGTTCAATACAATTTTCGAGCCGTTTTTCGAAGTTTTTAAAAACTTTTTGCAAGATTGCAGGTGATATATTCGCGATTTCGGTCTCGATATTCATCCTAAGTTGGTCCAAGGTGCATGGTTTATTGACGTAGACACGTTGCTTCAGATAACCCCACAAAAAGTAGTCGCAGACGGATAAATCTGGCGAACGCGGTGGCCACTGAAACTCACGTGGAATTTCTTTGCTGGCTAACTTCGCTGTCATTTGCCTAGCAAACTGTAACCTCGTCGCATAATCGGTTGGTAAGAGTTCTTGTGTGATAAGAATCTTGTACGGATGAAAGTACATTGCTTTCAACATCCTATTGAAAGATTGGCGAGAAATGTTCAACACTTATTGAAATGTTTTTTGGCCGAAAGTCGAGGACTTGTCTGTAAAGCACTCCTAACTCGATTAACGTTTTCTGGTGTCCGCACCGTGACCGGACGCCCGGATGGTTTTTTTTTATCAGCCCGAGCCATCTCTTGAAAGTTTTTAATCTATAGCTTCACCATATTCCGCGACGGGACCGGATCAAGTGGATTTAATTCGTATATATTTAATTCGTATATTCATTTTATAAAAATGCTCTCATGATTTTGAAAATTCCCTTGATTATTCTCTAGTTTCGTGTAAAGAACATTGTTCCGCAATTGATGTCTTCCTCTTTTAATATCTAATAACTACAAAGTTTTTTTTTTTGTGTTTATTATCTGCATTTTTGATGTTTTTTATAACGTATCCATTATTTATGGAGAATTTTAGGGAATATCTTAGACATATTTTTCTTGGTTGACTGATTCACCACTATAATTTTTTATTATTTATTATATTACGTGCATGTAAGTTATACCGATTCACCGATAGTGAATCTGCTATTAATTTGTTTTGGACTTAAGTGAAAATAAATAAAAGTTTCAAAATTTGAATACATTAACATAGGCGAAACTACACACTTTTATTAAGTCAGGCCAATTAACTATTATTTCCTATAATATAATTATAAATATATAATATAAAAATTTTATAATATAAAAAAAAATAATTATAAAAATAAACGTCAAATGTCTAAATTAAACAATAACTAATAAAACCAATTATTCGAATACATAGAATAGACTTGTTATATTCTATTATAATCCTTATTTGTACCAATTGTACCTTTTTTTTTTTATCTAAAAGCAGCCCCAATTATACCTATATACTATATTATATTATAATATTATATAAAACGTACAAATTTATACGTTTACACATATAAATACATTATTTATAATGCCTAAATAATTAGTAAAATATATTATATATACATATTTTTAGTTAGTATTAGGTTAGGCCATGACCTGACTGGCCTGACCCGTAGTTTTGCCTATGAACATTAATTAAACTTATAGATATTGGCTTCAAACACTCTACAATTTCTTAAAAGCTTAGTTATACTCGAGACATGAACATTTTATTTCAAAATAAATAACAATTGTAAATTTAACTGTTGATAAACAATTATTTAGTTAAATCGAATAAAATACAATTTTTATTTTATTAACATGTCAACTGAAAATCTATCTGATGAATATTATGAAATGCACGATGCATATAGTATTCTATCTTTCCGTCCGAATGACAATAACGGAGACTTTGAAGATAGCGCATCTGAAGTAATAACTTGATTCTACTAGTATACATAGTGTGCCTACTAGGTCAGATTATAAATTTCAAGTAGTCAATGACGATTAAATCAAGCTATTTTATTTTTTTTTGTTACAATTAAGTTTTCTGGATTTAAAGTCAGAGATTATCTAATAACCTTGATTGATACTCTGTATAGTATTTATCTATATTGTAATGCATATCAAAATAAATATTATTGGTCCCATGAAAAAATGTAGATAATACAATTTCTTTAAATATAATTATCTGTATAAAATATTATTTAATTTTAATAGTAGTAAGCAATAAAGACTTTAAGTTATAATAATATTTGTATAAAATTAGGAGAAAACTGAAAAAATATTTTAAAATCATATTAATTATTGTCAAACGCTGTTATAAATAATAAATATCTAAGAATTTTGGTATATTTTAAGGACAATTTCATCAAATATGAGAATACGTACAGAATGGAATCGAAAACCCCTTTTGATGAACAAAAAGCAATGGTTATAGTAAAAAATGAAATTGAGAAACATTTTAATGAAGAAACTAAATACGATGCATATGAATCAGATAAGCTCTGTGTATCAATGATATGTAACATTAAAAATTATATTAGGGATATAGATTTTGAAAGGTAAAGTTATTTAATATTTTTATACATTATTTTTGTTCACATGAATAATTTTTAAAAACTTTTTTTTTTAATACGTAAAATATTACTTTTAATTTTATTATAACTCTTAATATTTTAGTATAATTAATATTAAGGCTCGGATTTAAATACCCAAAAGTCTACTAAAAAATGCTATGAAAATTTGTTAAAAACGCCTTAACATACCAAAATATAAAATTAAAATCTTGTTGAAATATTTTATTCTTTGGTATTTTTAATTTCACAATTTACAACATGCGAAGATTAAATATGCACAAAAAATTAATAATAATAACTTAAAAGCTAAAAAATACTTTAAAAATAAGAAAACCATGAAAAATTCAAAATAAACAAAATTAAAATGTAATATGCTTTTTTTATGTAGGTACTTTTTTTTTAGAATATTTATTTAAATTACGTTGTTGTTAATGATATTAAATAATATATAATAATTTTTTTTGTTTAGATATAAAATAGTTTGTATCGTTCAAATCGCAGAAAAGAAAAATCAGGGAGGTGTTTGGTCTATTTTAAGATTTTTACGTGACTTAGAAAAAGATAAGTATGTTGAAAGAAACTTTGAAAATAATAATTTGTTTGTTTCTGTTGTAGTAGGAGCATTATATTATGAATAAAAATGATTGTTTTAAAAAAATTTAATAAAGAAAACTTATTAAGGCGTAATTTATAAATATAAAATACGATTAGCAAAAAATCAATAAATCATATAAGCTTGAAATGTAAAATAATGGATTATTTAATACTCTAGATGTGCAGTAAGAGGATATTTTTTGGAAATCACATATTTGTGCATTGAACCAGTTTTGGGAAGAGTATATAAATGTTTTCGCTTTTTGGTTACCTACGAAATATTTCATTATTTTCAATATGCTGATTTTAATAATTACCGATTAAGGTTTATATAATTATAATTCAAATTCATAATATCATTATTAAGAACAAGAAACGATTGTGCACTTTTTTCAATCTTAGATAATTTTTTTTTACATTGAAATTATCTAATTTAAAATATTTAAATATTTCCTGGTGAGTCAGGTACTTGACTAAGTGATATTATAACTGTATGAATATGCTATTGAAAATTGTTAAGTTCAGCTACTTGAAGAATCTATTTAAAAGTAAAAATTGAAAACCTTAACTGATATCAGAGTAAAATGTAAAAGTATTCACTTTGGCCATTCATTGAAAACCAATTTAAGGATGAAATATATAAATCAAGATAAAAATAATTCAAGAATTATAGTAAATTTATCTTGTATTATCTGTAGCAGGGGTGGCGAAACCTTTTTCGGTTCAAGAGCCAATTTTTTTCTTTTAAGGTTTTAAAAATTGTTCACGTGCCCAAAGAAAATTATATTTTCTAATTGAAAAATAAAACTATTCTAAATTTTCGTGCAAACATTTATTATGATACTATAACAACTACAATTAACTGCAAAAAAACAAATCATAAATAACTGAAGAGAATAACCTGAGAAAAATATACGAGATTCTTGGAGAACATAATCATTGGGACTAATATAACATAATATTTAATAAAAAATAAAATATTTATTATATATATTATATATATTTATTAAATATTCTTACACGATTTGTTAAGATAGGACCCAATAATATTCTAGGCACTTCTTGAAGTATAGGTCTGGGTCTGCCTATGATCTATAGATATTAAATTCCTAAAAAATCAAGATCATACAATAGTTTTTGATTTCAGTCAAGAAAACTAATACAATTAATAATATTATTGAGCCAATGAAAGGCATGTTAAACACCTATTATTTAAATCATCGATAAGGTAACTAAATCTGTTCTGGAAAATAGTTTGCATGAGATACAGCTTTTTTTATAATTTTTTTTTTTTACAAACTTCAGCTACAAAGACCATTCGTTTTAGTCATTAGATGCAATGGTTGAGGTTGTGTTCTTAATGTCTTGGCACTCATGGTTCGTTTAGTGAGGGCATGACTTCATCACCGACGAAATCCCGGACATCATAACCAGATGAATTATTGTTGTATGCTGCAGTAGCCAGATAACTTGGCACGATCGCGATGACGTATGCATCGCTGTTGTCCATCATAATACGTTTATAATTTCATAATTTCTATTTTGAATAATATTACATCGTTTTCGAAACAGTTTAGTTAATAAAATCAAATACTGATTATCACCGTTTTCTGGTAATAGGTTAACGTAACCGATTAGGTTAGGTTAAGGTAACCGGTAATAGGGCGCATCCGCCACTTGGACGAATTATTAGGTGAAGACTAAATCATTTTTTAAATATAAATAATTTTTGTCTCTTAGAGATTCTAGAAGTCTTTTAAAAATTTCAATTTGCTTGACAATAATAATGTTAACGTAGAATAGATGTTGTACATGTTGTATATGATTTCTTTTAATGTTATTCTTATCTTCAATTCCATATCAACGTTCTTCGTTACGCGTGATTTACACCAGCTATGTAGTAAAGAAATATTCTCTGAGAGGCACGAGTATCTCTTAAGGATCATTCGTGGAAAATTTTATATCGTATATCTATCAACGTCAAAAATGAACTTTTAGCAAATTTTTTTTGTGAAAAAAAAAACAAGAATTTTTGTGTAGTCATATACACAATGTTAAAATATTTAGAAAAAAGTAGGTTGGCCCAAAGGCCAAAGCATTATTTTAGTGGGCCCTCTAAGGCCTCGTTATCTGGCTCTGTGCCTGTGTTATACAGCAACTCTGGTATACAGAATGATACTTTTATGTGATTCTATTTATACATTTTATTTTTAAATATGAATCTTTATCTAGGTTGAAATCTTTTTATGATACTTCGCTATCATTTTACACAATTTATACTATATCTCATTATATCTATATTCTTTATCTATACGCAACAGCCCAGTAATAATTTCATTTTGTTTGATCTAACTTTCCTAAATACTTAACCTTATGTACCTATTTTTAAAATATTATTGAATTTAATTCAAAAATTCTTTTTCGATGTTAAGTGACAAATTAAACATTTCAATTTTCAAAAACATCTATATACAAACCAACTAACTATAAAATCGATATAAATGTTGGCCACCATAAATATAAGGTTATCATTATTTTTTTAATATAGAAAAGAAATTTAATTTCCAAAACACTTGTATGATTTCCCATTTAATATTTTAGTTTATCAATTTTGGGATCACACAATTACATGAATACCCTTTGAATAAATGCCTCGTAGCTAAAGACCTGAGCAATATTCAAATGGACCAAGGTTAGTAGCCTTCTTAGGTCTCGTTATTTAGGGTATAGATTATCAAAGGTGGCAAAAAATTAAAAATTAAATATTATATTTATCTACTTTATTGACTTTTTATAAGCTCTATAGACCCATTCATTACAATTCGGCAGATTTAGAATATAAATTCCACTTATTTCAACCAGAAAGCGCTTCGTTTGTCGTCAGATGTTGTTATAAGCTTTCACGTTTGTTATTTCGAATATCACTTGTTATTTGAACTTATGCTGTACTCATTAAATTTTCTAGATATAATTTATAATGATGAATCATCCTACTTCAAATATGTATTAAAATATTTCTATTAAAATACATAATACTATATATAATGATGAAATTATATTGTGTTAGCATTCAAATCGTAATTGTAACTTGTCCTACTATAAAAATAATTTTTAACAATTATCTTATATGATTATATAATGATTTGATTAGGTTCCAATGTAGATAAAGATAATATTTTTTTTTTATTCTTATTTATTGAAGGATAAATGGCAATTAGTTTTTTTGCACATATGTATTTGCTTTGTTTTTAGTATCGTGTATTTTTTAGGCAATGCATAATGAGTTTTACATTAATAAGTAAATATTCAAATGTGAAAATTTTAAATTTTCAGAACTACGAGTATATCTATGGTAAGTAAGATAAATCAATGATTCGACTCCCATCAATAAATAACTCTTTTTTACATTTTTTTTTATTCATTTTTTTTCTAAGTGCCTTCCTAATTTAGCTGATAAGCTATTTGTACAATTAAAAAATATCGCAAGATCTACGAGATGATACAAATATTGTTGTAGGTAATATAAAACAGATTTAAAATCAATAAAAGAAAAATTAGATTTAATTATAAATAAACCAAAAACCTGGATTTGGAAATTCCAATGATGGGAACATAGAAAAGCGTTTCGTTAAAAATTCAGAACTGTCAGCCAATATCTCTCAAACAAAAATAAAAATTATTAAAAAATTCACATTATGTTGATAGTTGTATCAAAACATAAAATTTACGGAAGTCATATTAATAAGTTCCGATAATTTTTACATAATACTGCCAGATATTTCGTAGAGAAATATCCACGGTATAATATGCCTCCCACATTGGATAAATATTACATCTGTGGGGCAGAAATCATTAAATATGCATTATTGCCAATTGGAAATTTATAAGAATAAGTGAAAGAAACTCACAACAAAAATTTTAAAAATATTTTTAAAACAATTCCAGAAAATGTAGTCCAGAAAAAACTAGTACAGATGTATTAAATTTTTTTTTTTTTTTTATTAAGTTTTAATCCAATCATCTCAAGAAAGAGATAATTGTGCAAAAAAACTACAATCATCACCTGCAAATAACATTCATTTATTAAATTTTCCAGCACCAATAGTTGAGAGCCAGATCGTAGTAATGAGTCTAATGATAACAGTGATAGCCATGACGTCAACGGCAAAATAGAAAAATATTAACCGATTAATTTATTATTATTAATTAATTAATCAGTGCCTGAATATGAAAACTTTCACTTAAAAAATAATTAACATACAATTTTTTTTTTATAGCCTAAAACTTATGTTAAATACTATGAATTACCAAAATATAAATTAATCTTATTTTAATCGAAGGATATTGTTTCATAAAAGTATTATTAAGAGAAATCAATTCATAAATTATTTAATATCACCTTTAATAGTCTATTAACCCACTATGCGTAGTGCTTGTATTGTTCAGCAACTACTCCGATTTACAGAATGATACTTTTATATGATCCTATTTATACATTTCTTTTTTAATTATAAATATTTATCTAGGTTGTAATCTTTTTGTGATATTTATTTTTCGTTTTACACAATTAATACTGTAACTCGCTATCTCAATACTTTATAGTTATAGGCAATAGTCCAATAATAATATTATTTCGTTTGTTGCAGCATTCTAAAAATACTTATCCTTTCATATTCTTCTTTATATTATATTATTGAATTAAATTATTTTAATTAGTTTTCAATGTTATGTTACCGTGACAAATGAAAGCTTTAAATTTAGAATATTTAAAATGTTTAAAAATTGTGGAAATTCTGAATAATAACCACCCGACCATAGAATCGGCATAAATATTGGAAACCATAAAATATGAGATTACCATTATTTTTCTAATGCAAAGAGTAAATTTAATTTTCCAATAACTTTTTAAGATTTTCCGTTTAATATGTTAATTAATAATTGTTGTGATTTCGCTATTTAACGAATACCCTTTTAACACAGCCACGTAATGCTGCAGTGATAAACTATATAAAACACTAAACCAGCCATCTGGATTATACTGATGTTTATTTTAGTATTTCATACATGCGAAATACTTCCATTCAATATTTGATATTAATTAAAGACCACATATACCATCTAAAAGAAATATTTTTAAATATTTCGAAATTAAATAATATTAATGTACACATTACACAGCTTATACAAGCTCTGTATACATCTTGTAGTTATAGTTAAATTATTAGTCACATTAAGACAAAATAATTACTGTGAGCCCCGGAGTCACTGTGCCCAAATATAGTTCTCTGAGCATTCAACAGATTTGAGATACGCCGAGTTGAAATATTAAATTTTTCTACAGAAGCACAAAACCACTGGAAATATGATAGTATAGAGATACAGATATATATATATATATAGACAGAGACCAGTTAGAAATTAAATACCTACCTATATTGAATTTCATTATATACTTTCTTATCCATCAAATATTCGAAGTTCGAAATACGTACGAAAAGAAACCGAATGCAAACAGTTCTTTCTGTTCCTGTTTACTAATAATTTATACTAACGTAATTTATTGTTTCGCCGAATAATTCATTCACGTTGTTACGTCCCACCATTGACAAAACAATAATATTAAGTTTGTTACGCGATGTAGACATATTATAATATGGTTATTAGCTAGTTTATACAACTGTTTAATCTAATAGTAAAAGTGTAATGTAGAATATTGATGTTATTGACGATTTTGGCAGTGTTCAGTGCATAAAATAGTGTAGGTATACACGCACATCATAATACTAGAAATATAATTTAAATTTTTACGGTAAAACTATTATACTTTTATAGAACCGATGTCATCGATGAAATAACAAGTACAAGCTGGAAAATATCAAATGTATAAATATTTGAACACATATAAGTATGTAGTACGGTAATTGATTCTAAAATCAACGTTATAATTTATAATAAACCCAGATAGTACATTTAGCATAATTTATCAAATCTAACTCATTAATCTTACAAAATATTTTGAAAATATTTATCAATCTAATCTTATTAATGCTAGTTTTAATGAGCTTGAAATGATTAAATGATGCACATAGATAGGCATGCGAAGATAATTAACAAAAATTTATATACATTTGTAACAATAAATTTTAAAATAGCAATGTACAAAAATAAATGATGGGTATAGAATTGTTAAATCAATATAGTTCGTTGTATAATCTCTAAAAAAAAATTATTTATTTTTTCATTTTTATACTTAATGTATTTACAGTTCAAGATTATTACATATTTTTTTAGTTAGTTAAATAATCTAAGATATAAGATAGGTTTTTTATAACGAAGTTCAGTTTCTTTCAAATATTGATAGAATTGCACTATTTTTTAAACTATTATTTTATATATATTATATAAAAGGTATTACAAAAGGTACAGTATATATATACTGTACCTTTTGTATCATTCTAGTTTCTTGCTATTCAACTGTTCATTTTTAATCAATGAATTAAGTGAATTAAGTTTAATTCGTTCTTAACTATGTAAACTAAAATTAGGAAAATTGTTTTCTCAGATACAAGATTTATATATTGAGTTAGAATAGGTTTCATTGCATTGTTTATTTATAATAGCTGTACTATTAAATTCAACAGTAAAAAAAACAACGATAATATAATATGATAAATAAAATAATTAATCTATTTAATATTTATATATAACAGATTATAATATCTGAAAGTAACATAAATTATATAACAATGTTTTATACTCATATTGTTAGTCAAATTTTTTAAAAGTGTGACTAGATTCTACACTCAACAATTTTTCAAATGAACCGCTTATGTTTCACAACATGCATTTGCTATTACGTACATTAAACAATGTATAAACATATAATTATATTAGTCACAGGTACATAATAATAAATTAATTTTGATGATAACAATTTATATAAATATATACAGGAAAATATAAAAATGTTAAATGATTTAAATAATACATATCTATCAGTATATCCTTTCTAAAATTGTTGTCTTACTTTTAAATTTAAATACAGTAATTGAATTATTTATTTGTTTATTTTAGATTCATATTTAGTTTTCGGTCATAACCATATGCATTAAACGTTTGAAACTGCCGCTTTGATGGATTTCATCAGTGGAAACTCCATAATCGGCCTAAAAATAATACCACGTAAAAAAAAAATTACTCCGAAAAACTAATTTTAAGTGAAAACTAAAATTTAAATTCACAACTTACATTTGGGTGTGGTGCAGTTGGATGAGGTTGCGGAGAAATTCGCTATAAGATCAAAATAAATATTATCATTCAAATACATTATAGCAAAATTATATATATAAATATATATTGTTAAATTATAATTAACTAATTTCTTCTGTAAAGTATTATAAACATGGTATTTATATACATTTCCTTATTAAAAATTAGTTGAATAATCTCTGTTTTCAAATATTTTATTCCACATGTTATTTAATTTGAATTTATCTGTGTTTTGATTACTATACGAGGGTGCCAGGTTATGTGTTCGAAAATAATATGTTCGAATAAAATGTGTTCAAATGAAAAGTGTTCGAAAAAGCATATGTTCAAATGAATTTTTGCTCTGATGAGATTTTGTTTGAATGAATTTTTTTTTGAAAACAGTAATTATTTGTTTATTATTATAGATATTAAGATATCTATTATCTATAGTATATTAATAGTCGTATATTCCGACTATTAAATCGTTAACCAGGGAAATACGGTTAGATGTGTATTTAACATTAATATAGTATCTGATATAGAGCAATATATTTTATCTACTCGTTATGTTACCATAAGTGTAATTACTAATCATAATATGAGTTTTTGTAACATAGGCATCAAAATAAAATAGTTTTTAAGAGACATTGCATATAAACATTTAATAATTTTATACTATATAAATATATAGTATAATATAATAAAGAAATAAATAATTTAATATATGTTTTTTTAACAATGAGTTTAATTATTTGAACTAAAACTTATTCGAACAAAAATTCATTCGAACATATTTTTTATCGAACACTTCATTCGAACACATAACCCCTTGTTCTATAAGAGTACTCATAGTTGTAGATTCATTATTTAAATATTATTTTATAATTTCTATAAAATATATTTTTAAATAAAATTTATTCAAAATGATATCAATAAATACAAATAAAATGCATTCAAAAGATATGAATTGTTATAAAAACTTAATAGAAATTAATTAAATAATGCTTAGCCTGAAGTATTATTATATTTAAAATGTATAACTGGTTTCTAATATGTGATATATTCTGTGATCTTATTGATTTAATGTAGAGTGCGGCATAAGTCGATTCCCACTGTCTTGTTATCCAAAAACTGCTTATTATTATAATTGATAATTATTGAGATAATCACTTATAACAATGGCAGCAGGAATTATTAGTTCAAATAATTGAAAAATTAGTGTGTTGTATAAACGTGTGGTTTGTATATGTGTGTGTGTGTGTGTGTGTGTGTGTAATTTACTCAATTTTATTAATTTACTCGAGATTAACATGGAAGTTAACAACGGTAAATTTACAAAAGAAGAACGAATTTTTTTACTGGTTTCGTATCTCCGGTTGAATGCCGACTATGGCCGATTTTGGTTGACTTTCAGGCACGCACGCTTTCTAAATCAACCTGTACCTTCTCGTCGTAATGTGACAAAAATGTACAATAAGTTTCTTCGAACGGGTTCTGTAGCAGACCGCTCACCGGTCGACCAGTTACAATCACTACCACGGTTTAAGATATATATTTATCTTAAATCATGGTCAAAACACCTGAAAATATGGAGACGGTAACGCTATCTCTTGCCAAATATGAAAATCAGTCTGCCGGTGATTACGATGCAATTAAACATTTCAGATAGGTCGCTGGATCACATGGTGAAACCAATGGACTACAAAGTTTATCGCCCAAGTCTCATGCACGCATTAAAGGAGGATGACTTTGATCGCCGTCTTGAATTTCGCGAGTGATACCTTGGCTGCTTCGAAGAGGACCCGGAGCTCTACCGTAAGATTTTGTGGACGGATAATGTGACTTTAAAATTAAATGGTACAATAAATCGACACAATTGTGTTTATTGAAATATGGAGAACCCAAACGTTTACATTTAGAAAACACCTGAACTTACCGGGCGTCTGTGTTTGAGTCGGAATTCACGCCGAAGGGTTAGTCGGGTCGTACTTTTTTGACAACACTGTCACTGGGCAAACGTATCTCGAAATACTGGAGGACCTACGTGGGCAGATGGATGAAGAACCTGAACTGGCGAACATTGTCCATTTCATGTAAGACGGCGCCATATTGTACTACGCCCTCATTGTGCGTCAGTTTCTGGATGCGTGTTTCGGTTATTGGATTAGTAGGCGTGGAAAAATTGAGTGGCCAGTACGATTCTGTAACCTAACACCCTGCGATTTCTTCCTCTGGGGCCCGCTGAAGGATCGCGTTTTTGGCAGGCATCCTTACACAATCAGATTTGAAAAATCTTCAAAAAAATCATCAAGGAAGAATTTAATGAACCACAGACACAGGTTCAAATCCTGCGCCGCACATACCGTTTTGTGGACTCTCGTTACTGCGGTTGCATAGAAAAAGATGGTCATCAGTTCGAGCATAAACAGTTTTATACTTATTAATTAATAAATATAAATAAAATATTTTATCTGTTTTTTATCTTGTTACAATTTATGTAAATTGAAGAACCGACTTTTGCTGCACCTATATCTGATGATCAGTATTTAATTAGAAACCGGTCGTACATTGCAAATATAATAATATTCCAGACTAAGCATTCATTTTTCATTTTTTTTTTTTTTTTTTTTTTATAAATATTTTTATAATTTTTTTTTTACGAGTATTCTTTGTAATTTATTATTTTATTAAAACTTATAAATAATATGTTAAGGCATATAAGTATTTATATTTTATTTAATTAATAATGATATACTTACCCCTGGATGGGGATTGTACGGAGAGGACAACTTCTGAAATAAAATAGTTACATTTTATTTAATACATATGATTTAAAAACTATAGTTAAAAAAGCAATATATTTTGTTTTTATAAATTATTAAATATATTACATATTTATATTGGTTATATACTTACATTATAATTTTGGCCATTGCTAACTGGAACCTTCTATAATGCAATTCAAAATATGTTAATATTTTTGGTAAACATCAAACTAAAATCTCAATAACTCTTATGTTTTTACTTACTTTTACCGATCCTTGGACAGGTGAGTAAACTTTTGGTTGCACTGGTTTTGATATTTCTTGGGCATGAGAGTCTCCATATTCTGATTCTTGAATCGCCTTGTATGTTTCAGATTTAGCTGGATCGTACTGCACAGTTTTCTTGAGCCTAAAGGTCAAGGTAAAAAAAAGAGGGTTCCGAGGGGAAAGGTGTTAGTAATGAAGTGTGTGAAAAAGAATATTTAGTTAAGTTGAAAGAAAAAGAAAAACAGAAGAAATGTTAGGATTTTTTAATTACAATTTTGTTAGTCAGTATTTATATAGAAGAATGCAGGATTAATAGCGGATTCTATTAGGACGGATGATTGTGTTTAAGTTTGGTTTTGTGTTCCAGGAAGGATAGGTCAATGAAAATACTAAGATTAGATATGCAGTACGTGTTCTTTGGTCATAAAATAAGCAGAGTTATTGGTTGAGTATGCCGTGTTTAGAATTAAATTATTATAAATAATCTTTCAACGCACTTTTAATTATTTCCTTATATTTCTATACTAGCTCTAACCTAGCTCTTCTAAAAGTATATGTAAACCTATTTTTGAACCTAAGTTTCATGCTGCTAACATTCCTTTTCCAAAATGCATTTTACCTCACACATGCTTCATGCATTGAATTTACCTCAAACGACCGTATTTCTCTTCTTCCTCTTCCCTAAATAATATTAGAGAATAATATAGACAATATTTTCAAGTAGCAACGTTTTGGTTTCTGAGAGTATAAGTCTGCCGAATTGTTTGTTACGGTCAATATAGGTCGGACAGAACAAAAATAGAGAAACTGGGCGTATACTATTTACCAGGCCAGTTTTCAATAGTATAGTATATTTATAGACAAGAATAACGTGTAAACAAAACCCTTACGAATACAATTTTCAGAATACTTGAACGACTGCTATGGCAGCAGCTCAAGGTCAAAAATATTAGTCACTAATGTGTTGCCAATATGAGTAATTTTATGGCATAAATTCTACATAATACTCTTATCAAAAACCTTATGAAATAACGTTGTTTTTCAAAAACTTACGGAGTATATCCAGTTTGCGACTTGATTGAGTTTGCGATATTTTCTTCAGAATAAAGACCAATGGGTGAGTTAAATTGACTGTGCACCACCTACAAAATTAATTCAATTTATATTGAAATTCTATCTATAATATAATCTAGTAGATAATTCTATCTAATATCTAAGGCAGACAAATTGACAAGCGAAACTTTCTGTAAGTAATTTTTTACTTAAAAAAAAAACGAACGACTTATTATAAAAAAAAACTTTAAAAATGTCTCCTAAATATTTTTTGAAAAAACAGATAATATATATCAGATAACCGTACAAATATTTTAAGCAGACCATCACAGATAAGCAATAATTTTATTGATCCCTAACCTTTCTACCGAGTTTTGACTTGGCTTCTTCATTGCTTATCCGTTGCAACACCGTATCCGTGACCTGACAAAAAAGGATTGTAATAATCCCATAGCTAAACTTTAAACATATTTTTACCTTTTTCTTCATCAACGTTTCCATAGGTTGCTCATGGTGTGACGGATTTGCTCTCATCATCGGGTTGGGATGATGACGTAGGTATGACTGAATTTTAGGCTGATCTCTTTTCACCTTAGCACCGGGCAATACCAATGGGTTTGTTCTGTACGGCTAAACAAATTTAACATGTATTTTAAAAAATTTGAAGTCATGGTTGATATATGCTTACATGGATATTAAAATTGTATTTTTAAACATAATTCACCAGCCTCCTACAGTCCTATACAATTATCCACTTACCCACAGTAGAGCATTTTCTGGCTCGTAAATATTTTGTTCTGGATCAGTATGTGTCATCATCATTTTGAAAGATTTTTGTTTTTAATTATTGATCACTTAAATATTACTTGAATAAAACTTAATTTGTATAGTTGGTTGCTTTCAGTTTCTACGGCTGCCCTTTAACTGCGAGCTTTAACTCGGTTGGTGTGTACAGTTAACATATTGTGAGATCGCCCACGCGGCTTGGCAGACTCCGGGATACTTACGAGAACCTTCTAAAATTAACAACCGGAGTTTTTCCATAGGCTAGGGAGGAGAATATGCGAAAGCAATTTTTTATTTAACACGAGAAATTTTCGCGACATTCCTTAATTTTTTTATTTACTATCAATTGGAGGACGGGCGTTGATATAAATATTCTCGCATCTAAAAGGAATATGTTATTTTTATCGAAAATACTAAAAGACAGAATTCATTCATAGGCCTTGACATCATTATATTATAAACAATTAGATTTATAATAATTATCAATTTCATTGTAGGTCATAACAATTAAATATAACTTTATGATTGCAATTTTAATATTGTGCTACTATTTATTAATCATTTTATTGAAAATGTATTTAATGTAAAATTACATACTATTACAGTAAGAAGTATATTATAATTAATCAGAAATCTCTATAGATTGCAAGATATTTATAATTTTTTAATATTTATTACTAACATATACGATTTTAAAAATGCATTATTGTAATTAGGACTTGATTCAGGTCAAAAAGGACCAATTTCATTTTTGATCACTTTTAATTAACTTTTAATACTAAAAAAAAATAAAAATGTTTGTATGATTGGCTTAATATTTGATAATCTTTTTCTCTAAAAAGGGAAATTGACTTTTTTCATCCAAGCTTCAACATTATATTAACTTAAGGTGAGTGACCTGTCCGAGTATTTCCGGTCAACACTACTAATAGTTTTAAAATACAATTGCCTTCTAAAATTTTTAATATTTTGATTATTACTCATGGTATATCAATTTTGAAGTCAAAATTTAGAATTTAATTTTCAAAATATATCAAATATAAATGACTAAACTATGATTTTAATTTTACATTAAATGTAAATATAAATCGTAAAGTTATTTATAATATAATAAAATCTGTATAATAATAACTTAAGCCTAAATTCTTTTTACTTCTAGAATAAAAATAACACAGATAAAAAATACTTTATATTCATGTGTGAAGTCTTGTTTATATACCATAATAATATTTCGTAACTTATTTCCTTATTTTATTACGATCATGTTGTATACAAGTTTTTATATCTATTTATAGATTATGTACTGTGAGTAAACAAATTTTAATACACTTCAAGTAGTTACTAATATTAAAAATGTTATTTTGAGTATTAATTATATGATGTTTTTCCTATTTTATCAAAATTTTGATTTTCAAATCGTACTCGTAAAACTTACCATAAATACTTATATTAGTCAGACGTCTTACTACGAAAAGGGGTTTAAAAATAACCCTGTATATTTTTGGTTCAAATCCAAAATTATTCAACAAAATAAATTGCATCACAATTATTCGTGTTAGTTTTTTTTGTGACAAAAAATATGTTCCATTGAACTAAATAGCCCAAGGTTCGAGTATATATTCTACCTACTCATCGTGAATTACTCATCACGCCCCTTCCAAATTCAAAGATCTTCGACTTCAACTTCGGTTATTCAAGATTATTGACTACCGGAGTTCTGAAACGCTGCACAGACTATTCAAACGCTATTTTTTTTAATATATAAACATATACCATACAGATACAGAATTATAACCTCAAGAAAACATCTTAAGTGAGTATTCACTATCAATCAAAACATATATTAAGTTTACGTAAATCACCGGAAAATTTCAATAAACATTAACTTATCTTTTAGTTATATTAATTTTGTATGAAAACCAACTAAACTATTTTAAGTTATAGCATACATTAACACGGTATTAAAATAATATATGGGGGTTTTGCCAGATGGCACTTAATTTATTAGGCACTGTTTCATTTTTGCTAATTTTCTGATCTTTTATAAATATATGTAAATATACAATAAACACACTAAAAAATATGAAATACAAAATTATACTAAGGTATAATTTATTGATAGATGATAAATGATTGGACTACATAAATAACGCATAGAAATGATTCGATGCCAAATATTTAAATTGTGTTTAAATCGCTTAACAATTTGTCAGTAGGTCATGTTTTCAATAGAATTTTCAAGTGTGATATACTATATAATGTACTTATGTATGCTCTATTAGGTTTAAGTAAAGAGTGTCTTCTGGTTATAAATTAAAAAAAATTAAATTAATAAAATAAAAAATATGATTCATTTGATAATAATAACGGTTGATTATAAAATTCTTTAAAAATAAATAAAACTCAGATATTTTTAGATTTGTGCTAATTACCTTTATACCTTTAGCATATTTGTAGATTGATATGTGCCAACAAAATTACAAATCATTAAATTAATAATTCAGCTAATTGTACTCATGTTTAAGTTATTAGAACATCAGTTTATTATTATTACCATTAAAAACTTAAATTAACCTTGGCCATCTAATCTACAAATATTATAAATAATAATAATATTATATTATGAATAATGATTAAAATCGGATTTTAAAAATAATCTATTAGTTTCTGTATTAATTAATTACAAAGCCCTATTAAGTATTCGGTTAATTTATTTTTACTTGTTTCATATAATGATATTCACATGGATATTTATTTTAAAATATTCATCTAATCTAGTTTAAAAACTAAGAATACACTTTATTTTAAAGAAACAATAATTATTTTCAAAATAATTTATTCATCTATCAAATATTAAAAATTGATTTTATTATTCTAAAAAGATCTTTTAAATAATATTATGATTTTCATAGTTGTTATGAAACAAAACAATAATAAATAGTAAAATACTTTATTATATTACTTTTTTACTTATATTTTATTGTTTAATTGGTATAAATGTTCAATAATTTTTTGTTGATTTTACAAGATAATCAAAGCTATTAGCCATTATTCTAATGGTTTTGAGCCTCATGTTTATTTTTCTTGATATTTGAAACGCATTAATATTATTTAATTAAATAAAACCTTATTAGCTGACACCATTTTAGAAAGACTATAATCGTCTTGGTTATGACAGGATCAAAGCGTGAAGTTACCATATCTATGAATGAATAAATTATTAATTAAAAACGCAATTATTTTATTAAAAGTACGAATGTCAAACGAGAAAAAAAATGACGAGACACGTTATAATATGATTTTGATGCTATACGTGGAATATTATGGAACGCACAGTAATTATTCTAAAGAAAAGCTTGTAGCTATTTCTGTACACACCCCCAAAGATACATAGTAGATTTTAAAATATTATGATTAGACAAGTTGCAATTTTTTTATTTTCTTTTTACCTTGGAATATTTTCATTACTCAAAATAACTTTGGACCTTCACGGCACGAGATGTCAAGTCACTGTTTTTCCCGTGCGTCGTATATTTACACACATTTTCTTTCTCTCTCACTCACCCTTTCTCTTTTTACCTCTCATCAATAGAGAAAGTAATTATTTCTGTAGAATAACGGCTGTCCCCTAACATAAAACATATTATCGATCAAACTTACATGCACATACATATTTTAAACTAAACGCTCACGACATCTACAGCGTATACGTAAATATGATAATATTATGTAGTCGTATAGGTACGACATATAGTAAAAATATGTTCACACACATGATTCGCTAGACCAACATATATAATAAAATCACCTATCATATAATACCATGTAAAATTTGGAGTTATATTAACGCGTTTTTACTGTATTGTTTTTGATATAATATAGTAACTGATACATCCAGTGTCGTTGACGGGATATTTTTTATGTGGTGAGGGCTTTTTTTTTTAAAAAAAAATAGTTATATAACTTTTATTAATCTGTTGATAAATAATCAATAAAATAACAATTAATACATACACATTTATTCTGTTATTCTGATTAAATATTATACAATGTAATTTATAATTTGATCATAAAATCTTATCTAATATTTCAGAGGGAATGATGAAGGGCTAAAATTTCTCGTGGCTACAGTATTCACTACACCGAAGTAATTTTTAAGTTTTATGGCAAAATCCAGATGCTCATGCTTCACAACCCATACGATTACTTGTAGTAAAAATTATAAAATTTTAAATTTTATAAGAGCGCAACTCTTCTGTATGGTACATACGGATTTAGGTGCAGCTGAATAAACATAATTCATAATACTAAGTTATTTAATTATTTATAATGCTCACTTGTTGGTCGAGGGTTAGATCATGTGATTCGTCGTACTCGTTCAGCGTCGTGTCAACCAACGACGGAGGAAAACGGCAAAAGTTGTTGACCGGCGATTGTGCGGACCGCTCGTATCCGTATATGCCATTAATGGTGGTCGTATAATTGGTGGTAGCTGGTTGCGAATGTCTGCCACCGTCATCTAACACCACCGACATCATCGTGGGTATAGGACTGTTAGTATCGCTGCCACGGCTGTTGAAGTGTGGTGCATCCCTAGAGAAAATCCAATCGTCCCCGTGGGAAATTTAATAAACATTGTATCATGGTTTTTTTCTATCTTTTTAGCCTACATAGCGAAAAGGATTAAATGAAAGACTGAATCGATTACCTATAAAGGGACATTAGCTCATTCGAAGAAATTCTGTGTTCCCATTGATAGATTTTTAGATCTAATAAAAATAGAAACTATCAAAGTACATATACGAGTAGATTTAGTTTTTAAACGTTTATTCTAAACAAATCGTTTTTCAATCGGATAATATTATGGTATATTCAAATTAACGAACAAACAACATACTCAAATCATATTCAATTGACTACAATGAATTTGAATAAAATTGTATCATCTGAATAGGTTGAAAAATCAATTACAGATTTATTTGTTCTCTATACACACGCGTTTTCTACAAGTATTTTTAATTATTTAGAGAATATAAGGTATTTCTTGATTCATAGTTTGCTCTTAAATGCAGTTTCAAATTACTAGATTTGCTGCAATGCTTACATAGGCGAAAATAGCGGGCCTGGGGGGGGGCTAAGCCCCCTAATGTGAATTCATCCCCCGGATTTATTATCATTATATATAGTAGAAATACAATTTTTAAATGATTGTGATTTTTTTAATTTAATTAAACTTTTATCTTGCGACATTAAAGTTCGTAGTAATTACAACTAATAATAATAATTTAATGATTACTTTGGATCATTTAAAAATATGGAGACAAAGCCTCAACTTATAATTTTTGATTAAAAATAGTAGGACTAAAGATCCCCCCTATCTCACATTCATCGTAAATGTATAGTATGTATGAGCAAATTATAGTCAAACAAGTTTAAGAATCTCTTCAAAAATAATATATTTACACGGTCTTAAAATACAAAACAAACAATTTTCCCAACTATAAATTGTGCCCATTATGTACAGTCTTCGATATTTAAGCATTCACTTAATTAAAATAATAATTTCAATCTTTATAAATATAGTAGGTATATGTATAAGGTATAAATATAATATAAACTTATTAGTAGATTATTACGAATTTCTCAGAATTTAGTCTCTTACCTTTGAATGACCAAAGTTATCGTCTGATCAGCATTACCGAACAAGTTTTGCGCATCTGAATGTCTCAAGTCTCGAGCGTCATACACTTCGATTTTCCGTATGATGTCGCCGACTCTTAGATCACGTTCACTGGGTGACCCGTAATATACCTTCAAAGAACTCATTACATTATTATTTAACATTCAAATATTCGATTACAATTTATTACTAATCGGATTAAAAATTTTTAAGAAATATATAAAGGGTGAAATATTATATAATATAGTTGCAGGTACCTAACAAAAACAGACGTGTAAAACATATTTGTTTGCTTTACATGACTAATGTTGATGTTCAACAGAAACGTGTGACTGCTACTGGTTTCGTATGCGAGTGTTATTATGTAAACTAGTTCAACGTGTTAAAATAATATGTATATAATATACGACCTAATAAAATGTACTCGTACGTATTAAATGGCTGTATCCCGATATCATCTTTATGTTTTCGACAAATGCATATTATATAAATAATATGTACACATAACATATAGGTAACATGAAAACATGAATATATTACATTTATATTATAAAATTAGATTGGAATACACATAAATATATATAAATAAATATATAACATGGTAGTTACCTATGTATATCATAAATCATCATATAATATGTATATATTTGTGTATGAAAGTACATTAATTAATGTAAATAGACATATTCAATTTCAGTAAACGAGTTTTAAAAAATCACTAAATTAAAACACATTTCCCTCAAATTAAATAAATATCATACATTATGATATAATGATATTATCGCCTATATTAATTGCTTATACTAAATATTATTCAAAATTTGAATCTTGTAAAACACATTAAAATATATTATAACTAACTATATACCGGAAAAAGAAAAAAGAAATGATTTTTATGTCTAAAATAAGTGTTATTTTTCCCCTCGATTTTTGTGACTTAATGCAAGACTACCATAAAGATAATATTTTAATAATAAACGTACCCAAGATTCTTGCAGACTACACAAATTTTTAATAAATAAATGTAAATAAAATTGAGCATATTATTACAACAAACCCCATCTATAATACTAACATAATTAACTTCTTTAACTAAAAATTAAAATAATATTAACATTCTGTAATAAAATGTTGTAATAAAATAACATCATTCAAATCACATCTCCTATATAATTTTCCATTTCAACGATTCGTCTAAATGAATTTAGTCTAATATCATTAAAGCTCACATGTATTTTTAAATGGTTAAATGTTGGCAAGTATAGACATCTGTTACGAAGTCAGGAACATTAAAAATAAGACGACTAAAAATCCTAAAGCCACAAATTTTGGCTCAAATATATTAAATATTTTAATTTTTTCTTCATATAACTTTGCGCAAATTCAAAAAATTCACTGAATAATCTATGGTAAGTTGTTTATGTGGGTTATACAAATGCATAAAATGGATGAGTAAACATCTATTATTTTAGAATAATGCCAACAACAGTGTACAAAACACGTAGTATACGATTGATTTAAATGTTTATATACGACTATATGACTGCAATACATAACAAATGAATAAAATAATATACTAATACAGTTATAGACATAATATATGACTATATGATAATTCATAACTATTATCACTTTTGAGTGTCAAATATAACAAGGTGCAGCAGCATAATGGCATTATAGACTAATTTTACTTAAAGTGAACAAAAAATTTCACGCTTGCTAAATCTATAACTAACACAATGTACAGTTCTGTTGAGTGAAAATTTGGATGTGTGATTCATTTACTTACACTTTTTTGAAAATAGGTATTTTTCAATATCTTTTATGGTAATATAGGTGTAAATATAAAAATTGATACTTGCACTGGGCACTGGTCTATGTCAATATGTTATGCGCACATGAGCAGAACGATAAATTGCTTTTTCCATTGAGTAATATGAAATATTCACTAAAGTAAAGAGCAACTGAGCAAGAAATATTTGTAAATACTTATATTATTTTTATAAAAGTTGAACATTTTTCTTAACATTGAACTATTATGTAGAATATTTATTTCCAATAAAATGTATATAATTATATAAAAAAAATTCTTCGAGGTACAAGTACTTCTTCTTCAGACCGGGATGAAACTAACCGGGCTACACTCATACCGGCTGGACCACTCACGATACGTCCAATAAAGATACAAGAAGATACAATGTTATAGTTAAGTTGTATATCTAATAAATCTTATACAAAACGTCGTGTAAACGTTCATTTTACAGTTCATGAACATAGTGTTATTGCAGTGCACGAATAATCGCGGCCGGAACATCGGAGTTGGGTCCCGAGTGCTAGGAGCTAATCGCAGGTAGTGTACTATTTGGGTCCCGGATTTTGATAGGTACTAATATTATACTAACATTTTCCTTCTCATTTTAACAGACTTAGGACTATTTATGAACTATTTAGACCACAGGTATGGTTAAAAAAATTTTTTATAGTTTTTTTTGTTTTTCTCTTCCATTAAAATGTAAATTATTAAATTTGTGTTGGTAAAAACATTAAAAATGCTATAAATCAAGTATAAAAAAACATATTATATAATATAATTATAGCCATATAGGTAAATGAAAAATATTAAAATTGTTAAAAATCAAGTATAAAAATACATTTTAAATGCTTTTTTTATTACGAATATCCCAATAGTAAAATTAAATAAATAGGTACTTTTCATTTACTTTTAAATTTAACAAAATTGTATTAATATTATTGTATAATATTTTTATTACACTATACTAATTTTCCAATACTATTATATAAATTATAAAATTTAAAAAAAATGTAGTCCTGTAGTTTAATTAGATCATAGACCGTCCCAAGTCTATTAAAATGGGAAGGAAAATGTTAGTATAATGTAGTACTTATCAAAAAAATATTCAGGAACTAGTGTAGTACCTAAAATAATTCGGGATCCAACTTGTGTAGTAATTTTAAATTCGGGATCCGATTCGGATGCAGCCATCGCGGCGTGTCGTTCGGACAAAGTGAAAAACGGGGATGTCGGCGGGGGTGCACAAGAAACGGAACCGATACGACATTACATACCTTGGTTATGACGAGAGGGGTATTGAGGTCCGCTCCACCTGCCAACCGGATGCCCCACGGTTGAGATTTACCGTCCCTTTTGAGCGTCACGGACCACGTGCTCGGCTTCTTCGAATCCATTAGACACGGACGTACGGTTTGACGTGCTCTCAACGGGACTGCAGTACTTACGAACCGACCCTTTGGAAGACGCGATACGATAAGCCTCCGTAGTATTGCACGTGATGATCGCCCAGTACAGCAGCTTCTGTAATTGCAACTGTAAGCTCCTATGTAGGCACGTGTCCGATTGTGATTACGTTCGATTTTGTTTGGTGCAAACGTAACCGCCGTAGAGCTCTATTGAGATAAAATACGTTTGTATTTTGTCCACCTGCAGGTTTATACTGTACACTTTTGGATGTTCGGAACTGCAGTTGCGAGTTCTACCACACTTGGTAAAAATATGCACTAGAAAGTGTCAAACGCGAAACGTTACACCGACGCGATTATATAAATATTATATATTATCGGAGTAACGATAATGACAATAATATGTGCGCGCGTAGGCAGACGATCTGCACCAGCTGTAAGCTCGTGCAGATGCTTTGACACCTGTCGTACGGCGGCCACGGCATATACACATAAAATAATACAGTACCTGTTGTTATTGTGCTTGCGTATGATTGTATGTACTTACTGCGGTACGGCTCGGTGGAGGAAGTCGGAAACGAGAAAAAAAAAATCACTAGAAAAAAAAAAAACGACAACAAATTAAACGAAAACAAATATACTGTAGCGGCACTACTGGTGCTGTATATTAGCAGCCCGCACAATTCACTGCAATAACGTGCTTGCCAGTGCTATTAGGTCGCGCAACAGCTCTCCCGGGATGGGTGCCAATAAATGTCTTATGTACATGAAAACACGAAAAAAAACATATATATTATAGACGTTTATTAAAAGAATATGTTCTGTTTTGTAATGGCATTTTATTGGATTTGTTAAGAAATCGAAGCGATTCGTACGTTACGGAAATAGAGATTAGAAGGAAATGGCCTCGAAATTAGCTGATAGATGTATTATTTTATCAAGATTAAAGAGATAAATAACTTTTATTTTTGATGCATATTTTCGTGTGTTTTACAGTTACCTACGCGATACGCTAAAGGATTGAATTCATATTTTTTTTTTCCTAGAATAAGGAATTACTTCTTTTTTTTAAATAAACTTTATTTAGTAAATAAAAGTAAGAAAAAATACGAAATTTATATCACTTTTGAATTAAGCGTTTTATTTATGCTACTCAACTATTAACTTTTAATGGTTCCAAACCATAAAGTATACATAGAGTACCTAAAGACTATATTTATTTTTAAGGATAGAAAATTATTGAATAGATATTAAAATTATTGATTGACTAATGAATTCATAATATATCTAAAATATAAAATTGATATTGAACAGACTGTAAACTCTTATTTTTAAACTTATGCACCGTGATCAACATTTACTTTTAACGAAGTACACTAAATGCAACAAATATATAAGATTTAAGTCAGCAAAATAGTAATCAAAGAGAAATGTTCAAAATTAAATAAATTTTTAAAAATATTTTTATTTCAGTTACCTTTGCTTAAACTGAACAGCATACAAGGATCTGAAAAACTGTAGATTTAATAGAGCCCTGAAACAATATATTTTAAGTACTTACCAAATCTTAAAATCTCAGCTTTTTCCATAAATCGATGTTTTTATTTTTTACAAATTATAACTATTTTTTTATAAGCCACTCAGATCACTAATTTCAATACTACCTTTGTTGAATCCTGTTAATTTTAATTAAAAGATATTCCAAGAAAAGCACTTATATTCTTAAATGGTAAAATATTGTACCTATAGTGCAAAAAATATACATACATTTTGTATAATATACAAAATATTGTGTAGGTATATTATTATAAGTATTTCGGAAAACAAAATGATCTAAATTTAAATGCATTAAATTATATCAAGAATACCAAGCAATGAATAATCCAAAGTACCTATTTACTAAATACCTATTCTAAATTTTTAACTTACCTACTTTAAATATTTATTGATTATCAATAATTTTTTTTACCAAATGTTATAGCATGATTTATCTATAACTTTTAGATTTTTTTTTATTATAAAGTGAATGTATCATAAATCACAAATATGATATATATCACATATACAGTAGAAATCACTACAACGAGCACAGCTTAGAACGAGATACGAGTATTATTTAAAACGAGAAAAACATTAGGTCCCGGCATAAGCCCATATGGTTATATGTTAAAATATACGTTTACAACGAGTATGATTATAACGAGATATCGACTATAACGAATAAAATAAAACGAACTTGACTAACGACCTATCGGTTACTACGAACAGGGACCTGCAACATAAGAACTTTTGGCCATAATTAATTAACATTATGATGATAATTATTGACATATTATCTTTAGACCTTTAGTTTTGTAGATAATATAAATGGATTAGGTACTTATTAACAATCCATATGATTTCTACAAATTCTGGTGTTCTCAATAAAAATTACAAATAGCGTCAGTTGTGTGAAGACGTTCACCATGTCACGTCGTCAATTTACGTTGGACGAAAAAATAGGTATAAAGGTCGTTTAGAAAATGATGCTAATTTAACCGTCAACCGTTTGGGAATTTACCTGATTGTAAAACCTTTTTTGACGGGAGCCGTTTGGGAATAATAAAACAATAGACGGGAGCCGTTTGGGAAGGGCTGCGACACTAAGTAAAAACAAATTATTATATTTTAGTAAAAAAGCACTATATTATATAACTGTTTCTTACTTTTTTCCACCATGATTGTCCTAAATGAAATCTACATCCAATTATTTTAATATTTCCAAACACGTCTGTAATTGCCTGATGAGCTCCAATTTCAAAATCAACATGAAATGTGTTAATTTGCAAACTTTTTTCGCATAATTTCAAACATAAATTATTTAAAAATTGCCACATTTTAATATAAGTAGACCTAGTTTTATTTGGTAAAAAAAAGTAAACAAGTGGTAAGTAGTATCCATTTTTATATCCATGTATTGTGTACAATTGAATAAAATATTTTGGAGCATAATTAAATGTGCCATCGCCAAAATACTCAGTACAATTATTTGTCATAAATTGTAGATTTTGTTCTGTAGTTAAACATACAAAATTATCATCAGTCGGCATGTAAATGAATTGTTGACCCTTATATTTAAAACATTCTTCATTTTTTAAGTCACTTAATTGATGAATTGTTTCATCCAAAGAAGTTGGTAATTTAGGATAGGTCTGCTTCCGTTTATCATACATTGCTTTCCGTACATTTCTTACATTTTGATTGTTTAAATTTGATGTTGGAGAAGAATTTAAAAGTTCGGTGCGAATAATTTTAAGTGGCCGTGTGTAAATTGATTCTTCAGCTTTTCTTTTGCAATTTTCTCTTAAAACTTGCGTTTCTATTTTCTCAATAGAATTTTTATCGTGATTATGTTGTCCAGCAGTTTCAATCACTTTACGTTTATCGAAACCCGAGAACATTATTGCCGAACATTTATTATTAGTACACCTCCATCTCAAAAGATTGTCTTTTTTTCGCTCTCCAATTAATTTATACTTGTATAAATTAACTAGGGCCAATTCTTTGCCTCTTTCCGATAAAATAATTGTTATATCCATATTTTAAAAAAAATAGAAAAACGCACTAAGTATACACGCACTATACACTACACAGGTGATCGAACACTGATATTATTTCTATAATAATTTTGGATTTGTATCTTAATTATCTTATATTTTCCCCCGATGCTAAATGTTTAAAACGTCGTTTTGCTCCGGAACTAATTTATTAATCGATAACATTGTCGATAAAATTTATAAAGCCGATAAAGCTCACGGCTCGCGTCAGATATCATAATAATTGGTGTAATAATACGAGAAAATAATAAATTACAAAATTTTGGCAACGTGAATGTGGCAACGTCGCATAAAATATTCTATGCTCAATCGTGTTGCTAAAAAGGTCTATGCTCAATCGTTTTATGCTCAATCGTGCTTTACCGTTGGGAAGCAACGATAACGAGCTATCGGTTATAACGAGAAAAACTGGTTGGCCCTTAAAACTCGTTATAACCAATTTCTACTGTGTATATATAGGCAGAGGTGGAACTAGGAATTTTTACGCCCGGAGAAAATGTTAAAAATACGCCCTACCATAGACTAATAATCAAATACTACACTTATCGAGAATTTTTTTTTCTTATAATTAATATATATAATATTAATTAACAATCATACTTATTAAGTTTTAACCTAATAACAGTAGTTAACAAAGTTAAACATATCAAATTAGTTGTTAATAATTACAAAAATTACACCCTCTAAAATTTACACCCAGGGATGAATCCCCGTCTTCCAACCCCTAGTTCCGTTCCTTGTATATGGGTATTGTATAAGTAGTACCCACCTATAGTTGAGAGAATATGGTAGTACCTAATATCAATCGAGTAAAGTGTTTAGTTTAAAGCTTATCGTAATTACCATTGACTAAGTGCATAATTTAGTGTTCAGATTTGATTAAATGCCAATATATTTACAAATAAACTCATGTTTTTGGCACTGTTTTAATACCTTTATGAAAATCTGTAATATCCATGAGAGTTTCAGTTTTCAGCATATTTCTTTTGTCTTTATAACAACATCATTTTTATATATTTTTGATAAAAAAAATAATTATGTACCTTCTTGGGCCAAAAACAAATCATCCCTGGACTACTTACAAATTAATTCATCTCAATGTAATATACTACACAACATATTTACTATAAAATTAGGCGTGCCAAATTAATAGTAACAATTTATTTCAAATATTCTGTTTATGCATGGTTGCAATTTTTTTAAAAACAACTCATTACTTTGTTTGATTACTAATGATTAAATATATACTCGTATTCTAATGATTTCGTAAATATTTGAAATTGATGATCGGCAACATTGTGTGTATAAAAAATATTTTACAACTAAAGGTCATATAAAGCATTTCAATGTCAATATAGAAGGATAAAATAAAATAAATTCAGACGTTTTAAGTACACTATTTAGATTTGAGATTTATTGAATATATAGGACAGTGGTTTTCAACCTCTTGAACTATGTGGCACACCAATCCATATAATATGTGAACCACGTTTTATATATGTTATATATATATATATATATATTTATATATTGTTACTCTAATAATAATATCACCTATCTGTATTTCACCAAATGTTCAGGGGAGTGAAAAAACTGAATAAACATTAAAAAATACTATACATCTCATATTTTTATCAAGTTTAAATTTATGATTATTCAACATTATTTTTAATCAAATTCTTTAAAATTGGTTGATGTTTAAAACTTAGTGTAGTTACTTGGTATTTACTAAAGTTTTTATGAAATATGTTTTATTGAGCAGTGCTTTAAAGTATTTGAAATTTATAAAAATACTAAATAATATATCCAGTTTAAAAGGGAAATAATTTATTTTAGGTTATTGTACAAGAAATAAACTTTGTGAGCAAGAAGATAACAAATATTTTGATACCAAAAACTCATTTTATGTAAAATGTCAGATACGTGGTACTGTCTTTAGTGTAATAATATATATATAAACGTACACTGTTTAAAGTCTACTCTATTAGAGGGTTAATTATTGTGAAATATATTAATACAATCAATAGATTGTGACGGCTGCAACGGACATACTTACAATAAATAATATTATATGTATTTATGATTAATTTGATTTATTTAATCGAAGATCAATAATAATACTGGTAAATACAAACTTATAAAACAATTTATAGGTTTATTGAGGCATAGGTACTTCAAGGGTTCTAACCTTGCAGCACAACGGTTAAAAATCACTGATATAGGATATCAAGAAAAATAATATAAATTAGTACATGAGTAATATAACAATATTTATATAAATTATGATAGGATAAATAATTATAATATAACATAAATTCTACCTTTACTACTGTATAAAAATATTTACGTTTAGGTACATAGGTGTATAAAAATAATAAAGAATTTGATCTTAATCAATTAAAATACTTTCAAACCACAAAAGTATTATTTTTCTAATAAACATTGAGTTTTGATCTCTATCTTAAAAAGTGATTTTTTCTATATTTAATACGCTAAAGGTTGAAATATTGTTTTAAAAACTTGGATGGTTATAGTTTATTTTTAATAGCAATTAATTAGAAATGCCATAAAAATTATTTTTTATATTGCTCATAAAAACAAAGTATTTAAAAAAATATTATCTTCATTAATAATTTTGCATATTATAATAAATTATTTTATTTAAAAAAAAATATAAATGAAAATATTAACTTATAACATTTATTGGTTTTATAACACTAAATTTTAATAACAAATGATGATTTATAATATCCATTAGAATCAGTTGTAAACCTTTGTGATAAATGAATATCTGTAAGACGGACTGTTCCAAATGTAAAATCATGAAAATTCTGTAACAAATATAAGAATAATAAATTAATTAATATATTTTTTGAATTTATATTAATTATAATAGATGAATAATTAAATATTATAATTCTTAACATAGTTTATAATATTTTATATTTAATCTTGTAAATCTTACATCCAATATTTTTCTAGCATCAAATGTCAGTTGCGGTTGATTGACAAAATCGCCATTAATACTAGATATATATTCAGAAAAACCTGAATTCATTAAAGTTATATGTAACTTGACGTGGTCACTTCTGGGCTGAAGTGTTAAATCTAAATTTATTAAAAATAAATAGATTAAAAAATAAGTTCTGGCCATAAATTATAAAATAAAATACATTCCTTGTTTTACTTGGAAACTAAAAGTCAAGAATACTTACCACATTTTTTAAAGAATGTTTGTATTTTATCAGCCATAATTTGAATATCATTACTTTTTACTTTAGCATATAAGACATTGACTTCAGATGGATCATCATTCATATAATCTAATTCAGAAATTAATACATCTAAAGGTTTTAAATTCATAGGCCTAGAAATTAATAATTTTATGTTAATTTAAACTAATTATTTTTTTGATTTGTTCATATTCCAAACTTTATAATAGTATCTTCACACTGTTCCATTAACTTGATAGCTTTTTTGATTTCTGCTGCATCACATAAAACAAAACAGGTAATAGTTAAATGGAGACGTAACTGATCTTGGAACAAAAGTTCAGAAATCCCACGACATTGGCCACATTCTTCAAGAACCTTATTCTATTACAGATAAGATATATAGTTATTATTAATAAAAATAATTCATCTCTCAAATTAATAATTGAATTTACTTTGAATAATAAATAGTTATGAATCACCATTTCATTGACCATTGGTAAGGATACAAAATGAGTCATAGTCTGTTTGAGTCGACCCCTCTTTATGATCGCATCAATTTTTGATTTTGCAGCAATAACCTGTGATCTTTGATCTCCTTTAATAGCTAAAACCCACAAGAAAATTGTATCTACCACATTGTTATTCTCAATAACTTCAATAATTTTCAATAATTTAATACATGTTGAGAAGTAATTTTCAGAGACTTCACATGAAGTACAATTTTTTTTTAACAACCCAAATTGTTTATTTTATATTAAATTTATTAATTGTATTTTACCATTTTCTATACAATTTGAAAAATTTTAATTTACCAAAAATAATTTTCTTCAATACAATATACTATAAATATATTAGTGTAAAATTCCAATATCTTGATAAGACTAGGTTTCACTGATTAATGTTAGAATTCACTACTTGTATACATTAAAAGCTAAAAATTACAATTTTATTTGAGTTTTTACTAAAAACATTAAATACATCCTATTATGTACAAACTATGTAAATTAAAGCTAGTAAATACACAACAAAAACAATGAAAGTATCATCAATAAACAGTATTATTACTCAGATATTGCTTTATTTATTATTAGTTACTTCTGTCCATTTGGATTTTACAGGTCAAATGAATTTATATGTACTAATGTATAATGAGTGAGCAGGTATATATTAAATTGGTATCATTTTATAATTTATTGTTGTGTTCATAGTAAGCATACGATCGATAAATCGATGGTAGTCTGTCTTGTTGTTGGCTATTGATCGTGCTAATAATAGGTAAATAATAGTACATACAGAAGAGACCTGGTGCAAACTGCCAACATACTCCTCCAACATGTATTTAATAAGAAAATATTTTAGTGTTTCCACTCACTGTAGTCATACGAATAATTACATTTAATAATTTATCAGTATTATTTTTTTATATTTTAGTTAAAAATAGCAAATATTGAAACATTTTATTTAAGCAATAACATAGGTTATCGATCATGGTTTAATTTTAATTTTTTATTAAGTAAAAATAATAAATCTAAAAATAAACTAGTAGTACCTAGCTTTAACAAGTATTCTGGTTGAAATTATTAAAAATATTTACCAATTGTTACCTTTTCAAGATAGAGAAAGTTTGGTTAATGCACTTACTTATTATATTGTTTTCCCTTGGACCAGGAATTTTAATTCTTGCCTGTGTTTGATATTCAAGATTCTTGAGAGTCTCTCGATTCCTTCCAATGATCAAACCATAAAATACACTAAAACCAAAAAAAAATTTTCATAACAATGTATTAAAATAGTTAAATTATGATAAATCACCAGTAAAATATTGGTATATACCAATAGATTGATAATTTAAAGTTATAAATGAATATCACAATATTATAAGATTCATATCATATAGCTCTAGGATATTTTGCAAAATCTTTTCAATGAAAGAACACTTTACCCAAAAGACATTTTTATAAATAATATATTTTAATTATTAAAAAAAAAAAAAACATTAATAGTAAATACAAAACTAAAAAAACTATTTTATTTATTTATTTATTAAAATTTTATACAGATTAGGACCCAATTACATTAATTAAATTTAAATAGCATTCGAAAATATTATCATCGCTTAAATAGTGTTTCAACATTTTTTTTAAATATTTTCTGAAGTTCCTTAATTTTGATAATGTCATAGATTGATCCATGTTCAACTTATACATTATCACGTGATGACCAATATTCATTATAAAAAAAAATCAGAACATATTTATTTGTACAAATTGCAAATTATTAAAAATTGATATAGCATTACACCTTTTCTTTGATTTTTATTTTATTATTATAGTGGAATAGATAAAAATTATAACAATGTTTATTTTTAAAATTTATTTCCAAAAATAAACGTGTTATTTTTAAAATGATCATTACAATATTCATATTAAAGTATAAAAAAAATTTGCCAAAATCACCATTAGCTAAATGTCCTTCCATAAAAATATTTGCTTGGTAAAATGTCCTTTTACTGAAAAGACCAGATACCATGTACACGTAACATAATAAAATAAATTAAAATATTTTATTCAATAATAAGTATAAAGTAAAAATGGTAAATAACTATAAATAACAAACTTTGGAATCTCTAGTTTAAGTACACAGTGCCCACCATCCATATAAATATTCAAATCATCATATTCTTCATCAGAATCTAAAACAAAATTATAATTAATTATATGAACAATTTATCAACATGACATAAGTACTTTCCTATTACAGAAATTATTCAAATAATTTTACTAATTACTGTATACTACTCATCCATAAAGTCTCAAGTTTTAAAACATATAATCAAAAAAGGTAGTTAAGTAATTATTTTGTTCATTGTATTAATAAATGTAATATTGTTGTATAAAAATTAAATATATCTACATTTTAAGTTCTCAGCAATTTAATTTGATAACTGGCATATTCAGGCTTGATCTTTTTACTATTAAAAATGTAATATTAAAATCTCGGTTTTACCATCTCTCTCGATATATGATGCAAGATTTTCAGTGTTATCTGTCTGCATTTCATTGTAATTAATTGGACAACAATCGGCAGTATTTAAACGATAATGTCGTCCATCAATGATCATTATCTTTGGACGTAACACGTCCATATTTAATCTAAGGTAAAAAATATTATATTTAAATTTTAGTTTGTGAATTTTAGTGAAAAAAAGAAGTTAGCTGATACTATGATATAATAAACGTTAATAATAAAAGTTAATATCATGATGATATTATCATCAAATGCTAATTACCAGTGAATAGTGATAAAAATCTATTATCAGATATCAACAATCGTCTTAAGGGGTTGCCTTAACCTATAGAGTAATATTACTCTATGCCTTAACCAAGGGCGTCCACAGATGAAAATTCAGGGGGGCAGCATTAATTTTTATTGATAATCAAACACTTTTATACTAATTAAACACTTTTATTAACTAATTGAACACAAATTGCAATTTTATTTTTTTTTTTCTAAATTCATCAACAACTTTTTCAGTTAAATGAAGTTCTTCGATTTTTTTCTGTGTAAACTTAACATATATATATTCCGGATAAACGATTCTCACACATTGTTGAACGTAACCAGCTATAAATATTAATGCACCTTGATACCAATTATGATTTTTGGGATTTTGGGATATTTAATTTGGAAATAATTATTTTAAGTAGCTAGAAAGCAAGGGGGAAGTTGTCCCTCCTGCTCCTCCCTACAGACGTCCTTGGCCTTAACTGAGCCTTAAGGGGATTACAAGCCATGATTCTCTCTCTTTCTATCACACGCGCAATATAGGGATTTAGACGTTTTCTATTTCCAATGTACCGATCGATCTATTAAGGTGATAATTTTGAAAACTAATTTGAATTCGTTGTAAAGTTTTCTTTATAGGTATTGATATCCTCACATTTTGTAAATTTTGTATTTTTATTTATTTTTTTATTTTGCCTTCTTTAAAACATTACAGCAAATAAATTAAATAAACAAAAATAGTGCATTAATAAATATTGTATAAAGGAACTAAATTAATTAAATTAAGGAGCCTGTGGAATAAATGAAGTGATTAATAAAATGGATGCCATGCAGACCCTATTTTTCATAAAAATGCGTACTACACATTTTTTAATGTACAATAATATGATACAAAGCCCCCCCCTCTACTCCCTTCCATATGATTATAATTTTTAGTACAATGTCAGTAATAATTTTTAATAATAGTTATTTTTTGTTAATCAAATTGCGCATTATAATTAGATACCTAACTACCAATTTAATATTATTTTTAAACTGAAAATATACTTTTGTCTGGTATAAATCTAAAAACTAATTACAAATTATTTATTTTAATGTGAGATGTATAACTTAAAATTGAATAGATATATTAAGTCATCATTAGTTGTCTTGCTTAAACCGGCTTTCTGAAAAATTCCTTCATAGTAGTCTTATTTATTAGTATATAGTAGTTTACACTTCCAGTTTCGGACTACACACTTTGTGTAGGGATTCATTAAAAAAAATATGGGCTGGTTGATGCCAATGATATAACCAAAAAATGTTGTATTTAACATACCCAAAAATTAATTTTTGTTAACTTTTATGTTTCCAATTTGTTTAATCCTAATTTAATGTTTGTGAAACAAAATTAAAAAAGTGGGAGAGTCGATCTAAAGAAAACTTTACAACGAATTTAAATCAGTTTACAAAATCCCTATATTGCGCGTGTAATAGAAAGAGAAAGAAAATCACGGCTTGCGATCCCTTTAAAGTACAGATTTATGAATCTAAGTTGCATTCTCTTTTTCCGTATGAAAAAAAAATTATGTTATACATTTTTAATAATAATCTAGGTAGATTCTTTAAGTCTCATCAAGCAAATAATATTTTAACGGAACCAAATTATTATTTACGGTTATTTAATATAACTTATGTTGTCTTCAGTCTTCATAAATGTTGCAAGTGCAACAATGCTCTTGAGCTGCTTATATAATATCTCATTTTGTACGTATATTTAGAGAATACATTACTTGTTAATCAATACCTACCTAAAGCAGGGGTGTTACAACCCGGGTGGATGGCGATGTCTAACATCGGGGCCCTATCATAGGCATAGATTTGGAGGATATTTTTAACGCGAAATAATTGAGTAGCATTTAATTATAAGTTTTTAGTTTAAGACAGATATTTTGTCAGCTGTCTAATTCTCCTACTGTCAAACAACTATAAGAATTTTATAGTAAAAGTCCTATATAGTTTTTTTTCTGATGGTCGTTTTACCATCAAACAACTAATCAAACTAATAAGTTCTATTGTTGAATAAATAGATGAATAACATATTACAGGTTTGTGCAAGATTCAAAAGTGTTGCATGTTTATCAAGCTACATGAATGAATATAAAAATAGATCACGAAAAAGTAAAAAAAATAATGACATAGATCATTTTAAAATTTAAATTTTGGGTTTTAGAGGCGCCTTAGAGCTTAAGGCCCTGTTAACGTGTTACATTGCACCTTCGCTGAATCCGGCACTGAGATTAATTTGGGCGATACCAGTTTTAGTCAAATAAAACATTGATTCGAAATATTTCATATATTGCCCAACTTGCCGAATTATATGCGCTCCATTTTATTATTGATTATTAATTAATAAAGTAGTACAGTTATTTTTTTAGGAATATTTTAAGTATTAAAATGTGTCTAAATTAATTAATACATAGCACTATTGACAATGTATGCAAATACAATTAAAAAAAATAGGGCACGTTTTACTTTACCACAAATTGGAAACATCGCATTTGTAAATACCGTTGTAAAGATAATCAATGTCCTAAAATATTATATTGGTACATATTATTATTATGTGATCTGTGGTATTATCACGGACATCTCAGCCCGTGGCATACATATATTACTTTTTACGAGGTCGATCGGCCTTGGCATAATTGACATAATCATTTTGAGTTATCTAATATAATTTTCTTATCAAATAAACAGATAAATTAGAAATTTTCTATTTTACTTATTCATATAATTATTTTTGTATATTCTGATCTTCTAAAAACGGTACAATAATCTAATTTAATTGAATTATTTTGTTTAGTAAAAAAATTTACTCGAGGTCAACACTTATGGATAACTCTATGGAATCAGAGGTATGTTCATTACAACTACTTTTTTTTACTACAGTTGTTATTTAATATTTATTTTACTACTTAACTTATTATATTTAATTACTTAATGGCTTAGACGGATACTTTAATTAGTCATGCAAGTATCAGTATTACCGAAGCTGACAAGCGTATGAATTCAACTTTAAGTCTAAAAGAATACTATACTGTATACATAATTGAAACAAAGTAATATTTATGAAACATTGTTTATTATACCTTTAGATTCAAATTAATTTGTAGTTTATGTTTATAGAATTGACAGTGAAACTTGGGCTGAATCTAAAGGAATGCAAAAGTTATCCTTAGCAACCAGACGATACACAGACTTTATAACACTACACAATCACTTGGGAGACAAATATCCTTGGGTAGTGATACCACCACTTCCAGAAAAGAAACAAACATTCATGTGGAACAGTGAAGCTGTGTCAGATACTATGGATCCAGATTTTGTTGATAGAAGGCGTGCAGGATTAGAGAGTTTTTTGAAAAGATTAGCTGGTCATTCTGAGTTGGGCTATGATGAATGTTTCCTTAAATTTCTTGGTGAATATGATAATTGGATGGATTATGCTAAGCCACTTAACAGTAAGCGTACAATTTATTTAAAATAAATTAGCTTATTACTAAAATATAAAATAATTTAAGATAATAAAGTTGAAGAGAAAAAATACTTATGATAAAATAAGAATGAATTTAATTACAGGTATATTAAAAGATACAGAGCTTACTATCAAAACAATGAATGCATCTATGAGAGGCAAAAATTCAGATAAACGGTTTGAAGCCATTCAAACATATAGCAATAAATTACAGGTACTTATAAATATGAAATATTTTGATGGCATTTATGATAAAATATATATTTATTAATTAGGGTTCTATAAATAAGATATTAACATATCGAGCAAAACAAGCTGAGCGACTCTATAATGTAGATATGTTGCACTTACATTACGGAAGAATTTTCAGTGAACTCAGTGCTATTGACAATGATATTGGTGATGCAGTTCAGGTACTTATATTCATAAAATAAAATACATTTATTATTTTTGTTATTAAAATAAACAATTGTTTTATTCTTTAGAGAACAGGTCATTATATGGACACTATTGCTTCAACTATTAGTCCAGCACTGGAAGATGAAGAAATTATTATAGATCAATTAAAAGAGTAAGTACAATGCATATTCTTAATACATTTAATTATTTATAGAGATTTTTGTCAACATTAAAACATGAGTCAACTATTTAATTATTTTACTGACATTTATCTAATTAAATACTGTACACAATTTGAAATTATTCAGTTAAGAATAGATTATATATAACTGATTATTCATTATATGTCTGTTAATGGTATCTCAAATATCAAATAAGTGATTAAAACTTTAATGTAAATTTGTTTTTTTTTTTATTTATTAATATATTATCAATTTAGGTACTTGGCTTTTACAAACTCCCTGCATACATTCGTAAAAAATCATGATTTACTACATTACAACTTAAATCAGTTGAACAGTATGTCAAGCAATAAAGGTGATTATAAATTATTTTCTAACTAAAATTAATAATTAGTATGTTGTATATAAAATGTATTTAATTACCAAAAGTTTAAACAATAGTCCATCATTATTTTTAGTCAAATACAAATTAGTTTCATTTATATTTTCAAAACTAAATATTTTATAAATTATTAGTAATTATAGTAATTAGACTGAATAATATTTGTATGAAAACTGAATTATTTTAGTTTATTATATTATAAGTTTAAATTAAGAATAATTTAAAGCTGCAAATAAAACATTATGTACAATGTACTAAAAAGCTATTTTAGTATTAAATGTAATGCAGCTTTATCTTAGACCTATAATTTTCATCAAAATAAGCATAAATTAATATTATACTATCATGAATTACATTAGTATTATTAAACATTATACAAATGTATGTATCACCATAGTTTTGCTCTTTTTTCAATTTATTGATTTTTAAATCATTATATTTAATCAAAAAATACATAATTAATTATTTAAATTAAAATGATAAAATCTATACTATTGCTTAAAAGTTATAAAAATATTATATTAAACTAATATTATCATATTTAAGGTATCATAAAAAATTTAAATATTAAAAAAAAAAATTAGGATAATAGATTTAGTGATATTAATATTCAGTTATTTGTAAACATAATCAAAACATAGTGCTATATATAAATATATATTTATATATTTATTTCTAATTTTATGCATTAAAAATAATTAAAATATCTTATGATTAAATGTAAATTATAATATGTAAATATTTTTTAGAAACTAGTGGCATAATGTCCAGACTATTTGGTTATACAGTAGCTGCAGCTGATCGTGATACAGCTGCTAAAGAAGCATTTGAAAATAAAAAAACAGAAGCCAAAGCAAATTATGAGTTAGTAAATAATTTAAATTACTTAAACTTAAATGATTCAACATTTTCTGAACTTTATTAATAAAAACCTGTCTAAACATTTTTCGACAGAGCTCAGTTTTTATTGATACACTGGATACATTTGAATAAAAATTTTAATTAAATAGTAAATTATTTTATAATTTGACTGTAGTATTTTTAATTTTTTTTATAAATATTAAGAATTTAAATAGTAAAAATTAATTTTGTGTAGGGAGTTTGTTGGTAAATCATTAAAAAATTACAAGGAATTTGAGAGGCAAAAAGACTTAGATCTTATGAAAATTCTTAAAGATTATGTTGCATTCCAAACCAAGTATGCCCAAAAGGTATGTATACAATTGAAGCTAACACCTTATACTTTGATTATATATTCATTATTAAGGAAGTATCTACTTTTATACTACTTCTATTAACATATATTTGATATTTGCTTTGCATTTTAGAGCTTATTATTTTATTAAATTATGATACAAATAGCACTTTTATTTCTTAACATCTTGTTGAATTAATTTCAGATCCATGAATTTTTTATAGCAATAATAATAATTATAATACAATTGTTTATATACATTATTTTTAATTTTTAATTATATGTATACTTTTATAGTTAAACCTAACATCATTAATTATAAATAATATTTATAATCACTGTAATATCTATAATCTAAATACATTTGTTAACAAATAAATTCATACTTAGTTTAGGTAGAAAAATATTTACTTGAAAAATTCAATATATTAATGCTATTTTGTATATTGTATTTTTAATGAGTTGGTCATTTTTAACACGTGGTTTGATTTACTTATTTAAGATTTATTATGTATGAAATATTCATAGTATATTATTATATTTAGTATTTTATTATTTTTTTTATAAAACTAAATGTTATTTTTTCAGGGGTTGCAAACTTGGAAAAATATTTTACACAGCATACAAAGTATTGAATAAACCATTGCAGTCATTACATATCTTCATTATTTAAGTCAATTATTAATCCAATTTATTTGCCATTATGTACCTAACAGTAATTTTAATATTCATGTATTCATTTACACTGGGTCATTCCAAAATTGTTGAGAATAACCTGCTTAAAAAGTTTAATTCTTTAATGAATCACTAAAATGCATTTTAAGTAGGCAATGTTCTAATTCATTATATTGTTATTTATTTTGTATTATATCTTTTAACGTTTGTAAATTTATCAGAGCACTATTATATATTGTTAAAATACATATGTTATGCCATTTTTTAGTTTTAAAACACTTGTTATTTAAAATCACATAAATAATTAGAGTCTTGAGTGCCTATCTGAGATAAGAAAAATTTTAAAAATAATTTATATTTGGAAAATTAAGAATTATTTTTGTTTTTACACATTGAAATTACATCAGATATCGATAAATTTGATTGTATTCATATTTATTAAAAATATGTCAACTGTTTATGTTTCTTAATAAATCAATCAAAATATACTATAAAATTGTTATTTAGTTATTATTTTAGCATTAATATTTTTCAAACAATTTTAATTTTAAGTAGGTAAAGGAGTATATGAATATCAGCTTACTGATTATTAAGTACTAAGGTTTGACCTTTATTTGTTTGATAGGTCAATTGATACTTAGTAGACCGTAAAATATGATAGCAAAGATTGTTTGTACCTTTTCTATAGTATTTCTTTTCTTTCCTCTAGAAACCAGTTGTAAATTATGGATATTTAAAATTTTGTTTGCGTCAAATTATATTTCCAGTCATCTTGATCTTTATCAAGGTTAGAAAACTTTACAAAAAATTAAATAAATTCCCACTAATTTATAAGGAAAATTGTACAATGTAATTTATTTATTAAAATGCATGTTAAATCTTTAAACTATAAATTAAATACAAGTTGATCTAGTTTCTGTCATTGGAGCAAAATGAGAAATTCCCGGACCATACTTTATAAAATTTTAGAATTTAATTTCAAACTGATCTCTATTAAACAACAAGTTTTAATTTTTGTTAATATCTTTGTAATTAAATTTATCATTTTTATTAGTTATAACATAGTAAAAGTTGTCATTAAAATATTATTTAAATTACATACTCATTCTAGGATATTTTTTAAATAAATAATTAAATGCTTCAAAAAATAAAAAAGTGTAATAGCCACAGCCAAGTAACTTATTTACAATTGGATTCTATAATGATTATAAAAATTATTTATTATAATATGTAGGTTATTAGAAATTATTAGTTAATGAAAAATAAGCTACTATCTCAAATTCATTCAAAGTATATCTAGAACAACAAATAGTTGTGAATCATTTCACGCACAATTTAATGAACTATTTTATAAATCACATCCATATATTATTATATTTTTAAACATTTTAATTTCTAACGTACAAAACAACATATACATTAAAATTAACAGTTGCAACTTAGGTATACAATAATCGGTAAGATGTAATATAAAAAAACAATTAATAAATACAACAAACGTTATACAAGAATATAAAAATAAAAAAATTTTAAGAATGACGTTTTTAAAAAAAATATCCAACAATTATTTGAAATAATTAATTTATACAAATAATAAATAATTATTAAAAAAAGTAAATGTTTTTTCATTTTTATATTTCATCTTATTTTTATTATACTTTTTTTGATTTTTTTTACTCAAAAATAATTTTCAGTTGTATTTTTAATTAATTTATTATTTGTATAAATTAATGATTAATTATACTTAGTTAATTTTAAGTATGTTTTTAAACAGCTTTACTTAATTTGTTAATTTCAAAAAAAAAAAGTAACTTATTAAGTTAAAAGTTAATTTGTAAAAAATGTAACGAGTTAATTAACTTAACGTTTTAACTTAATTTTAACTTTTAACTCGTTAATTCCCAGCCTTGTAAATTGGTAGCGTATGCTAGCAGTATATTTTTATTTGTATAGATACAGAAATTTGTTGGTAATGTGATGCATTGTATTGATTGATTCATCGATTCTAAGTACTCGAATCAACTCGTTGTGTTAATCAAATAAAGTTTGAAATGCAGTGACAATTTCTCGTTTAGTGCTCGTATTGTATCGACAATGTATACTTTTAATGCCATAGATACGCGTGCCATAGAAACAAATAATAAAAAATAATAACAAATTCAGCAGGGATAATAATTTCTTTCGCACTAATTATTTTAATTGAAACTAATAGCAACCATCTATAAACAAAAATGTCCATCGTAAATCTCAAAATGTCTGTTTGAGCATCTCCCGGGTTTTGGGCCTATCACTTTTTAACTTAGCCTTTTGCCCATAGGTTTGATATCTCTGTACTAAATTTCGTAGCAATCGGTCCAGCTGTTTAAAAATGCATAGAGAACTTTAATGCAAAATTCTAGATTTTACCGGTATTCGTATATTACCGTAACATATATAATATATTTTATATATACGTAATAGTATATAAGAAAATTATTATGCTGTCTAGTAGTGTATATTTAATTTTCTTGTGGGAGGGGGTTATTATACACACTATACACACAGTTTTTATGTCAATATCAAACGTCTATTTTTATACCACCTCGGAAAAAAAATTTATGTTTCTGTAATTCCATCATAATTGACAAATACTACATTTTATGCACACGTTAAAACATTCATGATGTGCATATTTTTCATTTTAATCATTTCAAAATTGAAATTTGTTAGTCCTTAAAGGGACTTATCACTCCCCCCTCTCCATTTTTACGTCACTGATAGATAATTATTTAGATCAACTTAATTTTCGACATCACTAATAGATGTTTTGTACAGAGTAACGGACCTGTATACGAGTACAATTCGATAACTATAAAATGTATATGTAGTATTGTATGTCATATGAATAAATTTGATATATACATATAGATATTAACTTACATAGTGATATAATCTGCCGATATTTAAACATAAATCGACATAAAAATATATTTTAATGAGATAAATAAAAATCACTATTGTACGAAAATCCAACAATTATCAATAATAATATAATAATTTAAATTTCTATTGAAGTAGTTACCTGATGTATCTACTTCAATACGGTTATACGAATAGTCAGTATAATACCCGTTGGGTTAGAATTTTTACTGTAATATAATTCTTTAATCCGATACTGCGCCATAGATGTTATGGTACTTATATCAGTTTATAATTATAGTTTTAGATATAATGTACTAACTAGCAGTGCTTGATTTGGCAAAATTAAAGATAGGGGACTCTGATTACTTAAAAAAAGTGTCTCCAAAACTTGTATGCAATATAATTATAGTACTCCGTCCCTTTGCGTTTGCCCCTCAAGCCGAGCACTGATAATCAGTGGTATAAACATAAAACTTATAAATTTAGGACCTAAAGAAACAGATCAAATGGACTTCGCTTATTTCAAAACATTAAAAAAAAAAAAACAGCAAATTGGTCAGTTCAAAAATTACCGCTACCCTTATGACTCTCATGTCTATTAAATCACATAACCTAAGTAAATGTCGATTCACGACGAGTTAAATTATTTATAGGGTATTACATTGGAAACGAATGAGGAATAAAAATGCGTACAACTACGATTGCGGTCATAGTTTATAGTACAAAACCCTGACGTTCGTTAGCACGCTAGATTTGTTTTTATAGACTTAATCGCGGTATATTATTTAAATAAATCGAACTATTTGGATTGGTATTTTCAGCAAAAATAAAATAGGTAGCTACATTAGTACGCAAATAATAGCGGCTATTAGAGAATCATCAAGGGAAAATATCACAAACGCCACTTGGGAGTAGTGTTTAGCCTCTAAACACACTGACCATTATTATAACACGATTATAAAAGCATCGCTGTGCAGTAATAGTTTGTCATCGGGATATATTTCTATTGCCGAATGTTGTAGAGGACGGGCATCCCCAGGGTGCTGTTTTGTTGCATTTCTTGTATTAAACTTTTTACCATTATCGATCATTTATGAACCATACATTAAATTAAAATATCGTAATACACCTACGCGTACTACGTTACATTATTTTTGATTTGTCGATTGAAAATGCATGCTGGTTTCCTATTTTTAGTAGCAGCCATAGAAAAATCACTATAGATACCCAGTCTTTATAACTGACGTCCTTAACTCGTCATGAAGTGCCCATTGGGGAGAGAACGACAGTAATAATAAATTAATGCGGCCAGTTGCACGGTCGCGTCACTGCGGTAACATAAGTTATAAATACATATCCGAACACATTCGTGACACGCGTAAAAAGGGGCCATGAAATTATATTGTAAACTGTTCGGGTTGACGAGCACTTGAGTGTTTTACAATACATATTAAATCGGTTTACGTAATAGCATACATTAAAATGTACCGGCTGTCCCGAGTTCGGTTGAAACGGATGGTGTTTAATTTTCCTGGAACTAATTACCCACCCCAACCACTTACTTTTCAATATTCAAATACAACGTAAACACCAAAATAATGTTCAATGGAACTTTTTTAATTAAGTATTCTAAAATACTATACATCTTGGGATTAGGGTAACTTAAAACACATCGACACCACTAAATAAAGTATATATGCTATGAAGTTACTGTAACACTTTAAACACTATATAATAACTTGGAGTGTTTGTTATTTTTACGGATTTTGTACTCGCTGTGCGTATACATAGGTATATTACAACATGCATAATACTATATGATATAGAAATCTTTTGTACGGCGTAAAAAATATATCCCTGAACGTATATCACACATTAATCTAATTTAGAAGCGCAAGGTTTTAAAATAAATAGAAGAAACAATTATTATTTGTTATAACATTTATAACGTTTCAATATTATATATATATATTATTATCAAATGTAATAATTATAGATATTTTAGTTTTTTCTTATTTATTTAAGATAATAAAAACAATTGATGGTATATTAAAAACATGCAAAATTTAATATTATGAATATGAAAAATCTAGAACATAGAAAGGTAATTTTCTCAGCAACTGTGGCACATTTAATACATACGCGCCCTGGGGAAAAATAATTTTTCCGCCCTTCCCCCTTACAGAAAAAAAAATGTATATAAATAAATTCAGTTAAACAATAAAAAAAATTGTTTTTATCAGTTGTTTTGTGATATTGTATTAGACAATTTTATAGTAATACCATTGATTTTATAATATATATATTGTAATTATAAAATCATTGGTAATACATATCCTAACGTTAACCTAATTTTTATTTTTTTTTCAGTCAATATTCCTTTCTTAAAATATATATATATTTATAAATTACAACTTTAAAAAGTGGCACAAATTACCAAAATTAATTTTTAGATGTGGCGCAAATTACATACGCCCATATTTTCGATGTAAAATCTTTGGTCAAAATATTTTTTTATATTCAATTTGAATAAATAATTACACATTCAACTCGTATTGAATATTGTATGATAAACCTCTTAAATAATTAAAATATGTTGTTTTAAAGTAATTTTCCACGATTCTTTTTTATGTAATTTTTAACAATTGAATATGTACAACATGAAAACTATTGTCTATTACGGATGTTATGCAACTATTAAACTACCAAGACGTCCTGTTAAAGTTTAGGAACAATAACCCCTCTTGATCAATCAGAATGATGATTATCTGAGAGTATGTTTACTAAATAATCTTATTTCTATTGGTAATACGGCAGTATACCTATATATGTATACAAAAGTTGATCCAGACATGGCGTTCAAGAAGTAAGCTGATCCACAGTTAATATTTGTTGACAAAATTGACCTTTTGAAGATTTCTTATTTTTTAGTGTGCTGACTATGGATCGAAGTAAATACTAAACTTGGGCAAATTCCCTAGTTGCTACTCCCCAAATGTTGTTACTGGTTTAATTGTATAGTACATTAAAACATCTCTACGCCGGACTTCATGTTAGACGTAATCCTCCATAAAATAAAATAAATGTTAATGTTTTCAATAATAATTATGAATAAACTTAAAAACATATATTATATAATGTGTTTTTTTTTAATTACCAGTTATTAATGTATAACCCAGTTTTAACCCTAATAAGTGGCGTCTTGAAATTACCCGACCCTCTAACTGTTGATCCGTCCCTGTATGTGTATATATATATATATATATATTGTATACATATTATTATGTTCGGTTTTTGTTGTAGAGGTCATACTCGGTGGCAGTATAATACTACGTTAGAAATATTTAAGTATATAATGTATAAAAATATCGATACACAACACACATGCATAACATTTTTTTTTTAAAAAAACATCCAAGAACACCTCGAGTGCAGAGAAAGGATATTGACTACGTCATTAGACGACATGACGGTTATATTTTTGTGTACGACCACGGAGGGCTCATTCTAGTCTCGTTTCCGAACAAACATTTCAGAACACTAGTCGTACAGTAAAAGGTTTAATTTTTTATTAAAACACGCTACTACGGGGCATCGTGCATTTTTGCGTGGCACAATAGCAGCCGGTGAAGTGGTCACTAGGGCGTGGGTGTTGTGCTCACCTCAGTTCACGAATGTTGTGTGTACGCGCGATGTGTACACGGTATCGACCGCGACGTATGGTGTTCCCCGTCGCCGCTGCCCGCACGGTTTTCCGTCAACACCGCGATGCTCTTATTCGCCGACATCGCAGCTAGTCGGATGACGTCCACCGACAGCCGCGATGACGGTGACGGCCCACGACCCGCGACCGCGGACGTGGCCGCGTGTCCGCCGGCCACCAGGCGTCATCAGCTACAATCGTCGGCCGTGAAGAAAATCGACGACGGCGTCGTAGTGTGGGGCATAACCATCGGCTCCAACTGTCAGATCGCGTTGCCCGTCTTCGGCACTCTTTTCTTGGTCGTCGGCGTGTTGCTCACAGGTACCCAACACTGCCGGCCTCTGTGCCGCGCTGCACCGCTCACTGCGCACCGCGTGTACCGTACTGCATTGCGTATGTTTTGCACCGGCAGTCTAGGGCTCCAATGTGATGCACTTGTAACAGTAAGGAAATAAATGAAATTGTTGCAGAGGAGAACGCATTTGACGTGCAGTTGTATTTTACTTGTTATAACAATAGTATGTTCTCGTAAAACTAAGATCTTAAAAAATAACAGTTTAAGTCACATGGGCTCTGTGCAAACTCCGTGTAAAGCACCACAAAAAAACAATTTGATACGAGTGAGATGGGTACATGGCCTGTTGGTATGTTGTAATTTGTACTTTTGTATGTACTCAGTTTATCGAAATAATAAACCACCGCACGATTGAATTTCACGCGGTTCATCCGTTCTATGCGCGCATTATGTGTCATACGATATCTATCATCGAAAATATCGTTTCTTTTATAATATTTTAGTTAAGTTTTTTTTAAAAACTGTTAACGACTGTCTATGCAGGCATTGGCGTCGTGAAATTAATGTACCTACAATGTTTCAACATTTCTGTTTTGAAATTTTATCACGTCCTTGATAAAAAGGAATTATTACAAGATGGTTTTATAAAATATACTATGTTTCCAATATTTTATAAATTATTATCAGGATACTTGGCTGAAAATAAAACGATACAGTACAGTTTATCATGTCACGTCTGAGAACTCAGATTTGTACACACACACACACACACACGTTACTCTGATCCATCTACGTTATACCTAGGTTACTTATATTATATTGAACATAAATGCAGAATTGTATATTCAAAACATGTATTTTGTCCCTATTTTCACTAGATCCTGAGGAAATAACTAGACCGTTGTCAGGACCAGTCTATCGATAACTGTAATTTAAATAGCGATTGCAATTTTCTATCACATTTACTACATTTACGCGTATCCAAATTAATTTGTTGGAATTATTTATCTCGTATTATTAAAACTATCCCATTTTTTTTATTAATATATATATATTTCTATAATTACAATAATTTTTTTGTTCGGAAAAAAGTGTTATGGAAAAAATGATTTAACTCGTGGTATATATTATTTTACCATGCCTTCTGTTTCACAAAAGTATAATAACTAAAAAAAAAATATAAATATAAAATCAATATTATTTGGTTGTTTGGAAATAATGAGCGATAGGTTTATAAAAACAATCATTCTGCACATAAATGAAAATAAGTTTACAATACAATGCACGAAAATCTATCACTGTGTGTTTTTTAAATTATTCTCTTCGGTGTAAAATTCCTATGTAAATGGCTTCTTTTCTCCAAAAATACATTTCTGAATTCCGAACTGAACTGATCCACGGTAATTATTTTTCTAATAATGTACACCATTTAAAAGAACCGGTTATAATCAGTATGATCATTTTTAAACGTCTATTTCTTTATAATTTATTCGGAGAAAATAGTATAGAATTTGAGTATTTATTCTTAACTTCTCTTGTAACTATTTTATTTATTTTAATACATTTTTTCTCAACTGATATAGTGATATCAAACGGTGAATGTCGAAAGAAGAGAGCTATTAAAATATGAAAATATACGTAATATGTAAGTCGAGAAAAATTTAGCACAAGATCAAATCATTAGCTTGAAAACTAAATAATATGTTTTTATATTTGTGTGCATTACAAATAAAAAAAATTTTAAAAATGTCATCCATTGTAATTGAACTACTCTGTGCGTGTAAGCAATTTTATTTTATGGAAATTCAGAGTTGATAAATGCCGTGACGTAGAATATGACAATAGGGCAAACCTAATTGTCACCTACCAATGAATAACTTATAAATATTTGAATAATAATGAATAAAGGTCATGTGGATTTGAGAAAATATTAAATTTTTCGAGAGTTTCGGGAAGAGGACGATAAATAAGAATGTTCAATCAAACACTCCCATAGTACGTGTTTTTTGACTCTTTAGAGTTTAAAAGTGATTAGTAAATATTTACTATAAAAATGTCCATTTAAATTACAATTCACGAAGTTTTTTTTCGCTGATACTAATGAAATTATAATATTTGGCACATGGGCAATGGAAATAAATACATGTCTGTCCGTTAGCTTTTAAACGTCCATTACGATTAATCATGTAGGTTATTACTAATCAATGGATGGAGGGGGGTTAGTATAGTAAAATGGTTTTTTTTACAAACTCTACATGTTCGTAAAATGTTCTTAAAATGTAACACATCATTTCAAAAATAGGCGAAAAGTCCAGCTGAAATCAGTTCCCACAATATATGTGATTCTATCGTGCAAATAAATCATTGACTGTTGATAAAATGTTTTTATATTAATTTTTTGACAGTAATATCTTATGGATGGGTGACCGGCAGTAATGAAGGCGATTCGAAACGTAAGTTGTACACCACTTCGGATAACGGACGATTATTAGGACCGATATGCTTGATCGTGTCGGTGGTAATGTTCATCGCGACCGCAGTACTCCGAACAATCAGCACGAATGCACGTTTCCGGCAGACCCGCGTCGGATTCCATTGTCCCGTCCACGGAGACTTCTTTCCCATCAGCCCCGGGCCCGACCCGAGGAAATTCTCCTGTGAGTAGTTCCACAGAATAATAATATAATAACGTCATCATAATTTATAGTACTTCACGTACGCTTCTTCAATAATATTACAATCATTATGCTTTGTTCTTAACCATCTCACGTAATTGGACTTGTATAAATAAATATTTGATATATCATAATTCGTATTTATAATTTCGAATAATATACAGCACATTACATAATAACATTAGGTATTGGTCTAGTTGACCACTGCCAGGAAGGCAATTCCCCCGCCACTCAAGTGTAGTTGATGCCCGCCACTTATATTTTGTATTTTCGATAACCAATAATTTAAATAAAAATGTACGTTATACATTTATTAAAAATTATACATTATGATAATAATAAATAAAAATAAAAAAGAATAATAAAAATTATGCAGGTGGCCAAAACTCTGCTATGTCCTTCAACATTTCCTTAAATAGATCCCGACCATTTAATTTACTCCGTCACATAAATTCTGACAAATAAGAATCTAGGAAGTTTCTCCTAGTCCCTCTACGTTTCTTGTTGCCCCATTTAGCACTTCCCCACATTCTCTCAACATTCTACGTATGAGCTCCACTTATAGGATCCACAAAGTTATATTTGTGGTTTACTGTTGAATGTATATAATGGCCGGTTTGTTGTATATTATTATAGGCTCACCAGGAATCAGATATAATGGTCGATCCAACTCGTATACGTTCGCAAATTATTGGCATTAATGTATTTTCCGACCGATGGGTACACATGCGACGAAACACTCATTGGTCTCACGACTTGTGCCACCAAATTCCCATTTCTGTGGCAGTATTCGACCAGCATTATTTTTGCGTCTAACAAATAAACTTTCGTCGATCTCGACAATACAACCAACACCTCCTATTTTGGAATTACCTTGAGAAATTTTCCATACACAAACTTCCCTCATAAAATTATTCCAATCTACTGCAGTAGATTTGCTCATTCCAAATTCACGCTTGCAAAAGTCCACTGATGTCAGTTCATGTGCCCAACCATAAATGAAGTGAACAATAGTTGGCAACTTTACCTTGGCACTTTGTATCCAATTATTGGTCTTGAGACCTTTTTCTGCTCGACATGATCTTAAATGACATCGCCACCAACCCCTTTGTGTATCCAAAACCATCTCGTATCCACTGTCACAAGTCCTAGTCTTATGGATAATATTTTGGTTTTGCAAAAAAATTATTGCAGATGAAACATCATGCACGTCACAATAAATTTGTCGGAAATTCATTTTCTTATTTTTCAGATGACGACAACTGAATAACTGAGGTAGGTACTTCATAATATTATATACGGCACCCGCTGTTTTACCTATCTTATATAATTCATTTCATTACACTGATTTTACTAAGTATAATTCTTAAAATATCTATTTTAATCTATAATTAATTTTTATCTATCATATTTTATACAAATACCTAACGTATATGATTTCGTACCTTTTTTATCTGCACTCTGCAGTATATCAGTATATTATACATTTTATAAAATCAAAAATACGAGAGATAGGTTGGTAAGTGGCGGGCGTCAACTAAACTTGAGTGATGGGGGTCAACTAGACCAGTATATAACATTATTGTTCTGGAAATATTTTATTTTGAAAAACATTATGGTTTAGTGTGCGTATTGCTCATATAAATTGTAATTGGGGTCGGAATGATCACTCAAAACAACGTTAAGTATAATTCTAGTTATCAACGTATTCACATATTGTTACCAATATTACACAATATACAACTGCGATATTACGCGTTTTTGCACGTAGGAAGTCGAGCGCTTATCGCGATGCAGTGGAAATGACTCGTATACAGTGCCGTATTTAGTAATTTTGTGCCCTGGCACAAAAAAAAATTAGCGTCCCTCTAAGCCTATCCACGGAAAATATAGGAGATAGATCCTCATGAACATTTTAGATATTCTAAAATCAATGCTATTTTTGTGTAGTAGGCACGCCACCGCACGCTGCACGCGATAACATAATACGCCGTATTATTATAAATAACTCATGTTTATTGACACAACAATGTTTATTTATGTTTTTTTATGTTGTTTATTTATTACAACAAATTTGGTAACTGATATTAGGTATATTAATAATATTCTGGATCATTGATATATATAGCTATATTGCTATAAATAAATTAACATTAATTTATGATACTGATATTAAAAACAAAAAAAATAATAATTTCAAAATAATTTTTAAAGTTCAATAATTCACAAGTGAGCAAATTTCCGACCACAAAAAACTGGCACCCAGGGCAGTTGTAGCCGGTGCCCCCCCTCCCCTCTTAAACACGGCGCTGCTCGTATAGCTATATATATATATATATATATATATATATATATATGCTCGTAATGGAAACGTACTAACAAGTTTTTACCGATTTATTTCTGTTAATCTAAAACACGCCTTCATGAACGTGTATTTTTAATTTGGTCCATGCAATTTATATGTATGCTACAAAAAGTTCTATACAGCGTGTATCACGTTTCAGTTTCTATGGAAAACATCGCGGAAACGCCTTGGATTTGCAAGTGTTTGAAACGGTTTAAAGCGGATTCGCAGGAAACTTTGGCCGCCGATGACTCACCTCCGCAATGTCCTCATCACGGCGTGCACGGAAGCGTTCGAAGCCCGAGTCCGACATCCACTTGTCCGACTCCGAAACCGTTTCTAATATTCACTGACTCTGCGCACGGGTAGGCGTAATTCATATCAGGCCAACCCGATTTCTCCAACCCCTCGTCTTTCGTCAAGTGTGTACTACGTATGGTGTGATTTTAATTATCAATAATTCCACAGATCTGGCAAGGACCTATACAGTGGAAACACATTGTTCCCGGACGAACCGTTCGGCTCGATTCGCTCTCTGTCGGTTCCTAACAACAACCTAACGGTGGCATGTTTTCCCGTCCAAAGTGCCACCGACCAGTACTTAAACGTGCCTGGAGAATCGTGGTCTCACAAGAGGTAATATGATGACTCTTAGAGAAAGCCTCCGCCAATGGGTGATTTTTCAAACTTTAGCCAGCTTAGGGTTAGGGCCTAACCTAACCTAACTTAAAAGCCTAACCCCCTAACCTAACCAGCCCAGTAATCCCTAAAATCAAAAAATTGAAAATCGCATTAATACACACCAAATGTATACGATTTTCAGTGTGTTCTACACACATTCCTCACGCGAGTTATATTACCACTGACTAACGGTAACAAGGTATTCTCAATGTCACTGTAATATTAAATATTTACATAAATAAGTAAAATAATCGTGATTTATCATCATACACGCGATCATCGCCGCAGAGACTATATAGGTACTATGAATGCAAAAGCTAATTTATTTCACTACATGAATTTTTTCTAATCATAAACAACGTGACGGAAACCGCGTGATATCTCGTTGGTTACAAAGACATATAATTTAAATTTTCCAGTTGTTCAATGCACGTTTATATTACACTTGAACCGTGACCACGAATACCCAGACACGATCGATTAACGAACGCATACCGATACGTTATATTTCGATCCGAGTCGACTCATCAGATTCGATTAATTAATCCAGTGTAATCGTTTGATTGTTATGCAGGTAGTGTGGTTATTAAATAATTACCGTTTAATTGCATATAGATCTTATATTATGAAGTTTTTAGTTTTAATGAGTTAATCGTAAACATGAACTCGGTATATAATTGAAATCACTGTAACTAATCATTGAAAAATTCACTCCTCAAAGAATTTTTTTTCTGGAACGGTAAACAATATATAATTACGGTTTTTTTTTATTGCTATAGATTGAGTTGTCCAAGTCTACCGTCCGCAGGGGAAGAATTTCCACAGTCAACTCATAAACCTTTAACACCACAGGTTGTGAAGGTGTCACGTGAAATTAAATTTGTCATGCCTATGGACAATAAATCATAAGAAATCAAAAACATAAACAGTTTCTGCAAACTTCAGTTGCTATTTCAACGGATAGTGGCTTGTATCTATAATTAAAATGTATAATATATAATATTAAATAACTTGTGATTTTACAGAATTGGGATAAATCTATGTTTAATAGGTAATAATATACTTTATAAATAAGTTTTTTACTTACTGTATACATTCGATGATCAACAATTTTTATGATATCTTTAATTGAAGTTATACCTATTTTAAAGAAAAAATGATTTCTAAATATAGTCAACTCAAAAAGATAATTTCATTTTTATCTAGATAAAAAAAAAGATATTTTCAAAAAATATTATTTTTTGGTCAATATTCATATTCTAATAATATCTATGAAGACTCAATTATAATCATTATTATCAATAGTTACCTAGGTGTTTAATGTTTATTGTAGTAATTTAATGTACCATTAAGCAGTATTTATATATAATGTACAATATTTAATGATAGTTAATCACTAAAATTTTACACAAAAAAAAAAAAAAAAAAAATGAAAATTGCTCTGTACGTATCAGGATGAATACAGAATACATTAAAAATTATTTTAAGTTAACAGTATTGTTTTCCATATAATATTATTTTGATATTTTTCGTTATTCTATAAGTAGTTACGACTTTACGGGATCCAAAAGTGAAGTAATGACTATTCAGCGTGTGAGTTACATGTGTATACTAAAATCAAATACCTACTATATTTAGAACTTCCATGGAAAAATAAGAATAAAAAAGTAAGTTTAAAAATACCAAAAATATTTTCCCGACATGAAAATACAAAAAAATTTCATAGCAAGAAATAATAATTACTTATTAACAATTCACGAATTATGATTATGAATACAAAATCTATATGTATAAAAGAAAGTCAGGTTATTTACAGAATTTATAATTTAAGAACGGCTGGACCGATTTTGATGATCTCTGATTTGTTGGATTCGTCTCCGTACAAGAATAAAAATAACTCTAATCTTGACAAAAATACAGACAATTATCTAGATAACTAAAAATTTTATCTTAGATAAGTAATTAGATAACTTAGCGTTATTTATCTAAATAAGATAAAGGATGACAAAAAATCTATCTAGATAATTTATCTAGATAAGACCCAACACTGCTTATGATGGTCGATTAATATCATTAATTTACATCAAGATTAATAATTTAAAAACTATAACGTTTTTTCTGAATTTAATAGTTGAAGGTCAGTATACTGTTTCATGTTTTCTGTTCAGTATATATCTTATAATAGCAACACCTTAATTTATTATTTTTAATTTCTACATACATATAATTTATTTCTTGGAAATGAATCTATCGATAACTTACCATACTGTTATTTCTCATATAGTTAATAATAAGTGTTCAGTCTTTTACTATTTTTGTAAAGCTTTTCAATAGATTTTATTACTAACACTGATTACAATTAACAAATAAGAAATAAAACAGACTACTATTAGAACAATAGTCTCTTTTATAGTTTATGTAGATATAAAATACATTTTGTTCCAAATAATCTATACTATATAATCAAAATACCTATCTCAATTTGAATTTGGATTTAATTTGTGAACTGATTACAATAAAATTATAAAATGTATTGTTGATTTCATTATACTATACTTGTTGTTACATCCTACAACGAAAAAAAATCTGTTTAGTTAGTTCTATAATGGATACCAATGAAACAATGAATGATGATTAATATCGTCTCTATGGGTTCACCATGGAGGAGGTTAGTGACTTAAACTCAATTGTTTTTAATCTTAACGTGAAAAAGTCATACTTTAAAAATATAATCAAAAAACTTCATGTTTTTATTGAAAATGGTGCTATATTATTACATTTGATCCTTTAAGTTAACGGATTTTTAGATTTTTACAAAATATTTTAAAAATGTTAAAAAACGAACTTTTCTATAAATGCTAATAAAATATGTACTAAATTTCAATTTTAATTACTAATAACCAAAACTGAAATTTAGTACATAATAACTTGTTAGGTATTTTTTTTATCATTTTTGTATCATAAAAATCACATGAATAAAACTTCACTTTATCATAGTTGAAAATTAATAATATCAACTTTTTTTTTTTAATTTAACATTAATTTGGTATACTTGTATATTATTATTTACTATATCGAACAAATTATTTTAAAATTGAATATCATTTGCCTAATTAGGACTAAAATCATTAAATTATAACGTATTTACATTAATTCATAGCAATTGGTATAATATTAAATGATTAAGTTAATTTAATAAGATAGTTTAGATAAATTAAATATCATTGTGCAACTAAGTTATGATAATTTGTTTTAGTAAAACATCAGATTAATAAATAAAATATATCAATGTTATATAAATATCATTATATTCAAGAAAATATTGAATCATGATTTTTGCGGTTACTTTAGCAACAATGTTAATAACATCGGAATGAATATCATAAACCGAATGTCTATGGCTACATACCGTTATACGTACTTCCTTCTAATGCAGCGTTTCCCAAAGTATGTTCTGCGGAACCTTAGGGTTCCGTGGGACAATGCTAAGGGTTCCGCCAGATGTATGTGATTATTGAGAAAATTATTTTATATTATATTTGGAAAAAATATTATTTTAGGATTTAAAAAAAAAAAATTGTAAAATTGTGAAATTGTGTGAAATTGAACTCATTTTAATAAAGAGTAATCATAAAACAAACATAGAACAATATTAACAGTATCATTAAAAACATTTTTTAGAGAATTAGTTGAGATTAGAGTTGAATTGAAATTAAAGACATTAGGATTCCGTGATTATAAAAGTTTGGGAACCGCTGTTCTAGTGCGTAGTTTTAACAAGGTACTACAATATATCTGTTTACATATATGTGTTTTTTTCTCATAACGGTAATTTGTCAATGGTATTAATTTTCAAGTGAACCATATTTTAACAACATGTTTTCTCAAGAATAAGGTACGAGTTAATTAATTTTTAATTTAATAGCAATTTATACATTCACTGATTCTACATTAATTCAATTATTATAAAAACCAAAATGTAATAAACTTCAATAATATTGCGAATTGTATTGGTAGGTTCAAAAAATATAAAATAATACTTAAAATATAACATTGGCGTTTATTTTGAGGGTTGCAATTTTCAAGTGATGCAATGGTAAAGTACTATCTATATGAAAAAATACTGGTAAATTTGATGTTGTTTTGGCTCATAAAATTTAACTAAATTAAAAATTAGGATATTTTATTGTATAATTAACTATAATTCTTATCAATATATAGATGGGCTGATAAGTTATCGTTTGTTCTAATTTCCATTAAATAATATAAATAAAAATAAAATAAGAACTACCATGATTCAAATTATATTTTGGTATTCAGGTATCGCTAATAACATGTAATACGAGAATAACTATAAACAGAAATACGCTTGAATGCATATTATGACCCGTGTTAATACAAACATACAATCAACACTCAGATGGCGGAAAAGAATAAGCGATTATATATTGTAGGTCATAAATTACTGACTAAATATATATTTTCCTCATTTCACAACTTGCACCACAAATGACCATTCATATAAGATTAATAAACTGATATGTTTATACAGATGTTTTCCTTCGCCTAAAATTCACATTCAACATGATGTATGTTTTAAGAAACGTTATAGTCAATTTATTTAAACTACTTTTTTAATAGTTTTTTTTTTACTCGTGTGTGGTCCAGTTGAAATTATTTATGAAATAAACTATTATTTATCATCACTTCGCTGTAGGTGATCAATTCTAACCCTGTGTTTTTGATCGACAGCGAATGAAGAAGATCTAAACAATTCTGGAAGTATTTATATAAACGTACCAATAGAATTACATAAAACATACGACTATATACTTTATATTATTATTATTTGACGTTTACATATTTCGCACATAACTATTTTCATATTGTGCCAATGATATGTCCATCTTTACAATTTGTCTCTGTGGTCATTGAAATTGTTATTGATTTTATTTTAATTAAGGCGTATATCTATGAATTATTTATATGCATACCTAAAATAAGCATGCATTTGCAAAAAGATATAATCTATAATGATTATTTTATAAATATTTAATGGGTTTTAAACATAACATTTCAGTGTATATTTATACAATTATTATTTATTCTTATTGAAATTAATTTTTATACCTTGGTAACTATAATATTTATATGTTATAACAATTTAATTATCTAGTTATTTTTGTGTTGCATCAAAAAAATTACATATTTTTTTAATCTGGAAAAAAATTAATTTAATTGAAAAAATATTTTCTGATTAAAATGTTGTTCTAAAACAATTAATTCTTACAAATATTATATGTATTAATCTCAGACTTATTGATTAGTTGTGAGATTTATGTCAAAAACAATGAATATTATTATAAAAAATGGAATTAAAGTTTAAAACATTATTTTTAAACAGATTTGTCGAGAAAATTTAATTAGAACAAATAGTATTGTGTATTTATTATTAATAATTGGGTTAGAATAATAAACCGTTTGATTAAAACATATTGACATACATTATTTGCACATACATATTTATAATACATAATATTATTTATAATATTGTAAATATAATAGTTCCAGATACTATTAACTATAGAGCAGTACTTCCCAAACTTTTTCGACTCCAGGCGCCCTTTTTGATCTAAGGTTTTTTCAGGGCGCCCTTCCCTAAGTCATAGCATGATTAATCATAAAGAAAATGTTAGACCCGATAGTATTTCATGACGGCGCGGCGCCCCTATACAGACATCACAGCGCATTAGGGCGCCGTGGCGCACACTTAGGGAACCTATGCTATAGAGGATAAGAAAAAAACTATGTATTTAAATAATATTTAATATATTCATATACATATATATTTTTAAACATTTGTTCTATAGTTTTATATTTACACGTAACATTTAATGGCATAACGGCTTATACTTTTAATCGGCCAACATTCAGTTGTGCCACAAACGATTCACACGATGGCTAATGTGTTCTCATGCATCCCAGGGAAACCTAATTGAGCTTCTTGCATTATTCTCAATCTCGGTCCCATAGGTATTCCGAGCTTATGCATCCTCTCCTCGCTCATATACGGTAATTCCACTAAACCGATTTTTTCTTTTTCAAATGCTGACGCGTATTTCTATAAAGATAGAACCATATTATTTACATAATTATAGTTCTGATTAATAACAGTTTTTAAACGAACTGTTCATGTAATTAATAAATCATGAATTCGACTTACAATATTTATATTTTAAATTAACTTAATGAAATACAATTTTTAAAAACAAATTTACATTACCTCATAACCTAATTTCTTAAGAAACAGTCTTAAAAGCGGTGGCTCGTCACCAAAGAATTTAGTTAATTTCTTCACTTTAGTCGGACTTGAGTTAGTTTGTTCCGGACAAAGAGATTGAAGAACTCGAGGAACTGAATGTGACCGTATAGACAACATATTTGTCTGTGTTCTTAATGCAGAAAGTTCATTTCGAATTACTTCCATCTCTTGAATCATGAGATGTTGAGTTCTCATTTCCGACGAAAGATGTGCGACACTTCTCGCAAGGGTGACCACATGGGATTCCAAACGTTGGAAACGTTTATTAATACCCTGTAGAAAAAATAAATTGTTGTATTTATTAATTTATATGATAATACAATTTTTTATGCATTTTTCATATTATTTTATTTGTAGAAGACCTTAAAACACATTAATATATAACATATAAAATAATATGTATCATCAGTAGAGAAATTTTTCTTTCATATAGGTTAGATTCAATAAGGTTGAATACTTATTTTCAATTAAAAATTATCATATTATAAACATTATTTTTTTCTATAGTTATCACTAAAATTTACTTTAATGTCCTTAACGGATTTTTTTCGATCATCCGTTGACCTTCGGTGTCTCTCTCGATAAGGTCTACTGCTAACTGACGATGGAATTGAAGACATACTACCATACATTCGACGCCGGTGAAGTCTAGGGTCTGACGGCTGATACCTTGGACCACCGCTAGATTTTCGAACACCAAGTAATTTGAGTACCTGTTGACGTAGTTTATAATTTAAATTATAAATAGCATAAATAATAAATATTAATAACAAACCTCCGAATACATAGTTTCTAATCCTTCTAACTGTTTCCTTATTGTGCGTACATCACTATTTACAGTTTCATCATCACTACTAGCTTCTTCATCAAACATTGAGTCCATATCACCAACGCTACTTGCTAAAGTGATTATATTAAAATAATTCATTTTTGTTAAATTTTTTTTTATCAATATTAAGTTACTTACATTGCAATATTCTTTTCAAATCTTGTCTTTTAATACTACCCGCTTGTCTGTGTGATTTTTCCTTTGGGGCTCGATTCGACCACGGCGTACGTTGGTTTGATGCTTGACCTCTAGATTTTACTGAATATTCACTTCTACTGTCAAATGATACCGAATAATAAGTAAATTGAAAATTAAATACCAAAATAAAAATGTAATATGTCTTACTGTTTGTGCACGGGTGTTTGCATCTCATCGGATGATCCATCAGGAGACAATGGAGGTAAAGGCGGAGTTACAGATGATACACTGTCACTGAGTGTTGATGGAACACTAACCTTAGATGGATCAAGAATTTGTCTTAATTCAGTATCAACATAATCCATCCATTCACTTTGTCCTTTTTTTCCTGTAAAATATTTGCTTTGTAATTACCAATTTATGAATTTCCGAGATTAAAACTTAAATGTGTATTCTTCCTCATTAATTAATTTATAGAAATCATTAATTCAAAAATTTGAAATTAAAAAAAAATCAAACAGAAATATATATTAAATAAAATCATCTACTTTATTACCTTGATTTGTCTGTATTTCCGATGATGATTCAGGGCTGGTTGTAGAATTTTGAGCTTTACCGCTACTATAAACAGTACTACCACGTCCAGAATCAGATTGACCTCCACTTCCCAATCTTCCATCCGAGCTTGCTCCACTTATTGGACCACTTGTAGCTCTCTGCTCATCCAGTTTATCGACATCATCCAAAGAACTCGGTTGAGATTTAAAATCATCACGTTTACAAATTTTTCGGCCTAGGTATCTATCACTCGCATATTGTACATTACTTTGGTTATTATTTTCAACAAGATTATTATTTGATTTTGATCTCGGAAAAGGCACTTGTGTATCTTGGTCTTTAACTGGCAGAGGTGTCTTGAAACAATCTTGTGTTTTTGTAGGAGCTGGAATTTTTTTTTTAACATACAAAGGACTCTGGTTCATTTGTCCATAATTAGACTGGACTCTGACCTCATAATTAGTTCTATGCACATCATTATGATTTAGAGTATCTGGTTTTCTCATATCAATAACTCTGTTAGTTTGTATTGTATGAGGCCGATCATACGTTCTGGAAGGCCCAGGATTTGTTCTACATTGTTCCGGCGTTTGATATATATTTTGATTGGGTACGCTAATGGCTAAATTTTGCATTTGATTATTTACTGCTAAATACACTCCATGTTGAATCAATTGGCTGTGTGGACTCAATGCTGGATCATCTAATTTCACTGGAGTTGGAATTGGAATTTCCGCGTTATTTAAATTTGTTTCTGTTACTTGGTCATTTTTAGACTTTGAAAATCTAGTTGTTATCATATCTTTAATACGAGACGAAAATTTTTTAGAGTTATTTGGATCTTCAGGTGTGGAATGTAATGGCCCAGCTCCATACGCATCAGTACGTCTATGAAAAAATTTAATAATATCATTTTTTAAAAAATAATGATAATTAATAATTAATATTGTTTTAAAATGTAATTATTACTGTGAATATCCGTTAGAGTCGTCTCTAAATATTGGAGATAATTCCGTAGGAGGATCCAAAGATTTTATGGGTTCAGCCTACAAAAAGCAGAGTTTCAAATTATTAATCAACAAATATACATAAATTGTATTTTGTTTACTTACCTTGTAAAGGTATTGATGATTTATATTATCCTTTGTTATAACATAATGATTCGATGAATTAAACTGATAATTATTTTGAGGAACATTGTTCTAAAATAAATATTACTATTTATTTTATTAAGTCATTATAATATATTTAATATTAATTATAGTAAACTTACGGCATTTGATGATTGTTCTGACCATGCGATTTGCACATTAGGTGTGTCTGGTGCAACACTCTTTGGTCTTTTTTTATACTCATTTAAAATAGGTATTTTTAAATTCTTGTCAACATTGCTAAGAATTACTTCCCTTTCAATCTGAAAAATATATCCATTTTTAATTTCCAACTTGAGATTTAATAATGCACCATAGATTTTCTTATAACTAAACAAGATTATTTTTTCCTAAGATGAATGACACCAGCTTTAATAACCTTTATATTTATAATTGGACGTTTTTTTCTTTAAGGAATTCTAACGTCATTTTATGCGTCAAGATTGTAAAACTTATTAGCGTTTAACTAAATTTGTATTACATTATTTTTATTTTTTACATATTCTCGGAAATATCTTTGCACAATAAATAAATACCGCACAAGTCCAACAATTCTGATATCATTAAATTCCTAAAATAGTAAAATGTATTTAAAAATTACCCCTCCCGTGCATAATGTTTACAAAAATTTTAAATTCGCATTTATCAATATACGAGTAGTTTATCGTAGTCATGTTATCGTATTCATATCTTATTCTTACCAATCATAAGCAATGATACTGCACGTGTATACCTTAAATAAGGTACAATTATGTATAAGGTTTACGATCGCGCGGGAACTTTCCCCAAACTGTACCTGGGAACGATTCCCACGCACCATGCCTGTGTTCCCATGATAACAAAAAGAAACGACTATACCTACATTTAAAAGAAGAAAAAATATTTAAATATAGTTTGACTCACCGGAAATTTACTGGAATGGGTGTGTATCTGATTGCTGGTCCCGGGCAACGGTGTGGATTCATTGTACAACGGGTACGGAGGCATTCTGTATGGTGGTGGACCAGTTGGCGTTTGCTGGTAGTTCTGTGGACTTTTCACCGGCTTTGGTGGAGGTACCGGCTTGGTCAGTCCTACAACCCCTGCAAACGATGAATTTTCATTTTAAAATACACGACCGTACGTATTAGCATTAGCATAATTAAATATGATATACAAGGCGGATATGGCAATGTTTCCAGCGAGGGATCTGAAAGAGATTTTCTATCCCGGCTGAGTCGTTTTACTTGTCGGACGGTAGTTCTGCTCGGCCCGGGCCGAGCAGTAGACGAATTGGCGCAAGTACACATTGGCCAGCAGACATGCGTGCGGATCGACTAGTAGGTGCATAATGTGTATCATATATGAAATCTTATGTCACAGACCACAGATTCTAATGCAACGGAGTAAGTGGCCCGTGCCTTATGTACAAATTTAATAGTATATATAGTGTTTTGTTATCACTGTTGCGAGACCGATTTAATTATGCATATCCGTTAAGAAATGTTTAAATGAATCTGCAAAACTATAAAATACTATTTTTCATAATCCCTTAGATACTAGCCTCAGTACTGTTGCATCATAATTATTATTAAAAAAAAAAAATGTTGTTTTTGATTATATCCGATATAATAGATACTAAAAGAATGATGCTTAATAGAAAAACTATTATCCTCGATTGCGACTGCACACATGGCGATTTAGATTCCGTATACTATGACAGCTATTAATTAATTCAGTCTTGAAAAATACACCTGCATTATCGTTTAAAAAAAAAACTGATATTTATTTATTCTCGTTCCGATGTATAAAACCTTTGGTATTATTTATCTTAATGATTTATAAAGGTTTAGTTCAAATCACATTAGACAAATAAGGTTAATAAACAAATCTCAAACAGTCAAACACGTATGTGAATGAAACGATGCATAACGGGTTTGTCAGAAAGAATGTAAGGATTTTTAACGGAAGTTCATTAGTTCCACACGGTACTGTAGGAACTCACGCAACCAGAAATCCGGAGAAGGGTAGAACTTTCTTGTTCAAAACATGCACACCTGTTAAATTTTGCGTGCTTATAATACTATTTAAATACAATTTTGAACGTTAACTGTCATTCTATTTCAATTTAATGTAATGGATCTCATATTATTATATTCGATTTTTTATTTATCAAATGAAAAATTTAAAATTCCATTTTCATGAAATCGACATATTATAAATTATATTTCACTTCATAACGATTGACAAGAATAACCGATGAATGGTGTTAACATAACATGCCACAAACGTATCATTAAAACGGTTTTATACAAACATACGTCTCGATCACGTACAACCCAAAGTATACACTGCATACAATAAATTAGATATGCTTCATTGATCAAAAGAATACGTAAGTATTAAAATACGATACATATTTTTTTCTTTATGATGATCACGCTGATCCTATTCCATTTTACTTTGATCATTACATCGGTATTTTAATATTTTAATTTCGTGTTTCTAAAAGCAGTAGAAACTTTTAAATTAGTGACGTTACAAAGAGAAAAATTAACGTTAAAAATTAACAGTACATACACATATTTTTTAAAATAAAACATAGACATTCAAAAACTGGCTAAAAAAATTAATGGAATTTTTAATATCTAAATTTTATCATATTTTTTAAAATTCACCGCAATAAAACCACCTGTCATCGTATATAGCTAGTGTTTCAAGAACCGACACCATGTTTCAAACGATGACGACGAAGTTAGGGTGATTACGGATTCTCAACGGCTTGAGAAAAACCACCAGACGTCTAATTGTCTATTGTACACGTAACCCCTCAACTTCCGGAACGATGTATATTATAAAAAACAATAAAAAAAAAATGATAAAAAACATATAATTCGAGTTACAGGTGTGCCAACCGTCTGGTCAGCCACCTGCAGTAGTATATTATATGTTTGATCAAAACATATTTAACTGTTATTTAACGATTATATATATGTATATATATATTTATTTATATGCACATATTATAAATAATGATGTCCACTACGAAAAGAAGAATAAGGTGTGGAAGCAGAGTAGGAATTGGTTATTCTATAGTAGTTTCAAGGTGAGCAAATACCTTAGCGGCCACCACTGCTGTCTCTCTTGTTCAATTTGCCCGAGGCGTTTCTTCCTCACTACTATTATTTTTTTATTTTCAAGTTCTATACATACACACACCGCATACACACAAATACGTTTATATTGTAGTTTGATTACACACGTCCAATATGATAAATCGCATTGTAAGCTTGTCGAGAAGTGAAATTCGTCAAAACATATATTACGCCCATCGAGCACCTTTCTCTCATGTACTGTATGGGAGCAGATCGATTTAAAAATATAAATTACTGAAAGCATAAAATATGATCTAAAACACTGTTTAACTATTAATTTATTGACAGTAACTTACAATAATTAAAATATGTGATATGAGGTCAGTTTTATAAAAAAAAAAATAGAGTATATGCATTCCGCATAGCTTTTTCAGCAAAGTTACTAAAAATTTTGTAGTATTCCTGAAGTTATTTTAGATTTCTTGACTTTCTATCAGTTAATTTATCATCACCGCAAAAATAAATTCTTTACTTGTTGTATAAGTATTATAAATATAAATTTCATTATGCAATCAACTATAGAAATCTAAGCTTACTTCTCCTTGGGTTAATTAACTTGTATTTACATAAACAATTTTTATATTTCAAAATATTTATGTACAAATATCTCTCATGAAAACTAGAAAAAAAATACATAAAAACTTACATGTTCGGTTGCATCGTGACGGTTTAAATAATTATAGCTTTAGTCATTACTAAGGGATAATTTAAAACTACTTTATATTTATCTTTTATTGAATAGAAACATTTTTAACATGATTATTGATTTGAAAATAAAAATTTGAAATAATTTTTATTCTAAGCAAAATTAAAAATTTAATTTCATACTAACGCGTCAAATAAGTTTTATTATACAAAAATAAATTGCAAAATATTTGATTTTAAAACATATAAGTTTTTATATTTTATGTATCACCTGTACTAAATTTATTACACCACAGTATGTATTACGGAACAATACAGTATTTTTTAAGCCATTAGACATGATACTATAGTTATAATAATTAAATATGACAATTGTGCAAGAAGATTTAAACCATATTTTATAACATCATAAAAAATGTTATTGCTATGAGTAGATACATTGGTAAAAAACCAACACTTTTTACTTGATTATTTTAGTTATTAAATTGCTAAGTCCTACTTTTATACTAAAATTTAAAGTAAACTGTTGAGTAATTTTAGATTTTATTTATTAGATATTTCAAGTAAAACCCATTAAGTATTATTATTTGATCGTAAGTTGCTAAGTGAATACTTATTATTATTATAACAGGTATATGTGGAATTTATAATAATTTAAATAAATTAAATTAGTTACCTATATTATATTAAACTAATTACAAGCGTTCAATAGGTCTTCGATCACATTAAATTACATATTAAACAATAATTTTGAACTGTATACCAGGGTTATTATTAACATTCTCTTTTTTTATTATAATCGATGGTCACGCAACTTTTAAAATGTTTTTTTTTCTTTTCAAAAATGTTAATTGCCGGTCTAGGGAGGTACAGTATCTGTGTAGAGACTCTCATCGTGCCAGTTGTCTAATAGCTATAATTACAATACTGAAGAAAACTTGTTCATTTGTTGAGGCTTCGAAATTGTGCAACAGTTTATACTACACGATGGAATTAAAACTTCGAAACCGAGAACAATAACATGTTATGGGAATGCAATTAAAAATTGTTAGAATTTCGAAAGCTAGTTGTGAAGGCGTTTTACTTTTTTGGGTATGAACAAGGGAATGTTTCTATGGACATAGATTTTTCAGATTAACTGTTTCGTTATTATACAAAAAAAAAAAAAAATGAAAAGTGAAAGTGGTGTTATTTGGTGTTATCGTATATAGTATGTGGGTGTACTAACTACTGAGTCATTATTATTAATTTTATTTACAAATTAGTAAAACCGTATACTTTTTAAAGTTGAGCCAAAATACCTTTATTAAAAAGTAGTTTATAATTTGGCATTTTTTTTTATTAATTTTAAAGAAAATGTATACACACAATTTGTACAATAAGTCAATGGAATTGATAAGGGATTTTGATTCATAACATGAATATTATGATTGAGGAAGTTACCCATTGATAATATTTTACATAATTTTTAGATTTGGTGGTCTAGCTGTAAGAGTGATTATATATTTATTTTTTTTTTTTTTTAAGTAAGTCACGATTTAAATTTCTTTTTAGTTCATGAGGTTGTTCGTCAGGGATATGATTGATGGACATGATTTATATCAGGGGTTTGTAATCGATACAAGTTTCATATGAAAACGTTTATAATGCAGTCTTGCAAGTTCATAAACGATTTTTATTTGTAGATCGTTATATATCTTAGTTTGTTGTATACTTAGAGGCTCCAGTAATAATACGAAAAGTTTTTTTGGAAAAACTGAATAGGACGAATATTTAAGGATTTGGTTGGGCCCCAGATTTGTATACCATAAGGTTAGAAGTCAAATTATGTTTTTGTACAGAATAATTTTTAATTTTACTTGTAGTTTTCCTTTACAGAGAGGTTGGAAAATATGAAGTCTAATATTAGCCATTTTTATTTTATTTTCGTATATGGTTTTGTACTTGGCATTATAAAATAAACATTTTATTCAAATAAATTTATTAAATACATATTATACATATAGAATAAATAAGTATGTTGATCATATAATTTTATATATCCTATATAATATGTAAATATATCAAAAATAATATAGTAAAATAATTTTATATAAACTTAATTTGAGTACGATTGTTCACTATAAAATAGATAAATACATCGTAAATATATAACCCATTGTCAGATCATGGTTTTCATCAAATATATCATATATATGAAAATAAAATATTTCAAATGGGCTAAATTCTTCAATAAAATCTCAACCTGGAAGGATAAACTGATAAAACTTGTAACTCGTAGAAAAGTTAAATTTTTTCAAATAATAAAGATTTCATACATTTTTTTAAGTAAAATAATTGGTATTATTTGATAAAACATTTAAATTATAAATTATTTTAATTATATTCCAACTAAAAATTTTAAAATATTTTTAATATCCTACTTTGTTCATAAGTCTATTTGAATAGGTACAGAAAACTACAATAATTTGAGCTTCGCATAAAACCTATTATTTATCAAGTGTAATAAGATATAGTGGATTTATTATATATTATATATTGAATAGTATATGCTATTACTATATGTTACAAAACATTTCAAATATATAAATAATATTCTTAAATAAGTACAATAAACAAGTTCTATTATTCGATTTAATCTTTATTATTATTTTATAATTATATTGATATTTTTCTTTAAATAAAGCTTATACAAATTAATTTTTATCTTAAAAATATAAAACTAATATGAATTTAAATAAAATGTTTTATTTAAGAGTAATTAAATAATAAATTAACTCTTAACAATTAATCAACAGCATTTTTTAGTTAGTACTTACTACTACACACATCGTTATTTTCAAACTTTTCAATATATTCATAAATAATATCAAAACCATACCTTTCTAACAATATATATATATATATATATATATATACCTTTTAATAGCGGAATAAGGTAACAAATGGTTTTAAGTTTAAGTCACGCTACGAAAAAAATTACGTTTCTTACACTATAACACTTGTAAAAATGACACACTAAATAAAGAAAAGGGTTTGCTTCTATTGTACACGAAATATCATGCACTGTGGGGATTTTGTAAACCCTGAACATACGTGGAGAGTATTTCAAAGATTTATGGTGTGAAGAATCATAAAAACATGTTCTACGCTTTAAGACTGTTCAATATTCATTGCTAACGAATGTAGAAACGGTCAAGAATATTAAATAAGAACGTTTGATGACTCTTGGCATTGGTCACTAACAAAAGAGTATTGTTTGAAAATAATGAGTTAAAAATTGAATATCTGAATTTTAAACTCCCAAACATTGTAAATAAAACAATAATAGCGGTAAAATGTTTATCATGCGACTGATACGTCTTACATATTAAATCGTATGCGATTTAAAATATGTTATAAAATGTAAATTTTATATAATACGATGATAAAAACATGTAAAAAAAAGTTAACCAACTATATTATTGAGATAGTAATAAAAATAAGTTGCACAATGAACTATTACCCAGAATACTGGTTTATCAGTAATTTGCGACCAAATCACGTAGGTATCTACAGTTTTTTTTTTTTATGTGCAATGGAATTCCATATAATATTTAACGAGAACTATATCTGGAAATATAACTAGCTCAGTATAACAAAAATCTACAAGCTTATTTCATTCGCAGAGACTCACACAATACACAAAATAAGTTTACTATACGAGTACAGTTATTGTTATATTGAAATATATCAAAATAACATAATTATTGACTGCGTGATATGCACTGTAATTGGTAAATGAAAATTATAAATCACTCTGATGCTTATAATAGAATAATGTATAATACAATTAAAGTAATATATCTGTATAAAATATCATTCGTCTGTATGAAGATACCTACACACCGATTAGGTATAACATTTTTATACCGACCGCCAGGAATTTATTATCAAATTAATATAAGTAAATTCCTAAATGAGTATGACTAACCTTTATCTGTGTGGCTACCCTCCAGTTTTGGAATGGTTAATAATCCAATTCAAGAACATAACAACACTGCACAAAACTTAAAATACTGTGTTCGATGAAATAATAAATCGTAATTACTCGAAATGCGATTTGTTCAATATATTCTATTGGTCTTAATAATACTGATTATAATTCGTATAACTGCCGTGACGGTTAAAAATGAAACGGAAAATAATCACGAAAGTTCGTTGAACGGGAAAAATAATAATAGTTAAAAGTGTAACAATTCTGTACGGGCGCGCCGAAACCCGATGAACCGAACTGATATCCACCTGTTACACACGACGGAACAACATATTGTAACAGAGGCCGCGTTTCCACTATCCTTGCCGGCAACGACCGTAAAGATACTGACACCATGGAATCGGCTGGCGTGGGGGGACGAACTACTATATTGTACCTACACATATATACACATTACATACTGCTATGACGGTATAATATACAATATATAGTTGTACGTACAACCGTTTTACCTGTTGACTGGCACACAGACACAGGTGTCAGACAATACGTATAAATAACGACAACCCTGATCAACGGTTTCGTGTACACCCCTTTTTTTTTTTTAATACGCACAACCCGTGGTCATGGGAGAGCGACTAAATTTACAATTGTAATATAATTTCCAACATTAGATTTCATACAGTTAATTCACTTAATTAATTAAATTTTTTAACGGTCAAATACTCAAATTGTCTTATCACGTCATAATATAAATACGTTTTAACAATATTCGACGTAAAAAACATCTCGTGCATGTTGAAACGTTTATCGATTTATCTATAATATACAAGTATATATACGCTAATAACGTTGGGTCTGAGAATCGGAGACTATAAACACGATAATTAGCATTCCTCGTGTTCAACAATATCAGTTTTAATCAAATATTTTTTAATAAATTGCAATATTTCGAATGGATTGATATTGTAATAGATGAATTTCAACTTCTAAACCACATTATAAAGATATACTTATTTATGCATTAAACTATACAGTCTATACCGATTACCTGTAATAGTAGATACTAAAACTAATTAACTCATTCTTTGCCAATACCATTTACTTATAGTAGAGTCAACTACAAGGATTGAGCGAGTTTTTCAAATTATGATGTATAGTAAAAAAAGCTTCAAGTATGTTATTCGGCCTCATTATTTCAATAAGTATTGTAATTGTAATTTTCAATGTTGGACGCATTAAGACCAAAAATAAAATGTCTGTTCGCTCTATGAATCATCCACATGCTACTAATAAAATATAATTAAACTCAATAGAAAAAAATAAATATAACGTTGAAGTACTACCTATTAAGCAACAGATAAGCATCATCTTAAAATATTATATTTGGTTTATTTGTATTTATTATTTTGAATGATAGCTATAAAAAATTCTGTACAAAAGATGTAAAAATTATTTTTATATAGAAAGGTTGTTTTTGTAGGCCGTAGAACAAATCTAGAAATATTGATCTATTATTTGCATAAAAAAATTATTTTTCTACGTGAAATTGTACAGTAATTATTTCTTATGAAAGAATAAATAATCAACGTATAATATATAATAATATTATATATTATACATATATATATATATATATATATTATATATTATAACATATTATGTTTGTCGCACTCACAAATAAAAGCCTTTAATTTTTATCCAATATTTAATATTTATAATAAAATTTAACCTATGTCGGCATTCCTGAAAATAAACATGCCGATTTTTTCGCCTTTCTACCAAAAAATTCATATTCGTTTTAATTTCCATCAATCTAAATGGTCCTCTCTTCTCCCAAACTATGCCACCTGGCATATAAATAGAATTCTCAATATTCACCTCCACCCTTAGTTTGGTGGTTTAGACATCCTTGGGCACCAATTGTCTTTTTCGCTTATTTCAGATTCGGTCACAGTCTAATTTCCTACCACTCCTCCTGTCTACCTCTTCTCCTCTTTATACCCTTCAACATAAAGAAGCTACTTGTGATATAAATCATCTCTAATTTAATTTCCCTTCTATACATTCTAATATACTATGTCTTTTCTTTTCACTTTTTACAGCTTTAGGTTACCTTTGTTCAGATCTTCTCCTAAATTCACTCACCTAAAGTCACCCTCCTGTTCACCCATTATTACTAACGCATACATTAAATTCATTATCAATGACGGCTTTCTAATTTAGACTTATGTTTATGATAATAACGACTAATTGTATAGATGTAATGTTATTATCAAAAGCAACAAAAATTAAAAATAAAAAATTAAAATTTAAAAATACTATATAAATAATGATAAAAGTTTTAATAATTAATAAATTATTTTATTTGTATATTGATTGATATTTTTAAACTTGTGTATTTTTGATTATACTCCAATGAATACTAATTTTAAACACCATTTATCAACATTGAAAATATAAATAATAATAAATTAGGTAAGTATTAAAATACTTTATGTACTATACGTGTAGTGACACATATAACTTTAAAAGTGAAAAAGATAATTTCACACTTCAATGAAAATATTCTAATCTGTTGAACCGTTTAAGGAAATAATAGTATGTATAAAAGATAGCTATGGCTAATGAACAGTAACGTATCCATTTCGATAATACTAGACGTTTTCTATTTCTCTTAAAAATATTACACATATATATATATATACATTAATGTGTGTAAAAAAAAAATATTATGCTTGGATGACAACAATAATATTAAAGAGAGGATTAGATTAAATGGAAAATCAAAACAGGAAGAAAGTGATAGAATTCACCGGAACAAATACATGTGCAGAACTTAAAAGAACTTTAAACCACAGGGATAGATAGAAGAAAACAAAATTCGTTTAATCTATTTCTATGATTGTTTAATGATAAATATGATACATATTATGTATAAATAATACAGTTATAGATAGTTACTGTATAACAGGTTTTAATATTAAGCACATGTGCAGAATGGGCATTGATTTTATAAATAATAAAAATCGCAAATGAAAACAGTAACAATTATAAACAATGTACCACACATAATTCGTTTTTTAAAATAACTAACAACATATTGTTGACTAATGATTATTCAAAATAGTCTATTCTAACTTTTAAGTATTACTTCTTCAGGTGTACATGCCAAGTAAACTTTAGCTCACTTGCGGAACGGAAAAATGGTTATTAGGTAGTCTTAGTCACATAATGGAGTAGATTAATTTTCTTTATCGATTTAATTTGAGCATGAGCTTCCTGAAATATCTTGATCACTAAAAAAATCAAAAAGATTATAATACGAGTATGATAATTTGGTATTATTATTATTCAGTGACATTTATAGTTTAGAAATCTTGTTGCAATATATTATTTTTATTATTAATTATCATAACTGTATTCATCAATAAAATATAATATGATATTTTTATACTGGCACACCATTACCACCGAACTTATAAGCAATATAATAATGACAAGTTATGAAAATTATTTATAGTGATGATTTAATTAAATACTTTAATTTAATAAACCCAATACATAGGTCCGTAAAAATAAAATATGTTTCAAGTGATACTGATTAATTTCAAGTAGGTAGTTTTTATTTTGAATTTTTTTGCGTTTTATAACAGATTTAAATTTATATGGATTTTTAAGGCATATATTACTGTTTTTAGAGCATTTTTCAGCATTTATCTATAAATTCTTAAATACTAGGGTATTTGATTATGCGTTTCGGAATTTGTTCACTCAAAATTTGTGCGTTTAGTATGTAATTAACTAAATCAATAAACTAATATATACGAGCATATGGATTCAATGTACCTATTTTATCAAAAATAGAACACAATTAATAAAGTCGAAAGACATTTTTCTATTTATAAGAGTTAAACGACGATCATAACAGCAAGTTATGAAATAAATTAAATTTAAGTTAAGTTAAATAAAATGTAAATATTAAACAAATAAGTAGGTAGGTAGGTACCTATTTTGTTATTATTATATTAAATATCAGTTTAAATATTAAATCAGTTGATACCCCTGACCCTTCCTGTGTGCGCCACTGCATATAACAAATATATTATTGGCTATTTAATTTTTAATAAATTTTACATCATTTTTCAATTTTCAAACTTATTATACTCGTCAAAAAATTGTTAGTATGGAAAAATATTTCAACCTATGCAAAAAAAGAGATTCTAAATATTCCAAAACTATTTATACATTTTTCATGCGGCAACTAAAAATACCGATATTATTGTCAGACGTAACGGTTTTCATTTACAAACAATATTAAACAAATCGTACTTGAAATTTCGGGAGTATCCGAATTGGTTCCCATTTGAAAAGGTATTTTATTAGGTATAGTCGAATTGGTTCCCATTTGTGTACAGGTAAAATATTGACAGTTTTAATTTTCAACACAATTTACCTACAATATAAAAAATTAAAATTCAGCGGGCCAGTGCATAGAGAAAAAAAACAAAATTTAAAAGCTATATGTATGACATATAGATACAATTATTATATCGATAAGATTAACTATAGAAATATAATACACTATAGATTACTAGAGACTAGCAATAACTATCAATAACGATTAAAACCCTAAACAGCATTCAGACACTATATTTTATTAAATTTCGAAGTAATTATTAAAGGAAACTTACCAGTAAACAGGAAAGAAGTAACAAATATTTGGAAAATTTTATGACTGACTACATTAATAAAAAGATTACAAGAATTAAATATTTAAAAAAAGTTAGCTTCAAATTTACAAATCAATTGTTTAAATTGTATTTATTATATTTTATTATTTGTATTTAAAGTGATGACAAGTTGACTTCCAAATCAACGACTTAAGATTAGAGATATTTTATCATTTCTTTTTTTAACACACATTAATGTACATTTTTAACCAAGCCTACCTCAAAGTTGACAGTCCTAAGCCTGTAAAATTGAGAAGGAAAATGTGCGTAATTAAACGGAAATCAATTCGGCATGTGGGTTTGGAGCTCGGCAACCAATTCGGTACCAGCCGAAATTTCACTTAAATAAAATTAAAATTAAATAATATACTTTATAAATTCATCGTTTACATTTAGAATAAGAATTTATCGATGTGCTCACTAGGTTTTCGATTTTGAAATCAGCCCCTATTTACATTTGTAATAATTCATTGGATTATTTCTCAAAAATATAATACAAAAAAAAACAAATTCCCGGTCTTTTTCAATTTAACCTCAAATATTACTGTAAACAATATGGTGGTCAATTTTGTGGCACTTAGTGATCAAATTGTATAATATAAACATATTAATACCGCTTTCAATTAAAATATCATAATTAAATTAAATTATTTGTATTAAAATATATAAAATAATTTTATGAAATCGAATTACGTAAATAATTTAACTGGATTTTTTTCCTGCACGCCATTCACGGTATTTGTGATAACGTTTATCGAACAAGAGAAACGGCTTTTCTAGTGAGTTTATGTGATTAATTAATTTTTTTTTTCAAAACCAGAAATAAAAGCACATCTCCTCGTCCGGTGTTTTATTTTTAGTTTTGTATTAAAACGTGTAAACTTTCATTATTACTCTACGAGTAAATAGGTAAGATTCTAGTTTTCTTTATTATTATAATTTTTACTAACACTTCACACGCGCTTGTCAAGGACATTCGCCAACATGAGTGACGATGAAGTTGTTCAAATAACCAACCTTTTGGAGCGCACGATTTCTAATGACAAAGAAGAATTAAATCAAATACAAAAATTCTTGGAACATGCGGCGCAAACAAATCTTCCTGGTTTTCTTAAAACTCTATCAAATGTCTTACTTTATTCTGTCAACAATCCGGTGGCACGCATTGCTGCTGGCCTTCAAATCAAAAATCATATTACATCGAAAGATGAAGCAGTTAAGGTTCAAATGAAGCAACGGTGGTTATCTTTTTCTGAACAAGATCGTTTATTCATCAAAGAAAACATATTCAAGGCCCTAGGTACAGAAAGTCGGCCTAGTTCTGCTGCTCAATGTGTTGCTAATGTAGCTATTATTGAGTTACCATTGAATCTTTGGCCTGGTCTTATTGCATTATTAGCAACAAATGTCACTGATCCTAATTCTTCAGATGTTCTTAGAGAGGCTTCCTTAGAAACAATAGGTTATATATGTGCTGAAACTGATCGTGATGTATTAAAAGCTGAGTCTAATACAGTTCTTACAGCCATTGTTCATGGTATGACCCAACCGAATAGTCATGTTTGCTTGGCTGCTACAACTGCTCTTTATAATTCATTAGAATTTACCAAAGGGAATTTTGAAAAGAAAAACGAACGTGATTACATCATGGAAGTCGTTTGTAAAGCTACTCAGTCTACGGACACTCAAATTAAAGTCGCTGCACTTCAATGTCTTGTTAAAATTGTCTCTCTTTATTATGAACACATGGAACTATATATGACAACACTATTTCCAATTACTTTACATGCTATTAAATCAGAAATGGACGAAGAAGCACTACAGGGTATTGAATTTTGGTCTAGTATTGCTGAAGAAGAGGCTGAAATAGTGTATGAGAGACAATGTCAAGAACAAACTAATGAAAAAAAACTTATGTTGTATGCTGAAGGAGCATTAGAATTTATAATACCAGTTCTCATGGAAAAGCTCACTAAACAAGAAGAAGGCGACGATGATGATGACTGGAATCCATGTAAATCAGCTGGTGTCTGTATAATGTTGCTAGCCACTTGTTGTCAGAGCAATATTGTACAACATGTAATTCCATTCATAAATGCTAATATCAGCAATCCAGATTGGCGTTATAGAGATGCTTCAGTAATGACGCTTGGATCTATTCTTGGTGGTCTTGACCCAAATGCATTAAAATCCTTATTAGAACCTAATATTCCAGTTCTTATACATTTAATGTATGATTCTAGTGTTGCGGTTCAAGATACATCTGCTTGGACATTTGGTCGTATATTTGAATTTGTACCAGATTTAATCATCAATTCTCCTTGTTTAAGTGATGTACTTGGCGTATTCATTAAAGGTCTTAAATCTGAACCTCGTGTTGCTACAAATATCTGCTGGGCTTTCAGCAGTCTTGCCCAAGCTACTGGAGAAGATATGAATGTTTTAACTCCATATTTTGATTACATTGTTCAAGGCCTACTTGAAACTACAGAGAGAGGTGATGGAATGAGATCAAATTTAAGGTCTGCTGCATATGAAGCACTGATGGATATGATCAAGTGTTCACCAGCTGATTGTTATGAAACAGTTAAAAGTACTACGTTAATTGTACTTAGTCGATTAAACCAAATAATTACTTTACAATCTATGAATGAAGATTGTTTGGATATGCAAGGACTTTTGTGCGCAACATTACAAAGTGTTATAAGAAAAATGAGCGGAGAAGATGTAGAAAAAATTGCTGATGCCATAATGAATGCCCTTTTAGTAATGTTGAGTACCAGTAAAGACAGTGGTTTACAAGAAGATGCATTAATGGCAATAAGTCCTTTAGTTGAAAATCTTGGAAAAGGATTCAATAAATATATGGAATATTTCAAAACATACTTATTTATTGGCTTACAAAACAATATGGAATTTCAAGTATGTCTAGCTGCTATTGGTTTAGTTGGTGATTTGTCACGGGCTCTTAGAGAAGAATTGGCACCACATTGCGATCAGATTTTTGCTCTACTTTTTGAAACTTTGCGTAATAATACTGTTAATCGAAATTTAAAACCACAAATTTTGTCTACATTTGGAGATATAGCTCTTGGAATTGGTTCAGAATTCAAGAAGTACTTGGATCATGTTTTGAATGCATTAGTTCAAGTAGCTCAACTTCAGTTAGATCCCAATGATGCAGAAATTGTTGATTACTTAAATGAACTTCGTGAAGGTGTATTGGCTGCTTATGTTGGTATTGTACAAGGGTTGAAGGGTGAAGGGTATACACCCAATCAAGATGTTTATTTATTAGAAGCACACTTACCATTTATGGTTCAATATATGATATCCATTTGCTCTGATCCCAATGCACATCCAGGAATATTAAAGAGTTGCTGTGGTCTTGTTGGAGACTTGTGTACTGCTTTTGGTGCTAAGGCATGCCCAGTACTAGATAATGGAGAAGTACATGAACTTCTATACAAAGGACGTCAATCCTCAGATATAACTGCCAAAAGTCTAGCACGCTGGTCAGCAAAAGAGCTTCAAAAAATCAAGACTCTTGCAATGTAAAATGTATTTAATTTTAAACGTGAGATTCTATCAATCGTTTGTCTTCTCGTATGATTGTCTTTATTTAGTGCCTATGTAATTTTTATTGTATAAATGGAACAAAAACGTGTCTGTGATTTTGTATAATTGAATGAGTAAATGTGCTACTCTGTATTCGTATTCCTACTAGTGTACGGATTTTAAAGTTAAGTGAGAAATTTTTTTTTAATTTACATTAGTTTACAATGATTGAGCTCATTTACTCGGCTCGTATGACTGACTGATTATCAAATAATATTTGTTAAATATTTAACTTGTATATAATATTTGTTTATAAAATGAAAAAGCATAAAGTTGTTTCCGAGTGTCCGTTTTGTTCCGCGTGCGTATTTTTGTATGAATGCAATATTATTTATTTATTAGGTATCTCGTATTTGTTTTCATTGCCTGTCCGCCTGTCATTGAATAGTGTTTCAACATCCAATTAATTGAATAAAATATTTCATAAATAAAGAAAAAATTTATAAATTATAAAAGATTATTATTTATAATTGTAATTAAAATTGTAGTTGTTTTACTTGTAATTATAATATATTTTTGTCTTTTACATAATATTTTAGTTAATGCCTAATCATTTTGAACAATGTTTTTACTTATAATTCCATTTTTTTTTTCATTTAACATATTTTTCAGTTGTTAATTTTATTGCTGATATACACCAATTTAATGTTTCTTTAAAATTAAATTGACTACAAATTTGTAACACTACATGAGAATATACTATACTAATTTAATACATACTGTACAAAATCTTTTTTTTTCAAAACCTATAGTACAAATAAAATTAACCAATTGTTTTTACATTTTCGTTTGTTGTAGAATATTATTTATGAAAAAATTCTTTGTAATCTTTAAAATACAAATTCAAAAAAATTACTATATTTTGTGTCTCTAAGCTGTGCATTATTTTCCTACAATATTTATTATAAATTAATTATGATCAAAAAATAAATGCGTTTTAATATAAATGTTAAGATTAATAAATATTTTATTTTAATCTATGTCTGCAATAGTGAATATAGTTTGTATATTTCATTAACATTTATCCATTTGTAATTCTGCCATTTATTATTACTATGCAAAAAAAAAAATTTCTATTTTAAAAACTCATTTGGATGATCTTATACAAATGTAATTTTCTAGTTTCACCAAATTATAAAGTAGGACATGGCCAGTTGATATTTTGCCATGCACTAAATGCATAACGAACTTGTGTTGGACACACTGTACTTTTTGTTTGACTTGATAACAGATACCTAACAGAATTCTAAGTTTGTTGAATGTTGATCATTTTACACTTAATACCATTGCTATTACATTTTTAGTTACAGCTATATTATATCCAGTTATGTATTAAATGTTTTTGTTATTTGTTTAAATATAAATGTTAATATGTCTATGTACGTATGAATAATGTGGACTATGTTCTATTGTATCAATATCAAATAATCATGAGAATTAATTAAAGGTTTATATAAACTATAAAGGTATAGTCTAAATTGATAAATCGAAATATAAACTGGTTGATAGTAACCAAGATTTTATAGTTCATTCTTAATTTATTAATTAGATATTATAAGAATTAATATTCTTGACAAAAAGTGATGGAGATTGATAGTCGTTTCATAGCATTTGAAAACGATCACACTTATTTAAAAACGACTTATGCTAACAGTAAAAATGCAGCATTTTTACAAGCTACATTTTCAACAGTTGAGTGAGTATTAATTTTAATATTGGAATAATAAAATTAACCCAATGTAACATTATTAGAGATATTTTTCTAGATCCAAAGACAAAACTATTTTATCAAAAACTCCATTGACTAAAATACAAAGTACTGTTGATAAAAATGAATCTATGGAAAAATCTGTCAATTCTTTGAATATACCAAATTCAAATGTATATTTTATTTCCAACTCATTAAATTTTCCTCTACATTCAAATATTCAAATGTTAGTATTGATTATTTTAAAATAATAATTATTTATTTCTATAATATAACACTTTTTAGATCACAAAATAATTTACCAATACAACATATTAACATTGAAAATAAATCAATTATCAGACCTATAAAACCAAAAATAACAAATGATGTGGAAATTATTTCTTCTCCGCAAAGACGATCAAATGCATCTCTAAATAATAAATTACAAAATACGTAAGTAAACAGTTAAATCATAAAAAATTATATATACAGATTATAAAGTGTAGTCGACATTCAATTTGAAAAAATCAAGTAATCTTCAGCATTTTCAATTTGGTTGCCATTATGAATTATTTATTAGAATTATTAGAAATAAATAAAATAATTATTAGAATTATTCTATGATATAATGATACATAATTGTTAATAAATACACATTTTTTTTAAGTTTTTAATGTTTTAAATATTGAATTTTCTTAGTAGTTGTCTTTCTCCCTCTATATTACAATAAAACATTGATCAACATTTATTTTTCTAATCATACAAGAAATTATTACGTCTTATGATGTTATAAATAATTGTATTAAATTGGATACTTCAATGCTATTTATTATTTCAAGTATTTTACTGCAGTTAGTGCTATTAACAGGGATTTGAAATTTTTAATTTTCCCAAATTTTAGATACCTTTTCTTTTCTCTTTTTTTTTTGCAAAATTTTAGCCTATATTATTAAGAAATTTGTTTCTACTACTATATCAACCATCTTAAAAATTATACAATTATTCACCTGACCATTTACGCTGAGGAATGTTTTTTAAGAGCAATGGTACATTGTTTCCAATTTAAAAAAAATAATGCAGTAATACTATTTACCTATTCCAGTATCTTACCTAACTATAAAGTCTTATCAGACTTAGAAGTTTTGACTTTTTTTTTAATAGAAACAAATTATCTATTTAAGTGTATATTTTCAGCTTTATTTGTACAATACGTCCAAACCCTAATAATAAATCAGTAAAAAAAAATTAATATTTACTTAAATGATATATCCTGTTGGTTAGTTCCAACGGAAGACAAATATGTTCGTAACCAGGAATGTTTAATACAAAAATACACAACAACTGACGAACTATTTATTTATATATATATATATTAGTGGTGTGAAATAAATCCGGATTTTGGATTTTCAGTTGTAAAATCCGGATTTCAGATTTTCAAATTCAAATTTCGGATTTGAAAATCCGAATATTTGGGTTTCACATTGTGGATTTCTGTATTCTAAAGCAAGTTTTCTGAAAGTTGTTCATCATAATTTTTCAAACTTAAATTATTATATTTGTAATTAAGTATATATTTTCATTATTACTTGTACTTTTCTGTTAGTTAAACAAAGTATATTTAGGTATTATTTATTATGTCTTTTTGGATAAATTATTCTGATACTTATAAATGTTGTTACTAATTTCATGTATAAATTGAGTTTAGGTCGTAATATCTACATGTTATTGCAATATTGATAATTGTTGTTGTTTTTATATTTTTGCTTTAAAAGTTTTTCTATAAATATATTAATTCATTAAAAAAAAAAAAAAATGTGTATTTATCAAGGCTTTAATATTAGAAATCCATAAAATATATTAATTCATTGTTTCAAAATCCGAAATCTGGAATTTTCTCCGAATCCGGATTTCGAATTTCATGAATCCGGATTTTTGAACTTCAGTAAATCTGGATTTTTCACACCACTAATATATATAAAGTTATAATTAAGACACAGTATTAAGTTTAATTATTACTATAAATGTGGTCGACTGACCTCATATATGTTGCTTGTACTTGACTGTCGGAGCTACATTGGCAGACCGATGGCGAAGGCTGACGATGAATTGCAACTCAGCATTTATATACTTACGAACTAATAAGCAATTCTTTATAACAAGAAAGGGTTCTTAACATAAATTATCTTACTCTTATTATTAGTTATATTATTTCCTATAATAATAATTAAATATTAAACTATTCTACAACTTTTATAATATTTCTTTATTATCAGTAAATAATATTTCAAATGAAATTATCTTAAAGATATCATTCAAAAGTTTACCATATATTTGTTTAATATTTTTATTGCATTTATATTTTTTCAGGACATTAAAAAATAATTTATCTACCAAACCTAAATTGGTCAATGATTCACAAGAGAAATCTTTTATTAAATCTATGAATAATAAAATATTAAAAAATTATGAAAATGGATTATTCACAATCAAACTGTCTTCTAATTTACTAAAGCGTATTCAGAATGGACAAAATTTATTTATGTGTGTAGAATGTAATAAAATGTATACTGAACATAAAGATTTGTTGGATCATCAAATGACTCATGATAAATGTACTAAAAAAATAATTGATTCTAAAGAAAAAAGGTAATATTTAATTATGTTTTATTATTACTTAAATATTTGTATTAATAATATTTGTAATTTTCAGAGAAAGAGAACATGCAAATAATTTTAAAATTTGTGGAGACATTAAAAATGGAAATGAAAAATTTACCAATGACACCCATGATTTCAACAAACAAACCAAACCTATTTTAAAATCTTCAGTAAATTCTAAAAAGCGAAAAGTTATTTTTCAAGGCGAATGCATCATGTGTCATTCAGTATTTCCAGATCTTGGTAAACACATAAGAACTGTTCACCAAAATGACTTAAATAAAAACAAAGGTAGTCATTTACAATACAACTGTTTCAAGTGCGATATGAAGTTCGATACTAAACAGCATCTACATGCTCATGACTTACATGCGCATAAACCTATTTATTCACACACTTGTGAACATTGTTATAAAGATTTTACATACAAAGCAGACTTAGAAACTCACATGGAAACTCATTTTAATGACAGTAAGAAGTACCTATGTCCTTATTGTGATGTTGGTTTTTCTCATTCAAATGGCTTAAGAACCCATTTAGTTAAACATATTGGTTCTAGTACTCCTGAAAATTCAGCTTTTGAAATACCAGATTGTAAAATAGAATATAGTCCGACAAGACCACCTGAACAATTGGATCAGTTATTTGAAGAATTGAATAATATTTCAAATGATGTCGATGATGTTTATAATGATCAAGTTTCTGATGATAATTATCGAGTTAAGCTTGCAAATGAAGAAACTAATAAATTATCAATAATAAACTCACTTACTACAGAAAACCTAAACATTGATAAAGAATTAAACAAGTAAGTGGTTTTTTTTCTGTAAATAATCTATTTTAAATTATGTTTTTTTTTAAAATTATTATTACAATTATTTATATTTAGTGTACCGTTAGAGACTACATTATCAGATAAGACACGCATAAGTTATACTATGTGTCGGATATGCTTGATTATTGTAAGTTATTCAAGAATTGGTAGGCATATGAAGAAAAAACATAATAATGCTGCTCCTTATCAATGTGAAGTATGTCATGCTGAATTCAATCGCAAGCACATTATGGATGATCACCGTCGAAAGCACACAAATAATAAACCACATAAGTAATAACTTTAAAAATATCATAAATGTTATCTAACCGATAAATTTAAAAAAAATTGTTATAAATGAAACAAATAAACAGTTATTGTATGCACTTATTTATTTAACATTTTTTAATATTTTACTATTTTGTATTAAATTACTTCTTTAAAATATCACTTCAGTTGACAATTGATAACCTTAAGTGGCTGTTCCTGTACTAACATTTCCTATTAACAATACTATTTTAAATTTATTTTCAAATAGTTTTTATAATCAGCGTAAGCTATATTACTAAACCATTTGAAACTGATTGATTTGAACAAATAGTCGCATTTAAGAAGTAAATTGTAAGAAAAAAAAACATACCTACAATTCATGATAGAATTTATTATACATTGGATTGAATAATCCACATTCAATGCCACAAAAAAATTATAAATTGTATTATATCTCTACTATCTGACCTTAAAAGTATTTATATTTTGAATTTTTATATTTAAAAATGCAGCCAATATTATTTTTTTAATACAAGGGTATCAACAGATTTTAAATTAAAAACATATTTTGGATTTATTTTAACTTAATCTACAGTAAAATAATTTTTAAATTTATAAAAGAATAAAAATTACTGTTTAATAATTTGAGCATATATATATTTATTAATATTCTTAATTTTAAATTAAAATTATATCTTATTTAGATGCATTCAGTGTTCCAAATGTTTTACCTACAAACACCATCTCAATCGGCACATGATGATAGTTCATAATGGTGACTCAATAGAAAAACCATTCAAATGTTCCGTCTGTGATAAAGCATTTTCTTTTAAGGAATATTTAACACTACATGTCAAGTATGTTTTTATCCAATATATATATTTCTGAAATGCATATAAAATATTATAACTTAAATGTTTTTGTATTTTTTTAAAGTAGCCGCCACAAGGGCAAACATTATATGTGCCAGATTTGTGGCAAAAGTTTTTCTACCAATGCAGCTTTAAATAAACATCAGTTGTGTCATACAGATGAACGACCATTCATGTGTGAACATTGTGGACGAACATTCAAATGTAAAACTCATTGTGACACACATAAAAAAAATATGCATCCAGGAGACCCAGAACTAGCATTACCGCCCGAAAAATTCGAGTGTAATCTGTGTAATAAAAAATTTAGCACAAAAGTATACCGTGATATGCACTTGAAGAGACATAATGGTCTAGGTCATCAATGTGATATATGCTATAAATTGTTTGTTTCTAAAGCACATATGCGAAGGCATATAAAAATTATGCATCGCAACTAATTTTAAATAAATAGAATTAACTGAGATAATTTCTTTTTATGGAAAGTTTGGCACCTATCCATATATTCATTATGTGTATTTAAATTTTGTTATGACTATTTATTTAAAATGTTTTTAATAAATAATTTATTTTTTATTTTTTAAATTTTATTATTTAATTTTAAAGTTATTTTGAGTTACATTGTTCTATGGTATATATCATTGAATATACCAATATAGGTAAATATATCGCTACGTTTGTACAGAATATCCACAAATCCTGAATGAAGACTAGCTTATGTTATAAAAGTTTATATGATGTGTGAGGCAGACATTGAATATTAAATTTATAACTTACAAGACTAAGAAAATGATTTTGATTAGCTTCAAGAGATTTAATTGGACTAAAAGTCTAAGAAGAGCAAATTATTGAATTATAGTCTGAAATTGATCCAACAAAAGTGCAGTAGAGTGAGGGCTAGTGGATTATCAAAATTATTACAGCTCTGATTTATAAATTCAAGAAATTAGGATGCTCTATTTTTAATATAAATATAATGATAATTAAATAATAATGAAATTATTATTAAAATAATAATAGTAAATAGTATGTTTAAATAGTACCTATATTCATTTTTTTAGTAAAAAATTTAAATGTATGTCAATAATAATTCTTAAATCTGTATGTATTTAAATAACCCTGGCTATGTAGAAATAATTGACCTGTATAACATATTGTCTGGCAGAATAATTTTATATTATTTCTAATTGATGCATATTATAGGTATCTTAAGAGTAAATTATAAAAAAGCTTTTTACCAAAATGAGTTTCTGGTCAATACAAATTCTTTAAACATAAATAATCACGGACGACATAATAAAGAAAAAACGTGACATTCTGTATTATAGTCGATTTATAGACAATTTTTTTATATTAGTTATATTAGAAGAAAACTAGCTACATTGTATATACTTGGAATAATAGAATGAATCGAAACTACGGCCTGGACCAATTGGTAGAGGAGACTGAAAGTGCGTCTACCCTTAAAATTAATTGAAATTAGTTGTAATTAATAACTAGATTTTTAACTAATTTAACTAACTAATTTAAAAATAAAAATGTATAGAAATATTTTTATTTGAATTGAAGATATAGTTTTTTTTATTATAATAAATTGAGAGCCACAATATCTAAAACCTATAAATAGTTATTTTAATGGATATAGTATTTTATAATCATTTTGACGATAGTCGCCGTTTAAGTGAAACTGAACCCGGATCCACACTTGCACGACACGACATAATATTTTATCAATAGGTGTAGTTGAATACGCTAATAAAACCGATTCAGCAAGCTCCGTAACGACACGACAAAATGTTCAAGCAAAGAATGTTTTGTCGGAATCGATTTATTTAAAATATACATATTATTATATAGGTACTTAAATGAGTTGATAAATTACATTCGTAAACGAAAATGTTTGCACTGATTACGACAAACCTAATTATTATAGACATAATATATAGATATAGTATTTGTATTATATTGGACCGTAAAATATATTATGTATATATTTAATTATCGATCAATAATGCCATCACGGTTAAATCTTTAAATTTAAAATGTTTAACCATGTTGAGAATTAATAATTTCCGACCGTTGGAAACGAAAATAGGAGTGCGTTTCTTGTCGATTGTATGTGAATTAGACGTGATTTTTGTCTATTGTATCTTGCTAGTGCAAATCGTAACATGTTATTGTTTGGTTAATTGGACGGAGGGGGCAAAAAAGAATAAACCGCATATTATAGGCATTATTGGAACTGGACTTACGACAATAATTTCCGTGCCACCGCGCCGTTGTACGCCTGTGAGTTCACAAATAAAAATAATCGCAGAATTGGATTAGTTTATAAAAAAAATTTAATAGGTATTAAATTAAGTTAAAAATATTAATTAAATATTAAATTATTAAATTAAGTATTAAATATAATTAATTTTCCAATAAAAGGGTTGTTTTTGTTCGTTGTTGTATGAAGTTTATGTTAAATAATTTAAGTTTCTCCAAAATATTTACTATGAGCCGCTACTGCTAATTGGACTATCCGTAACCTGTGTTTAATCAGTGGTGAACATGGATCCAAAACGAGTAATTGTCCGTGTCTAATATCGAAGGGTTGGTGAGTACCCCCTAGTACCAATATTTGTTACACGGCACAAAGTATACAAATACATCGATCATCAAAAAAACATATTCATAATTATTTAGGATTAAAAAAAAACCTGGAAAAAATAGTTTGAATATAGTAGATATTGATAATGAGCATAGTAATTTGTTAAAAAAAAAATAATGAAAATGTATGATTGAATCGTTTATACATGGAGTATTTAATCGATTTGGTTTTATTTCTGGAAAAACAATAGTTGGCATTTTATAGTTATGATGAGAGCCACGACACTAGTTTGACATTAGTTCACATTTAATATTACGTCTACTAAAAGTAAACCCTATAGGTATTTAACTTTAAGATGTAATGATATGCATGTAACATATGTAACATGTTACAAACCAAACCAATAAAATTTATTAGTTTGTAACATGTTATTAGAGATCGTTATTTAATAACGAGTCTTTCGATATGCACACAGACAACACAGTTCAAATTATAAAGGCATAATCCAACAATACACCATTAACATTCTAAATAGGTCAAATCTTCAAAGAACTGATCTGAAGTACATCCTGCCTTACCATACTTCCCTATAGGTTATATATATAGGTATTATATATAACAATGGCACAAAACCCTTTTCGCCGGCTTTTGGTCATAGGTGTGCTCGACCGCCGAGACCCTTCAACGATTTTCTTGTGACGAACTATTACTACGTGCGATTATCGATTATCCACGTTTTACCATACAACAACATATGTCAAGAGACAAACATATAAATAGAGTACAACGAAGAGCACAAATAAAAGAACAAGAAAAAATATGTCACTAAGTTTTATTGTCGATGATATATGGTCACACAATCAGGTCAGAATACTTATAGATTAAACTCGTGCCATTCTTTCATGTAATATTCCGTTAAGAGTAAGCTCAGCAATTCTAAGTTACGTGCATTTTTGGAAAAGTATACCAATAAACAAACTCCTGATCGTTCTACACTACGGAAAAATTAAATTACTATTTATTACGATGAAACTATACAAATTATAAGGTCATACGTAGAAAATAAAAAAATATGGGTCTCTATTGATGAAACGACTGACGCCAATGATCGTTTTGTTGCCAATGTTATAGTAGGGACATTAAAAATAGGTAACAAAGGCAAAATGTTTTTATTAAATTCAGAAATATTAGAAAAAACAAACCACAGCACAATCGCCAAAGCTTATGATAAATCTTTATTAATATATTGGTCCCAGGGAATAATCCACGACAATGTTCTCTTATTTTTAAGTGACGCAGCTCCGTATATGGTTAAAGTAGGCAAAGCGATCCATTTTATTCATTAACATTTTATTCGAAAATGATACATGAAACGTACTTGGCGCATGCCTTGCATAGAGTTGCCGAAGAAGTAAGAAAACATTTCCCAAATGTTGACAAACTGATAAATAACGTCAAAAGGTATTTTTGAAAGCACCATCGCGAATTCAATTATTCAAAACAATAGCACCAGATATTCCACTACCCCCTCGACCTGTATTAACACGCTGGGCCACTTGATTACAAGCTGCCATATACTATTGTGAATATTTCGAACTTATTAAAGATATTATTGCTGCATTAGACGGAGAAGATACTGTTGCAATTTCCAAAGCTCAATTTTTGTTTTCTAAAATAAATTTGAAATGTAACTTAATATATATATATATATATTAAGTCAAATATTAGTACTTTGGCAACATATATTATTCAATTAGAAACTTCTGTATTATCTTTGATTGAATTCATTAACATTGTTAATAAAATTAAAGATGAAATTCAAAAAGCGCCAAATGAAATTGGAAAATGTTTATAAAATTTTATTATATAAAGTAAAATAAAATATTTATGTATATAATTCCCACACCGAAGTCGGCATCCTGCAGACCCCTTTTGTCAAGTGCCAGTGGTCAGTATTCAATTTGTCACTTGGTCGTTAGTGAGTTTGCCTATTTGGAGTTACTTTCATTGCAAGATTGACATAACATGCTAATGACTAGAATTCAGTTCACGAATTCAGCTATTTTGATTTTATTATAATTCGTGGTTTAACGTAAGAAGCTCGTTTAGCATTCATTAATGGATCCAAGCCTATAGTAAATACAACAGTCGAGACGTATGTGAAACAACTAAAGGTACGGTTTTTCAAGCGCGACAGGTCGCTAATATCTGTTTATACGAAAATGGTATGATCTGGTTTGCAAGACGCGACTTTGACTAAGACGCAATTTTGAGTCGGCGTAACTGATGACACCACTGCCTCGGAAACAGTACTGCGCGGCACATCATGACCGTTGCTTATTTTGTTCGATACAATGGGGTTTAATCAACTAGGGTCGCCAACCGTCCTGCATTGGGTAGGACTGTCCTACATTTGTCTAATTTGTCCTAATGTCTAATTCAATGATGCTATAAATTATTTGTAGGACAATCTTATATTTTATAAAAATACCTATTTATATTTTATTATTCTTTTAATTTTATTTAATTAAGGTGGTAAATATCATAGTGTTATAATTAATAAACTAATTTAATAAAAGTGATATAAATAAAATGTATTAAATGTTTTTCATAACTATCCTTATAATATTATGTACTGTTAGTTGCAGTGTTGCTTACTAAACTATGCTGTGCCGTAGCCATGCCCCACCCCATAGGCCGTATTGTTTATAAATATAATCAGTATAAATAACCATATTTTGATGGTATTTTTACTTTTTACTTTGCACCCCAAAATCCTGGGTACACCGCTGAAACATGGTATAAATTGGATATGAAAAAAATTGTCCTATATTAAACAATTAGAAAGTTGGCAACTCTAGCATCAACTTTGATCTTTTTTGCGGCGGATAATGAAATTCTGATACGTGAAAGGTCCAGAATAATTTGATTCTCAGTAATGTTGGAGATCCAAATTATAAAAACATTATAGTAGAGGATAATATTCGGAGACTTATTTCTAAAAGCAGAAAAATAATTTTTAGTGGATGTACCCAACTAAAAAAAAAAAAGGAAAAAATATACTAATCCTAAACCTTGCAAATTAATTAAAAACTTAAAACGAACGCTAAGTGAAAAACAGTTGTGCCGCTCCGACATGTCGTGTTTTGGAAACCACCAAACGAAATAGGTCGCGTCTAGGAAACCGTACCTTGTACCTGTAATACTTGGTGCGTCTACTCAAGAATGCGGAAATTAGTTACTATCACGAATTAAGATATGTTTTTAAATATATATAAATCTTAATTTTTTGGCATAATTAATTACAACGGGATGAAATGCCTCACGTTCAGTGACCATGTTATCAGCGAGAAGCGCGATCATCGACGGAACTGATCAACTACAACCACGGTTTTCAAGAACGCGACAACACCCGCTGTCACAGAACACCGGTAACAACAATGCGGTATAATATTAACAATCTCTCTTCCACACATTCTGTGCGTGCATCGCTTACGGTATTATTATCTTACTCTGTGGTGGTACTATACTTGTCCGCTGCACAACGGAATAGATCGAGTACGCTGCAAGCCTGATGGTGTACTGCACTATTTCGTGCTTTCGCCGTCGAGGTACTGCGGTCGTTTTATGGGAGTCAGCAACAGATTTCCTGAACTGGATCGGATCTTTATCAAATATTAATTTTTTTTTTTTTCTCACCAACGCGAAAACCAGTTCCGGACCACGGAACACCGCCGTACATTGATCCGTTTCGACGTCACAACGAGCCGGCCGTTTGCGGCTTCAGTGGTTGGCCATTTCTACACATAATCCGCGGACATTACGAGTAAGTGTGTGTCTCTGCGTGTCGGTAATCATGTTGCGTTGTCGTGCATTTACGGTCGTTTCGGACGTCCGTTATTACGTTTTCATCAGCCAGTTCGTGGTACCCTGCATAGTCGTGTTTTATCTTTTCTGTTTGGCGTTCATAATCGCCTCTTGCGACCGCCTCAGGTCCGGTACAAAGGTTGCACGTATCTTCACGTACGATGACCTGATTCGCGCACTCGTCGTATCCCGTTGTATCTAGTTCGTTCCGTAGGCTCGTCGGCAAACGTTTCTCATTTTTATGTTGTTTCGGCGGCACCCGGGCCTTATCTATATTTACCGTTACGCAATAATATATATTAATAGTATCGTATAATATTTGTATTCTGCCTAGGAACGTAATATGGCACCCCGCTATGTGTTCAATGGTATGGTGAACAGCGTCTGTACGACCGCCAATCGAATTAACCCGTCGAAAAAAATTGGTACCATCGCGTTTTACTGTTGGTATTTTTTCCTCGAAATAAATGTTACTATATTTCGATGCTTTATCCTGTGTACTGTGAAGAGGTAGATCAACACTTTTAGTTTTCTGCTGATTAGGTGTTTTAATAATTTGCGCATAGTTTTATTCTTGATTTATTATGCATCTGATAAGTATGATTTTATTCAAAGAAATATATCACTGACAAAATATCTAATTATTTGATGTTGAGGTGAGGACAGAAAATTAGTTCTAATACTTAATACATTGCTATTTAAATTATGTATCAAACATTTTTTTCTTCTTTATATTTTGTAATTTTATTGATGCCTGTGTTTGTTAACGTTTCATGTTATTCTATTCATTTATTTTATAAAAATATGATAATCTTAGCATTCCATTATAAATGTATGTTAGATAAATTATATATTTTTTGAGGAGATTTTTTAATTCTTATTTGTAATGAGATTGTCACTGAGAGATTTACTAGCAGGCAATTATTTTAAGGTATATTCAATTTCGCCTGGCCTTTTGCTGGTAGAAACATTGGGAGGGGCTATTAAGAAAATTATTTACATCATTGAGGTGGGTATTATTGTTGACGATATCTTGGTGTGGTTTAAAAATTTCATGGAGTTGCTTAGCGAAAGTATTAGTCTTCTGTTTGTCGGTTATACTATTTAAGTCAAAGTGGTGGGTTATTTTCCTTAGTTTTTGTTAAATTTTTTGTTGCTCTCCATAGTGAGCCGTTTTGAGGATTTAGATTATTTAGGTTAGGTTTTTAATAGTTAGAAGAGAATTATTATATATACTATGTATACTATATACTATATATACTAGGACTACGTTTAATAGTTCAATCAATAAATTGAAGTTAGAAAATAAAAATAATATAACATACATTTAAAAATTATAATAATAACTTAAACTAAGCTTTATAATTCATGATTTATGAGTGATCATTATAGTTCATTGATATATCATTCAGAAGTAAAATCATTTTTATGTAATATGCCTCAATATTCACAGCAACTTTATAAAAAGAAAAATTAAAAAATAAATGCAATTTTAGGCAATAGGCTTGAGTCATTCATCTTAAGTATTGAGTTTTTTTTTCTTAGATAATTTTTATTTTATTTTTAAAATCAATTTTAAATTTAAATTCTTAATATTGTAATATGTTTTTTATATTTATGAATTCTAGGTCTAGTGAAATTTTTCTATCACAGATACCTAACTGAAAGATAAAATTTAAAAATATTTTACTACTTAAGAAGTTAGTACTTACTTAATTTCTTTGCTGCTTTTTATTTTATAGTTTAGAGCTTAAATTATTATATTTGTGTTGGTATTTTTGATTTTAATACAAAGTGATATTAATACATTAAACATGTGTTTAAACAGCCCAACTTTTTGCTTAATTATTATTTTTTTGGTGAATTTATTCTGTATCATAGTTTGACTCATAAATTATTTATCAATTATAAAATTAGAATCTTAATGCAAAAACTAAATATATCTCATTTTTTATTCCATGTGTAAGTTATAGACATATATATATTCTTTTAGTATTCTAAATATTCTGAATTTGGATATAAATACAGAAATTACAAATTAACTTATGTCAATATTAAGTTAGGTTTTTTAAATAAATAGGCATTAGTGGTGATAAAAGAAGATCGTTAAAAATAATCTAACTAAATTATTAAAATGTAAAAACAATCATGTCAGTTTAGTTTATTTATTTGTATTCTATATTTTATAGGTTATTTTTAAATGACTTCGAAGAAAGACGCAATCCAAGTTGATCTCATTGATGAATCTATCAATGTTATTAAGTAATTTGGTCAAACTCTGTTATGTTCTATTTTTAACCAAATAATAATGTTTCAGTAATATAAAGATTGAAGACTCAATTGATGAACATTCATCATGTCTATTTGTTAATAGTACAGCTATGATTTCTGAAGATACAGATAAAATAATTAAACATGAAAAAGATGTATTGGATGATGGTATGTGGGAAAGTACAATGGAAATTCAAAAATCCACAAATCAAAATAACTTGATGGGACCTATAAATCAGGTATTAATAAATATATCTACTCAAATACTCAAATATATTATATTGATCATAAATTTAATTTAAATACCCATAATTATTATAATACTTATTACTAATTTTAATATGTTTGATTAATTTAAATAATTTAATGATATTTGCATTTTATTTTCATTATTTTGCATATTTTTTTTTTATAAAAAAATCTTTTTTTTAGAATGTATCCAACTATAAATCTGACTTAAATCATGAAAATACAACTCCTAAGAATACATTTTCCTGTATAATTTGCAAAGAAAGCTTTCCTTTGCATTTTCAACTAAAGAACCATATGATAAATCATAAAAAATCATCTCAAGTCTATAGAAATGTAAATAAATGCAAACTTTGTGGAAAACAATTTAAACTAAACTTTAGTTATAATAGGCATGTTGAAAAATGTAATTTATTTGAATGTGAAATATGTGGAGATTTTGTTAAAAAAACAGAATATACTGAACACATGCAAACTCATGAAGGTGGATGCTCTGGGAATAAAATTGATTTTATTCCTAATTTAAAATTGTGTAAACTAAATGGTGTTTGGAAAAGTAAACCAAATTGTATTTATAAATGTAAAAGTTGTTTTGAGAAGTTCTATACTAAAAGTAACTTGATAGAACATATGAAAAAACATAATGATAATGATAGTTGTACATTGAATGAAGATTTTTTAAAGTATAAATCTGTTCCTAAATCAAAATTGACTAGAAATCCATTTAAATGTCAGAAGTGTAATCTAAGGTTTGACAAACAATATATATTAGACCGTCATTTAACTCATTGTACTGCAAATTCTAGTAAAATATGGAATAAATTTCGTGGTAACGTCAAGACTAATACAAAAAAAGCATTTTTTTGCAAAAACTGTGGAATAGGTTTTAATACCCGTTTGTTACTGAATAATCACATTGTTTTGGGTTGTAAAAGTTGCAGTAACAAAGATTCTTGGTTTAAAAATATGTTAAAAAATAAAAATCTTAAACAGTCTATAAAATCTAATATAAATAAAATGCATAATCAAAATATAAACAATAATGATGGTCATATAATGAAAAATAATTCAAACGTCACTAAAAGATCTGATCAAATAGATACAGTCCACAGAAATAAATCAACTATAATGTCACATAATTTAAAGATGAATATTTCTGATCTAAATATAAAGAAAGAAAAAATATCATCTTCTAATGTCATAGAAATAGATTGTACCGATCAAACAATTGCAACTAATAGTGATGAATCTACATTACAAACAGTACCTCAGTATTTCATGATGAATGATTATATTTCAAATGTAAAGAAAGAAAGAGACCCTTGTACAAATACTACTGAAAAAAATAAGTTAGATCTAATAAATGCAACTAATTATAATGAATCAACATCTAAAACAGTTTCACATAATGTAACAACAAACAATTGTAGTTCAAGTAAAAAGAAAGAAAAAACAGAGATTGGAAACAATTGTCATAAAATATATACTGCCAATAGTTATGAATCAACTTTATCATTAGTTCCAAGTAATTCAGTAGTAAATGATAGTAGTCAAAGTTTAAAGAAAAATGAAATTATGAATACATTCACCTCTATTAGAAAAAATTCTGATCTAATGATTGTTAGGAATAATTCAAATATTACAAGAATAAACAGTTCAGATCAAATAAATGCAGGAAATAGTAATGCACCGAACATACAACCAAAATCTCTTGCTTCTGTAATGTATGATCATAGTCTAAATATAAAGAAAGAAAAAAATGAAAGGCTTTGCAGGAGAAATGTCACAGAAATAAATGGTAATGCATCAACTTTACTAATTTCAGAATATTCAACAGTTAAACAAGAGCATGTTACTTTAAATGATAATGATCACTTCTCAATTACACCAAGAGAAACTGATTATTTGTCTATAAGGAAATTGTCTGACATTGAAAAAATACCTTATAATACCAATGATTGTAACTTGAAGTCAGCATTCCAAAGTAATTTTAAGTTTCTATGTAAAATTTGTAATAAATCATCATTTAGTGATGTACATACATTTGCATTGCACATGAGTGATCATGCTGAATGTAGCATTCATGAGTGTATTGTATGTAATGAAATTTTCAGTACTGTACTTCTTTGGAAAAATCATATGACTTACCATCAAGAGAAAGTAGATTTAAATTTATCGAAAACCCAATTAAATTGTATAGATATTGAATCTAATGTTTTAAGCATTAATAATTCGGAAAGCATAATACCTCAAGCATGTTCAACAACCTTCAGAAATAAACGAAATAAACAAGTAAAATCAATTTCTAAATTAATATCAAAATTTAAAAACTCACGTTACAAAAATGTAAAAAACTTTGCCAAAATGTCTAAAAAACAGTATCAGTGTGATATATGTTCAAAACATTTTTATTCTCATCTCACATTAACGGTGCATCAAACTGTTCATAATATTTCAAGACCATTCTCCTGTAAGTATTGTAACAGAACTTTTTCATCTAAGGGTCCTTGTACAAATCATGAAAAGTCACATAAATCTGATAAAAATAGTTTGCTTAAAACTGAAAATGAAGAGGAATGTGGACCTATTGAAACCTTAAATGACATAAAAAGTGCAGTAAACAATGTTTACACATTTTCTTGTAAATATTGTGAAAGAACATTTTCTTCCCGAGGTCCATGTACAAATCATGAGAAGTCACATATCTTAAATATAAATAATTTATCCTCGTACAACATTAAAGATAAAGAACATATTGACTCTGGATCAGTTGAATCCCAAAACAGCACAAATGTAGGAAATAATTATGTTGACAAATTTTCTTGTAATTATTGTGATAGAACATTTTTATCAAAGGGTGCATGTACAAATCATGAGAAGTCACATAAATCTGATAAAAATAATATGCTTATAACTGAAAATGAAGAGGATTATGGACCTATTGGAACCCTAAATAACATAAAAAGTGCAGTAAAAAATGTTAACACAATTTCTTGTAAATATTGTGAAAGAACATTTTCTTCCAGAGGTCCATGTACAAATCATGAAAAGTCACATACCACATCTTTAAATTATCTTAACCTATATAATATTGAAGACAAAGAACATATTAAATTAAGATCAATAGGAAATTTACAAATTCCTAAAGAAGAAGAACCTATTGTAACTCAAAATAAAATTGAAACAGAAAATGGCAGTGTTGACAATCATGAAAATAAAGATAAAGTTGATAAATTTGTTTGTTTTATTTGTAAAAAGATATTTACTAAGCATTGTTCCTTGATAAACCACATTATGTTTTTGCATAAAGCAGATCCAAATTCACCTGAACTGCTTGTTAATTTAAATAATATGAGTAACACCAACAGTACATTATCTAAAAATACAACAAAAATGAATAAGTTGAAAAAAGGGAAGAAAAAATTAGTTGGAAATAGTAGATTTACAAATAAACCAATAGCATGCACTATATGTAAGAAACATTTTGTACATAATGGTGCCCTATTTAGTCATATGAATTCTCATACAGATCTTAAACCATACAAATGTCAGTATTGTGACAAAAAGTTTAATATGAAAGGCCCTTTGACTCTCCATGAGAGAACTCATAAATTCAATAGAGGAACAAATAATAATAAAATTTTAAATAAAGTAAAAATAGAACCTAATGAGGAACAAGATATTGGAAATAGTGACAATTTTGAGCTTGCTACAAAAATATTTAATTCAATTGATAACAATGACAATCCATTTGACACTTATGACAATAAGCAAAATCGTATGTGGTTTGCTTGTGATGTATGTGATAAGAAATTTTCTACTCCATTTAAATTGATAATACACAGAAAATCAAATTGTCATGTTGAACCATATGTATGTAAAATTTGTAATAGGTCTTACTCTGTGAGACACCGTTGGAATAGACATTTAAAATCTCACTACATACGGAACAAACTGATCAAAAATTCAAAAAAAAATAGACAAACAAACAATTTTAAATTGGATACTAATAAACTATTTGTTAAACCTGTACAACTGAAAAATCAGTATAAATGTAGTTACTGTAAAAAAGAATATAGTTCAATATCGTATTGGAAAAAACATTTGTCATTGAGTAAAGAGTGTCGTCGGCATTGTAAACATGGTCTTCCAGAATTTAGGTCAATTCAAGCAAAAGATAAATTCTTAAAAACTGAGACTAAAGTATTTGAATGTCATGTTTGTAAAAAAACATATAGCACTGCCTACAATCGAAAAATTCATCTTATAAATATTCACAAAATTTCAGAAAATGTCAGTGATACTCAATGTAAGATATGTGGTAAAAATTACAGTAATAAAGCTAATTTAAGTAGACATTATTCTGTAATACACACAAAGGGTAATAAATGTATTAATTGCACTGACTGTGGAAGAACATTTAAACACATATATTCTTATCAAGAACATGTAAGAATTAAATCCTTAAAGTTGCAACAAAGTAACAAAGCAATGAGTAATACTAATAGAAATTTAACACAGCACATTATGGAAAATAATAAATGTAATATTGTGAAATATTCTTGTAAAATATGTAAAATGGAATTTGCTCATAAAATAATGTTACAGAGACATTCAAAGACACACACAGTTACCATGTATAAATGTAAAGACTGTAATCAGTTATTTAAATCAAATATTATTTTGAGCAAGCATATTTTGAAAAATCACAGTACTAAGATTTCATTGAATAAAGGCAAATATATTGAAGACAATGCTATTCAAAATACTACACAATCAAAAAAAGAGGTACCAGCTCAATGTAAAATTTGTTTCAAAGTTTTAAAAACAGTAAAATATTTATCTCATCACATGAGATTACATTCTGGTATCAAACCATTTAAATGTGACTTTTGTAATATGGCTTTCCGATTTAAATCAAATTGGAGGATTCATAGAAGAAAACACCATTTAGAAAATATGTCTTAATTAGTTTTGTGTTCTCTATTAAAATATATATTATTATATTTTTGGTTTTAAAATCTGCTTATTATTTTAGCTATTGATGTAATATTGAGTTATATTTAAAACTTTGTTGGTTTATAATATGAATTTTTTTCATTATGAAATAAAAATTATAGCCATTAATATTAAATAAATATATTAAGATATTAAATATAATATTTATGTTTATATATATTTTACATAGTTTATATTATTAATCACAAGATTTTTTAAGTATTTAAACTATATAGTACCCCAATGTTATTTTATTTATTAGTAAATTAATTTATTTTATTTTTTATAATATAGTCGAACATGTAATTTGCTTTATTGTCTAATTGTATTTATTTTCATCTGTATGATATTGTAAATTATGTATTACATTTTATTTAACTTAATATTAAAATATTTTGGTTGAACACTAATTTTATAAATAAGCATTATAAATTATAATACATTTTAAATAAATGTAAATGTTGTATTATGTTCATAATAAATAATTTATTTTGTATAAAATAGAAAAATAATTGAAAGTTGTATGTTTTATATTATTAGAGCTTAAGTTCATAATCATTAATTTAGTACACATTGTTTAATTTATTAATTTTTAAAATACAATATTGTTTGTGCTTAAAATTTAATTAAATATAAATTTTTCAAGTATAAAGACGAGATGAGCCTATTCAAATACTAGTTACTTATGGGTATAGTGTTAGATATTCTACTAAATCACATTATACTTGTACTGAATCATACAGATGTTCTATACTTAAGTCTAGTCATGTTTATGATGAGCGCAATTTATTATATCTATGTGACTGTGTGTAATATATGCTTACAATATAATATTAGGTATGTCAGTAAAAAATGTATCTTTATTATTATGACTTAATTATTGTGTTAATTAAATAAACTAAACAACAGCTGAAAGCATATATAATAAAAATATACTACTCAGTTTTAGAAGTAGTGCGTGTGTTAAGTCTGGGCAATTATATTCAGGTTGACTGTCACAGGCTCAAATATTGATTGTATTTTATGTATTTTGATGTATCGTCAAACGGCCGAACTTGAGGCATAAATGTTATCTTTTAGTTCTATTTCCATAACGGTTTCTTATCAATTAATTAATATGATACAAATATTTTGTTGTTATCTTAACAATATTTGAAATCCTTTTAGCAGTGTTACAGCATCAAATTTTAAACGTAAGTATTTATTTTTATTAATTAATTTTATGTTTTGTACATATCGTTTCGAAAATGTCTGAAAATCATATTTATTTAATTGGTTAAGAAGAATGTTGTAATTTATTTTTAAGTACAAAATACTTATATTTATTAAATTTAGAAAATATTAAAAAATATCCTAAATTGGTTTAAGTAAGAGATAAAATAGGTTTTTCATAAGAAAAACATTAATGCCTCATGTTGTCGAAATTCAGTACAACAAAGGGCAAACAAAAAATTAAAAAAAAAAAAACTTCAGGAGGAATAATTTGTATGATTCAAATGCAACAGAAATTAATAAATCAAACCCTTAACAAAAAAAAAAAAAAAAAAAATGTTACATTGAAAATACATCTATATTAATTAATCTTAAAATTATTTACAATAGAATTTCAAAGGTGCCCCAAAATCGGTCATTTAACGGTACTCTACTATCCTTTTCCATCCATATACCTGCACTTATAATTGATAGATAAACGTTGAGCCAACAACTATTGTGTTGTATTTTTCATTATTGAACATTTTACGGAGGAAATACGTTTGGTCGCATTTACCCAAAACAAAACGCTTTAGTGCGTAAATCTATAAAACATTTGGGCGTAATATTTCCCTTTATAATAGTACGTTTATTTCTTTACATATATTAATATTTTGTACTAAATCTGAGTTTATTATCGTTAACCCAGAATACACCACGAGGAGGTTGGCTCAATAGTCTTCCAAAAATATTTTGAGATTTTTTTTATTTATACGTCTTAATTTAATTTTTGTTTATTATTAATTAATTATTTGTTAATATTATTCTATATTATGATATTTTTATGTACAGCATTTTATGTGATTAATTAATTTTTTTCCCCACAAAACGTGGTCCTAATTTTTTTTGTAACTCAATATATTTTTTTCAACTTCATAAGTTTCCCAACATTTTTATACAAATGTTTGTTTTTCTTTAGTTTCTTTTTTTAATTTATTAGTTTTTTTTCAGTGCTGTTTATTTTTAAATGGTCTCCATTTTAATTTCAATCAATACGTTTATAACATTTTGATGATTTAGATGTTGCTTATAAAATTGTTGGTTATAATTTGAATGGAAATATTCCGATTCGTTAGTTGTTCTAAGGTATGTTTTTGGCTCTTCAGCCTAAATAAGAGGTGGAAATTGTGAATTTTAAGATATTTAATTGTCAATTATACAATCAGTAAATTCTGTCACATCGGGCGGTACTATAGATATAAGCTCAACAAAACCAAATTCAACTTCTTTAAACAATGTTGAAGTCAAACCCTAGTATCTGTATCCTCAGTGTAATGTTTCAATAAATATTTACAACTTGTATTTTAAGAAACCAACTAAATATCATTAAAAACTTAAAAAATAATAAATCCCCAGGCCACGACCTGATAACCAATACTATTGCTAAATACCTGCCTAAGAAAGCAATCTTACTTCTCACTTATATTTACAATAGAATTCTTCGTCTATCCTATATCCCTCCCATCTGGAAACACTCAGTTATCATCCTAATCTACAAGCCAGGAAAACCTCCTGACCAACCCTCCTCATATAGGCCTATTAGCTTACTTCCTACCTTCTCAAAAATTTTAGAAAAAATCATATTAATAAGAATTTATCCGATACTTAACGATAAACAAATTATTCCAAACGCTCAATTCGGCTTTAGGAGTAAGCACTCCTCTCTTCACCAACTACACAGACTAGTCGACACTATTGCCTCATCTCTTGAACAAAAAAAATGTTGTTCTGGGGTTTTTCTTGATGTTGCTCAGGCGTTTGATCGGGTCTGGCACGAAGGACTACTGTTCAAATTATTATTTTTACCCACTCCGTTATTCCTCTTACTCAAATCCTTCCTATCAAACCGTACTTTTTCAGTAAGATGTGAAGACGAAACTTCTGACCCACATCCTATAAAAGCAGGCGTCCCTCAAGGCAGTATTCTTTCCCCGACTCTCTATAATATATATACAGCAGATCTACCACAATCTATCAACACTACTCTAGCTACCTTCGCCGATGACACAGCCATAATATCAACCAACTCCGAAATAGCCACCACTACAAACAATCTCCAAGATCACCTAACCCAACTACAAGATTGGTTCAGCTTATGGAAAATTAAAGTTAATGAAAATAAATCCACTTACATCACTTTTACCCTCAGGCCTACAACAATTCCTCCAGTCTACATAAATAACCAAACAATTCCCATTGTCAATTCAGTTAAATACCTAGGACTCCTTCTCGACAAAAGACTAACTTGGGCTAATCACGTCAAAGATAAAAGAACTTCCCTTAACCTCAGGCTTCACAAATTAAGACCACTTCTTCGATCCAAAATCTCTTTAAATAACAAAACACTAATATATAAACAAATATTACATCCAGCAATGACTTACGGAATACAGCTGTGGGGTACCACTAAAAATTCAAACCTAATCAAATTCCAAGCATTCCAATCAATATCTCTGCGTGTCCTCTCTAATGCTCCCTGGTACGTCAGCAACCGCACCCTACATCATGATCTTAACATATCATCAATATCCACTCTTGCCTCTTATCATTATAACAAATTTCATAAAAATACCTTTAACCATCCAAACCCACTCATATCTAAACTCTCTTCTTGCACAATACCTGATTTGCCCCCTCGTCGCCTCAAACGCAAATGGCCGCGTGATTTATTAAATAATGTCTAGTGCTATTATTATAAAGTTACCTCCCCACTAAGTTTAAATTGGAAGTAGTGTCACTGGACACTCCCTTCCCTCAAGATTTTCATGTTCTGTAATATTCATCTCATCATATTTACTTATTATATAAATTCTATATAGATTGTAAATTTTTCTTAAATAAAAAAAAAAAAAAAAGAAACCAACTAAATTATACAAGATTTTCTATTACTAGTTACAGTACCTATTGTGCCCAAACGTGTTTTCATATATACGTCCAAACGTGTTAACAATTTTCAGGTGAATTTCTTATACTGCGCCCAAACGGGTTATCCCCCATTTTACAGCATTAAATCTACTACCCGTCTGGTTTATTTTCCTGTAATCTGTTAAGATCTGTTGAAGGTAACAATTTGTTATTATTATTATGTCAAGATTTTTTTTCTGAAGGTACTATTGCTAATCAGAAAGGTATTGAAACAAATTTCTGTGAAGTTTTCTTACGTTAGCCGATTATAGTGTCATGTGTAACGTATGGTATCTTTTAATATTAACGATATGAGATAATTAAAAGCACTTAAGACTATTATTGATGTATAGGAATTAATAAAATCATAACTTAACCTAACCATAATTTATGGAAAAGTATAAGAGGTCGCGAAGGTCCCAGAGGCAACTCATCATTCTATCTTATGGTTAGGTTATCTTTACACTTAACCACTAAAAAATTAGAGATCGATATAATTATGAAAAGACATTTGCTCTTACATATTAGGTAATATGGACATGATTATTTGATAACTGAGAGATTGTAAAAATCAATACTTAGTAGGTATAGATAAGTAGATGGATTAATTACATCAACTTACTAAGCATCTAGTTAGGTGTTCAAAATGTTACCTAGTGGTATGTGTTTTTTCTCGAATCTACTACTGAAAAATGTGGAATCGTCTATGGTAGGTATCTACATCCTGAATCAGGCGTGGGTCCAAGGGGGGGCAAGGGGCCATGCCGTAGACTCTGGTGAATTTTCTATTATATCTATTTTCGGCAGCACATAAAATGTTTTATATTTCATGTAAAATTAATTTAACCTAAGAATTATTCATATTTTATTTTATTTATTTTTTTGTACTGATAAACTAGGATTTAAATAATAATATTTACCTATT